AGATTGTTGATATCAGCGGTGAGTTTCGCGTCCTGCTCTTCATCACCAGTCGCTGCATCAATGCTGATGAGCTTGAGATCATCGACGAGGGCAGTGTACCAGGTATTATTCCGACGGTGCAGCCGCTCGTAATCCGCATTCTTGAGCTCCAGCTGCGACTCCGGACGGATGCGAATACGCATAGCGGGGTAAACAACCTCATGGAGGATGACAGGATCTGCCTGGAACCGCACCGTCATTCCCTTCGTCGCAAAGTACCGAATGTGGTGCTGGTAGATATTATGTTGACAGCCAGCACCTTGGACAAGCTGTACGTCTGCGGGGTAGAAGTGCAATTCCAAGAATTTTGCAAAGGAGTACCGCTGCATCTCTTCGGAGATGGGAATAAATGGTGTCGCTGAGCCACACACCCGACAAGCGCTCCAAGTCGTGATGGTCTCCGGAGATGGATAAAGATGCGGACCTTTAGCCTTGATCTGTCCATCCCACTGCTCAACCGCAACAGCAAGTCGGGTCTCGTTATGCACAAAGACCGTGCAATGCCTCGCAAGTGGCTGGTTGCATCCTTTCCCAGTGCAAATCGCTTTCGGGTCGAGGAACTGGACCAGCGTCTCATTAACGCTCTTCTCAATGAACTGACCCAGTGTGCAATCATTCTCGCCATAGAACTTGATATACTTCAATCCAGGAGCGAAACAGGCGCGATGAAGACCAAATTCTTCGATCGGGATGGTGTATTCCCAAAGGCTGATGCATTGGTACTGGTCAATCACGAAATCGTCAGCGTTCTTGCGGAGGTACCATTCCCAAATACGACGTTGCTCTTCGTGGCGATACTTGACCATACCGAACTGGCTCTCCAGCGCAATGTCCGCAGCGGTCTTGAGGGGAATCGTGTTCTCTTTCTCAGAAACGATAAGGCGAGGCGAATGAAAGAACGTTGACCCTCCAAGGATATGCAATGTGTTTGGCTGAGGCTCGAAGTAACCGGTGGGTTCCTCACCGAGGTCAGAAAGACCGGAAGTTGGCGTTTTCGGAAGATCAGGGAGTGGGAGGGCTTCAATTTGAGCTTTCACATCGTCCGCATCTGATTCGATTCTGGACATAGTGGCCGCTGCTTCACTGGCAGGCGTGGGGGTTCCCGATGGGGCCTTACTATCATTTTTAACAGGGCCCTTCTCCTCTCTTCGCACAATCTCGTCTTCCCAAGCGCGTTGTACACAGGTGAGCTCATCATCCAACTCCTTCATCCTCCTGATAGGCTGAGGAGGGGGAAAGCGCAGGGTGGCAGAAACAGATATGAACGTCTTGGTGTATGGCTCCAGCGACTGCTGAATCCGTTTCGAAAGACGGAGTCGCTCAGCATCAGCATCCGGAAGATCATCTTCAGCTACTTTGATCTCTGCCTCCTCCGCCTTTTGCCGCTCCTTATCCTCTGGAGTCACAAGATGCACCAGAGATACCGACGCAGGCACAAGAGCACCAGGGTTCGACGCCACGCCAAATCCTTCTACATGGCGCTTCGTAGCCATACTTGCCGGTACGGCCTCTGCGCTCAGGCTAGGGAGCGTGATCACGGAGTCCTTCCACAGGTGGGTCTCCAGTTTCAAGTTCCTCACGACAAACATCAAGAATCTGGTCACTTTCTTCACCCTCTTGAGCGTATCTACGTCTCCTCCTCTTAGGACGATAGTGCACCCCAATTCACGGCTGCATCCCTCAAACCGCATATACGTCTTCCGCCGCCCTGGAATTAGAGGGTGGTCGAAAGTCTGCACACGGAACCGCGTGCAATGACCTAATCGAGGTTCTCGAGCGAGCTTGTCCATGGACGAAAAGACATCTCCCTGAATCATCCGGGCCACAAATTGGATCGCGGTAGGCTTTACAGCGCGAGCGACGGCGATATTATGCTGCGCAAGCGCTTCGAGCGCAATCCTGCTCACTGACTTTTCCACCAACACCACGTGCGGCCTAAGCGCTGCGATCCTGCTCGCCAAGTTTCCGAGATATTCCTTTTCCTGTCTGAGAATCTGGCCAAAGTGGACATATTGGCCCTCGACTCGATGAAACTCAAGTGGGAAGGTTACGAGCATGACACGGGGATTACGTTGCATACGTGACATTTGCTTGTGTGCAACGTTCTTGGTTATAACGGCACCGTCAACGTACTCCGAGTCACTCGGTGCGCCACCTGGAATTTTCTTGATCTTGACATATCGTCGGACATCCATGTCTTCCCCCTGGTGGTACGGAAGCGCGGTGAAGGTGAGTTCTCGAGCGACGCGAAGGGCAAGTTTGAGCAGGGTTTCTTCCCATTCCTTGATATTGGGAATCTGCTCAGTCGTGAGCATTTGTCGCAACATGACGCGAAGATGGAACATGGAGATTAGGTTAAGCTCTTGAGCATAACTAAGCGCACGGCATGAGATCATGTAGCATGATACATTAAATTGAAAACTTACGCGGTGGAATCTCGCCTCGTGCGCCAACCTTCGATAGTAGGGAAGTTATCGAGCCGACTTTGTGCTCGGCTCCTGATAAAGGGCGTGGCGACATCAAAATCACCAAAGCTATTGAATCGGGAGCGCATAGCATTGTAATTTCCGGGACTATCTGGCCCGTGTTGCTCCGGAGAGCTCAAGGGAAATTGGATTGAGCTCATAGTACCCTCGACATTGATTGGCACAGTGACTGGAAAGTCAACTGGGGTCTTTGAGCGAGGAGCCACAGCAGCCTGTGCGGTATTTTTGCTGAAGTTGGATATTGAGGGAGGATCCTTCTCGTCTTCGGAAAGGTTCCGTCGAAAGGGCGCTGTACTCTCGCGGACAGGCTCCCACTCGCCGTGGAAGGTGGATACAGAGTCGTTGTCAGATATCAGTCTCTTTGTCTCAGCAATTGAATACAGATTAAACGGTTCGTCCGTCCTTCCGAACAGCTGGGACGCGGCGAATGGGGATTGCGGATGATGACCGAGGCTGAGCGCAAACGAGTCGCCGCCAAACTGGTGGGCAGGAAATGGGGAGGCTGTGGAAGAGACAACGGAACGCCTATCGTCGTCATCTTCGTCTTCGACCTTTGCGAGTTTCTCGAGACAGAGATTGCACACTCGGACCATGCCGTCATGACCAAACCTCGAACCCTTGATGATATTAGATGCACAACGCGAGCAGAATATTTGACCTGGGCTTGAATGAATAGCAGGTCTGAATTCAAAAGCTAGGATACGCACCACATATACGACAATGATGTTTGCGTCGCCAAGTAGTGAATACGCTTTTGCAATCATAACACTCCCTTGCATTGGAGTCTTCCATCCAATAATCGCGAGATAGGCCTAAGGCATAATTAGAGACGATTCAATAAAGGGTCAGTATGATTTACCTTCACCACGGATGCGGCGTATAACTTTGGACACAGAGGCAGACCGATTCAATGAAGCAGAGGTGCGTATACTACGCGCATCATCCTGGATGGGAAACCCAGGTATGGCGGTGCCAAATAGACCACCGTCTTGAGTCTCATATACAGGAGTATATTGACCACTACGTGACGGCGAGCGGTCTAGTTCTGCACCAAAGGATGGCGGGTCTGATACGACTGGTGTCAAAGATACGAGGGGTGGTGCAGTCCTGGATGGCACGACTGTTAGTGATAACGGACGCTCAGGTGCAGAGGACCGAGAAGAAAAGGCAGAGTTGTTTACGGAGATTGCGGATGGACGTCTCTGTTCGCCTGTAAGGGCTCCAGGAATACCATTGGGAGGCGGCGCGAGAGTGGAAGAGGTCAAGGGCGCAGCAAAGCTATTCTTCATGCGGGAAAACAAGGAAGTTACAAGAGCATAGGACGAATGGTCGTTTTCATCTTCTTCTGAGAATGGATTGAAGGAAGTCAATGAGGTGACATCGTCACCAAGTTTTGTGCTGCTCCGGGACCTTGACGGAAGGCCGGAATGGGTGCTCTGTACTGGAGAATAGGTTAGTGGTGATTCCATTTCGTTGTTCGGGATAACGAGCTCGAATATTGGAGCTGTTTGTCTACGCCCTTGCTGCCTTTGGCTGCCCCACTATCGGACAAGCATAATGATGATGGTACTGTTGGTCAACGAACTGAGGCGGTACAAATTGCCTTCTTGGGTAGTTCAATTACCAAACCAATCCTTCTCTGCTCTTACTCTCATCATCCTCCACATTGCCTGGATGCCTAGGGTTTCCCGCTACAAACGACATTCATGCTCAAGGGGATCACAGAGCACCCACCAGAATTTCGTCAACTTCCATTGTACACCCTGCAAATTAACACGCGCCTACGACCGATAGCAAAAGGCTCTTTAAGACCCCTCGTCTCATATTAAGGCGGCCCTGGCCCTGTCGAGCGCAACGTGACTACCCTAATAAATTACTGACATCTGTCCCCGCAGTCACAATAACCTTTGTATCTCATGACAGAAGCATGTAATAGCGCGAGAATATGAACTGCCTGCAGTAGACGCTCTCACCTTCAGGGTCATACACTTATGTATAACTTTTCGTCGAGTACCACTTAGTACCCGATACACATGATGTCCCTGGATGATCATTAAAGGGTAGACGTTCTTCAGAGGACCGCGGGTCCTCGCCTCTTCTTGCAGATACGCTGCAGCCAACAGAAACTTGACGGAGAGCATGGTACCACAGGGGAACTTTAAATTATACTCCGTAACCTACGCAAATAACTGCATGCTGCGCTATCATTAGTGGCCCATCAACTTTACAAAGTTCTTCATCCTCATGGAACACCGCCAAGAACCGCCGCCCATCCAGGACCACGATCCATCTGAGATCGATCCTATATGGACATCAAGCCGTACTGCACGCCAGATTTACGCCTTGGGTGAAGTCGAAAAAGTGAGCTGTGACATACGCCGTGCGCATGGCCCACCGCTCACAATCTAGCGCTAGGACATCACCCGTCTCCTATCTCTCGCAGCATCGTCCGTCTCGTTGCTCACTCTCCCACAGACGGATGAGCCCGAGGATAATCTCCCTCAAGGAGAAGAGCGCTCAGAGCAATTTGTTCTAGAAGTGAGCGAGTACTTTGAACGGCTAGACGTCAGTCAAACTTTTTCATTCGCACATCTCAAAATCTCAACTCAAACCCCGCAGTCAATTCAAGTAGCGATTCGCTCTTCACTCGCTCACATCCGCCAGTCACGAATCGCACCATCCGCGATTACAGCCCCTCCAATCGGGTTTGTTCCCCCTTCACTTGGAGTTGGTCTCCCAAGAGCGGCCGGAACCAGTCGAGGCTTGCAAGAAGAACGCGTCGATCGAGATGCATGGGTTGGCATTCTAGACGCTCTCACACGTCTCAAAGCATCACAGGAGTACGAACGACTGCTAAAGACTTCCTCAAACCACACAATGGATACATGAGTCCAACTAAACTACAATGAGCTACGCGTCTATGCCGAGGCCTTCGAATCCAAGTGTCTAATATAATGCAATCAAAAGTCAGGTTCGTATCATCGCGAGATTATAGAAGGCGACCCCCGAAACTTACACGCTCGCCTCCTCCAGTGCTTCCTCCGCATGCAACAGCTCAACATCCTCCGCAAACTCAAGTTGAGACTTGACTCGCAGCTTCCAAATGACGCGCATATAAGGGGGTCATGGCAAAGATAGAATAACACGACGGAAATACGCACGACGAGTTCTCGTAGATCTTGTACCGCCTTGCCTAGACGGTTATCAGAATCTTTGATCATTCTGTGTGACTCTTCCAGGATCCTTCTCTGATCGGCGTATTGTCATAAACATGAGTTTCAGTCGGTCAATGAATGTAAAATGACTTGTTGTCACGCACGGCACTTTTCACGTCCCACTCTTCAGCATTTTTTGCGATAAGCTTATCGAGTTTCCGCTGTTGCTCTTCTGCTTCTTTTGCATACAGGATATGTTCCTTCAGCAGCCTGAGAAATCGTGTTAGCGCTTTACGACCCGCAGAGTTGCTATACTTGCCTTTTCGCCACGCCCGACTTGATGTTCAGCTGACGGTGAACGGCTGGCTTGTTCGACATACTAGTACTAGTTCAAGGTCTGACTAAGTGAAGTGACGACGTTGCCCTTTCAAACGTCTTATCGCTGCACCCAGATCGACCTCATCGATAAGGTCGTCACAGCTATGAGCTACTTCTGCCGCTACTCCACAATCCATTATGCATAATCCCTTGATTCAAATTCGTGTACACTTTGAACAACCGCAGATCTGAGAAAAATGAAAACTGGTAGATGAAATCATTTCTCGCAAATGCATATCGACCAGGGGTACTTTCTCACATCTTACTATCCGAACAGAGTCTGTTCAGAAGTTCTTTTCAGAAAGCGGAAACATCGATATTCATTGCTTGAGATATAGGATGACAATTCTACAGATGCAGTACAGACAGCGCTCGCCAGTACAGGACAAGTACAACTGATAACTACAAACGCTTGATGAAGAACTGACAAAGATAGTGCGCGCGGAAAGGAAGCGGCAATGAGACATGATATCGAACAGCGGGGCGGGGCGAGTGACGATGAGTGATATGCGGATGAAAGGGTGGCAATATGAACCAGAGCGTGAGGATAATCGAAGTGTCAGGAATGTCGACGACCGATGCATCCAGAACCCGCAAGCGGGAGTGGACAGAACGTCAAGAACTGCAACAACAACCAACTCCTAGATCGCCGTATGCTTCAGGCGCTCAAGCCATCCTCAACGCACGCTGCACTTGACTGGCAAATGAGGTACAGAGGATGACGAGCTGCTCAGAGGCATGGAAATGTCGAAGTGGAAAATGTAGGCGGTGTTCGTAAACAACCTTCGAAAACAAGAACCTCGCTGTGCCAACCCCATGTAATCGCTGCACCACAGACATGCAATGCTGTGATCGCCATGAGTAATCCGCGAGATAGCTTGATGATCTCGCAAAAAAAAACTCGCAAAACGGGTAGGAGTCACGAAATAAGCGGTGATCAGTCGCCGGATCATGACAAAAGGTGATAAGTAGGGTGATAATAAAACATGCCGTGCGTGCTAGATGCGGAATGGTCTTGTAGGACGGAGATGAATCGCTACGTAAGGAACACCCATTCCAGAAAGGCGAGGATGCCCGTGAGAGTGTTGTCGATGATGATGCGCCTGTGTGTCGGCGTGCACGAGGCACGTACCACAATGAAGTGGTCGTTCGTCTCAGTGCGAGAGGGATGAAATGGAGCGGAAGGGGGGGAACAGAGGATGGCGTGATAACAAGAAGCGCACGCAGGGGCAGCGAAGCACGCACACCACTCGCAGAAGGGTGTGGTCATTTCAAGCTGCCCTGCGGTCTTGTGTCGTATCGTGTCCTCCACACAACATCCGGGTCCAGTCGGTATCCAATCTTCATCATCAGGGTTCCGAATCGTCGATGCATAGCAGTCGACGAACGAGTAGCGCAAGCGCCACTAAGCGATCCTAAACCTGTCCGAAAAGAATAGAACGTCACTAGGACGTCCAAAGTGCCATCCATGCAACGCAGGTAAACGTAACAATGCGTATGGGAGTTCATGACGAGTGCAGAATAAAAAATGTGCTATAAGTGTCCGTTATGTGTGCGTTAAACCTGTAGTCCGGCGACAGGCATTCCAGTGTCGTGTGTGATCATGCGAATAAACAATGCTGATAATGTAAACCGACGGTGCTTTTTTGCGGATATTTTCGAGCGAGTCCACGTCAGCACAGCAATCAGAAACCTGACTGTGACTGCTGAGATACTGCTGCAACTGCGGCGGCAGCAGCGGCGTGACGTTGCTCAGCGGTGCCGAGCATCAACGCCTCATTGACGCTAAGCGCAAGGTTAGCCTGTAGCACAGTGACGGCAATGCTAAGAAACAGCTTACGAGCGAAGTCGCTGTACTTCGGCCTCAGCCTGCTGGAGTCTCGTCTGGAGTTGCTGAGCGGTCATCTCGAGGTACTTGACGTGAGTCGTAGCGCGGTCTAGGAGCGAGACCTTGCTGGACTTCTGGTTGGAGACCGGAAGAGCATCCTTGAGTCTACGGTAACCGTCCCGAAGCTCATCACGACGCCTCTGCTCTGACTCGATGCGTTGACGACGAATCGTCTCGCGGCGCATGTCAGTGCTTGCGTTGGCAGGGATGGAGGGCTGGAAATCATCATCTTCGTCATCAGAGTCGTCATTCCGAGACTTTCTCCGCGTAGCCTTGGTAGCAGAGCGCGTGGTGGGCGCCGCAATGGGGTTGAAGCGGTGCGACCGCGGCACGGCAGCGGAGTAAGGAACGGAGTGCACGGAGGAAGGGGAATGGGTCCCGCTTCCACGGCTGCGCCGGCCAGAAGTAAGGCCGTCCGACGAAAGCTCACCAGCGCTGAGGGAGTAGACAGCGGGGGGCGAGATGCCATTGTCGGGGGGCGTGTAGGGGCGCCCTGGCGAAGCAGTCGTGTACGACGTGCTCGATGAGTAAGAGTACTCGCCAATGGAGTTGGTGAGGTTCAGCGAATTGAAATCCAAGCGGGGAGACGAGGACGAGGGTCCTGGGACTAAAAATAGAATACGGTTAATTGATGTGATCGTGGGAACAAATGAGTCATTCAATACTAACGGGACATCGTGGAGACACCATAGGGAGACTGAGGGTACTGCAAGTACGGCTCGAGGTTGGCAATCGAGTCATAAGCAAATGGGGTGTCCATGAAGTTGGGGCTCCTGGGGTGCTCGAGGAGGGTAGATTCCATGACGAAAATGGGGGCTGAGGAAGTTAAAAAAAAAGCGGTTGTCGGTGTACGGAGGGCGGGTGCTTGCACTGCAGCTAGGTAGAGATGATCGTCAAAATAAGTTGACACTTGAAATACGCTGGGGATTCTGTTATACTCCGTTAGATTGAACAAAAGGTGAACAAAGAAGAATAAGAAATTACGTCAAATGACCAAGCTTGAGCCGACTGCACAATAGAACAACAGAGCAGGTAAGTAAAGAAAAAAAAGGTCGGGAAGGAGGAACTGGCAGGTAGTCGGATGTCGAGGATTTGAAGAAGAAGGGGATGAGGAGAACTTGGTTAGTTTTTGATTCCGTCTAAATATCCTGGCGCAAATGAGGTCGAGTTACTTTTTTAGGAATGTTAATCACACGTTACCAAATTTGGAAGGTGTGGTATTCCCGCTATGCCTCGTGTTTGTGCCTTCAACCCTTCATGGCCAAAAATGAGTTCGGAATTTCTAGTCCCTGTCTTCTTCTCTCTAGAGCGGTTCCTATCTTTTCACAAACGGGGCTTTCATTGACACGCATCTCTTCCCACTCAAGCCTCCTTAGTTTAGAAATTACTGCCTCGTTGTCCGGATCCTTTCCTGAGCCAATCCTTTCACGGCCTGCCCCCACTTGCCATCAGATCATCAATTCCAAATCAGCCTCAACCCGCTCACCATTTTCCTTGTAATTTGTATCATCCATTTCCTTCCATTGCTAAATTGTCATCTCACATCTCCATTCCCTCATTTTTTGCCCGTTACCCAACCCTTTCTCCGACCACTCACCCTAGGCTAACTCGTTTGCAATGATCGTCTAACGTACCCTATTTGCATTCTTCATGTCGCTTCACCTCTTGTCCCCCCAGAAGTCCCGATCATCCCGTCTCAACCCTGACGCATTATTCCAAGAGTCTTGCTTTGCCCGCCGCGCCGCGGCTTCGGCCAACTTCTGCCCTGTTTTACCGGTGACGGTGACAGTATAATCTAGATCCGACTGACCAACTAAGCCTTGGCGCTCTTCGGTGAACCTAGTAGCCGCTCTTGTTATCGAATCTCATCTCTCCAGTCTGCTCGTCAGATTCGGCTCAATCAATTTTTTTTCCCTCAACATGAGGATCACAAACCTCACAACGTTTAGTTCATCCCCCCGCTACTCGCGCTAAACCTTATAAATTGAGATCCATATCCATGCTCCGATCGCTAGTGTCACTTTCTCGGAAACTATTGGTATAATTTAATATGTCCTGTCACAAAGCTAGGTAGTATTCACCCACCTGTGACTGATCACATGAGCCTCGGGACGTATCCTGTGCAATTATGATCACCCAGCCGATGTAAACGCACAATTGAAACACATTATTCTCTAGGGCTTAAGGCGTTTCTAAACGCGACGCAGCAATGCCGTGATCAAAACCTTCCCTGACAATAAATTTCGCGGCGGGAAAGTCAGAACTTTCATCACAACATGACACCACAAAACAATTACCTCCTTTCATGTCCATAATGAGGCGCAGTTATTATATTCGAGTTTATGTTACGCCGTGGGTCCATGTTTGGTACAAAGTCTGTGCAATGGAATACCTTGTCTACAGCCGAGGTACGTCTCAGCGCGCATCTAAAAATCTATTTGGTATAGTCCAAAGAACATGCCATGTTAAATCACAGCAGAGCCTTTCCCGCCAATCAGTGGGCTTGCATCAGATCTCACGAATTCAGTATTAACGTACGAGTGAATAAGATGCGTGACTTGAATGCGTGACTTGAAAATGGAGGGATGATCAATCAGCATCAGATGACGTGAGTGAGGGAACGTAATTAGACTTTAAGCAAAAACACGCACCAGAGGCGATGCCCGCTTCACAACACAGCTGTCAGGTCCGACCGTCTCGCACGAATCTATAGGACACGACCACAGTTGTGCACACTGACGGACCATTGCTGATAGAAGAATTTCGTTACCGCGGCATTCATATCCCACTAGATGCTGGGCCCTGCCTAAAACCTCTGCCGTATGGAATGGATAAGTGGGAAACCCTTCCAGCTAGTCACAAGATCACAGCCACAATGTAGGAAGCATATGGGTGTACATGGATATTCCGGGTGGACCAAGAGACGGCCGAATGAGTTCACAGAGAGTAAGCAGAGTTCAATATGTCCACTTGTGCCAGGAAAGAAGCGCAAAGCAGTTCACGTATTCCAGTGTATCGCTCCACAACGTCTAGACTTTCCTCGGATCGGAGGACTGTGAAGTCTTGGTTCGCCGGGGATCTACATGCAGCTTCGCCCGCGTACTACAGAGACCCCGCCGCTTATCATGAATGCAAGAAGCAAAGTTGAGGCGAAAATAGAAAAGCCGTAAGGAAAGCGCATCAGCTGCGAGGCCCCTGAAAACGAGTCGATAAGACTGTGACAGCAGCCTATCAGGAGCCTCGTTGTGGGTGAACGAAAACCATGTAGGATCGACGGTTAAAATTGTTGATTCTAGTGCACGGAGAAAAGTAAGCGATTAGTTTCATGAGTAGAACTTATCGTGCGCCGTATCAAGCCACAAGTGGTTCCGTTCCATTCTGGAAGCATAGAACAAACAAAGGGCGATATGAAGGTAGGCCCCTAGATCGGTAGTTTACTATATCGCAGATTGAGCGCAGTGTCGAGTCACAAGTAAGAGCCGCTTCAAATCAGCTCCTCGCTGTGTTCATAGCGAATCAATGAAGTGGGTGGAAGAGCAAGTGCATTGCGTTTCGTAGAACCTGTGGAGCGTAGAGCGTTCGGCTGGAACAAACTCAACCGTGACCAAGTGTGATGGTAAGCGCGTGATGCGGTTCTTGTCACGAGCGTGACAACGAATCTTGCCTTGCCCCCCGCAATGCCCCCGCGTCACTTTCAGCTCAAGAGATCGCCTTTCCGATTTCAAGCAAGGGATATTTACAAACACGAGGAGATCTTTCTTGATCACCCTAGCAGGAAAGGTGATATCCGCCCTGTGCATGGGTACGTGATGCGGGCTCAATCGTCATATGCATCACCAGCTAGCCTTGTACGCATCTCGTTAAAAGCACTTGGTCTCACGATCCAATGCCTTGCATGACGGCGTGTTTCAAAACTCTACTTACTGAACTTTGTAATGAGCGCGCGCTATAAGCTCATCCTGTCACAATATTTGGTCAAATCATTGTGAGACTTCACATCCTTCCCAAGTCACTAAATTGTCCGCTCTCCAGGTTCTTGTCATCTCTCCGAGAAGGCCATGGGGTTCGCTATGTGGATGATGGTTATTCAATTGATTTTGCCAGCAGGATCCTGATCATCTCCTTTGTCGATATGGACAACACCTCTTGACTATGTAACGTTTTACACGGATCAGGATGTCTTGCGTCACCTTTTCACGTCTATGAAAAAAAAAACCGTTCTCTCTGCGCTCAATGGAACTGCCGATAGAACTTCCTCGCTATCCAAGATTCATCTCCGCTGAACTTATCAGAACCCCATTCTGGAAGGAGCTGCCAACCTACCGATTTTGGTGGTGCTTCTCGGAATCGGCGATGTTTCTAAGATTCGGGACCGGTGGGGCTCCTCGAGTTTCGGCGTCGAGGACTGCATTTTTATCAGGTCCAGTGGGTCCAGTGTATGGGCAGAGGCTAGCCCTTGGAGAATGGTTGGTAACAATGTTACTTGCCGTCCGCAAAGTACGCAACGTCAAGTAGTCTAGCTCCCGGGTCAACTTTAAATCATCCGCGTCAATGGAGAGGAACTCCCCCTGTTTGCTAAGAATATGAACTCAGAGTGCCCAATTCTGACTATACCTTATCCGAGGACTCCAGAGTCTATTTGACAATGGTGTTAGAGCCCCGGCTTCCGGGGATCTTCTTCCTTCCTGTGCAGCCAATCGTGTGTTACTAGAGTTACGCGAAGCCAGAGCGTATTTTGCGTTTTTCCCGCCGAATTATATTGGTGTGTCGTAGACGTGGAGCTTTGACTGAGTGGGACAAATTCCGAGGGTTGTATTGGACGTGACCAAGGCGTTTCGCTACCGGTATCCCGACAACTTGTATAGGATTGTCTGGATGGTCATCGAACGATCAGGTATGAGATCGCTCGATCATACACGCTACTTGGTTTTGCCCTTGGTCAAAGGTCTGGAACGAGCCCTCGTGCAAGAATGAGGACGATAGAGTGATATAGGAAAAAGAAAAGAGCGAGGCGTTGAACAAACTACTGTACTGACTACAGATGATAAATCATATCTTCGGGGGCTGTTCCACAACTTCCTTCGGTAGGCACCTTTTTCGCTCCAGCCCTCTCCTAGAGAGGGCACCCGCGGCAGCAACAGCTTTCATCAAGAAAGCCCTGGATTAATCCGTTCACATCAACCGAAGAGACAGTTGACCATCTGGTCGAAAAGTGCTTCGGTGAGCGGGTCATATAATTTTGGTGCGCCGTTTCCGTCGGATCCCCGTCGTGAGTTCGTGCAGTATTCGTCAAGAATGAGTTCGTTCAGTCGTGGTAAGTTTCGTATCCTGCGGTCGTACCAAGCTGCACCTAGGCGTGTAATGGCGAGCAGGTGTGTAGACGCGTTACGTGTGAGTGAGTGATGGGTGTTGGATGAATATATGGTTAGATGCAGTCGTGAGAAGAGTGCAATACATGTTAGTGATAGAATGGGACGAGTGGCCCGAATACTTGGCGGTTGGGGGATTAAGCTTTGAGGAAGCGATAGCCCACTGGGGACTAGAGCATTTGCAAGGTGATGTGAGGCGAGACACGGTCCCAAACGCCTATCGATCAACGAGACGAAACACGATTGGGGTAATCAAGTGCTTCCTCGGATCAAGAGGGGCGAAAATTCGGATCGATCCTGCAACATCAAGTTGTAGGTTGAACGAGGGCGGATTGACGATAGGACTGCGCATAGCGCCGTCCACGTCCCCAGCGCCTATTCCTCGACCTGCCTCGTCCAAAGCTAGAGACCTCTCGACTTCTCCCCACCACTGAGCCGCAAAACATGAATAAGAAATACAGAGCGTGCAGTGAAACAAGATATGGAAAATGATGAAAATGGATGGAAGCAATGTCCGTTGATAATGGCGTGAGCCACAGCACCTCAGTAATCCGAGGCAGCAGGACTGCGTGAATCCTCTCGCGGGGGCTCTTGGCCTTGAACATGAGCAAGAGAATGAGTGGGCATCCCAGGCTCAGGGGGAGGCGACAATGGTCGAGCATCGACGCCATGAAGATTTCCCGGCGAAGGGGAGTTGCTAGTGCCAAGCGAGATTTTCTCGTTGACAGCACGAAGGCGTTGTACCTCCTGCTCCAGCAGCATGAGACGAGCCTGCATCTCTTGTGTCTGTTTATCCAGCAAGATGATGTGATTCGTCGCTAAACGCCACAACGTCAACCATCTGTTGTGGAAGCTTATCACTGATCGCCTTACCTCGCTCGAGTAGCGACACCTTGCTACTCTTCTGGTTAGAAACTGGTAAGACGTCCTTCAATTTGGCATAGCCATCGCGTAATTCGTCTCTTCGCCTTTGCTCAGCCTCGATGCGCTGTCTGCGTGTTGCCTCCTTTCTGGTGTGAGCCAAGTTCTCTACGTATGTAGCGCCCATGTTGTCTTCGTCGTCTGAGTCGTTTAAGGAACGAGCACGGCCACGTCGCCCAGAAGAGCTAGTGGTAGGGGAAGGGGTGGGGTTGTAGCGAAGAGATTGGCGATGAACTAAACTAGGTCCACGGGATGACGATGGGGAGCCTGTCCCGCTGCTGTTTCTCGAATGGTGGTGGTAAAGGCCGTCCGCTGATGTGTCAGATCCTGAAATGGGTGGGGACAAAGGATCGTACATGTGAGGGGAGGGCGGAGGGGGTGAGCCAGCAGGCAGATTCATTGACACATGTTGTGGCGATGAGGTATACACGGGTGGCGGATATTGATGCGTTTGATGCGTGGGCATGAGGCTAAGATTATGGAACTGCAGGCCTTGATGCAAGTCTGGCGCAGATAGATGGCCTACAAAGAATCGAACATGAGCAAATTATCAGATCAACATGTGTTTCAGGTGAGTTAATGGCCTCGAGGAGAAAAGTACCCACGAGGATGATGAGGGTTAGGATGCTGCACGACAGGAAAAGACTGCTGGTGCTGCATCGCGTGGTGGTTGTACGCGAGGCTGTAAGATGATTCTTGCTCGGCTGGATAGAATCCATAAGGACTTGCATGTCCGAGATTTTGGTTGTGATCATCGGTTATGTGCTGCTGGTGCTGGTGCTGGTGTTGATCCATTGTACTGCAGTGAAAAGTCGTGGATGGGTCGTGGTACAAAATGAAACCAAGGATATCGTGAACTAAAAGGTAAAAAAGCGAAATTTGAAGAAGAAAAGAGGAAGCTAAGAATCAAGTAACAATGGTCACCGGTCACCCCCAAAGTCTCCAGAAAGCGATCTCCTTCGCTCGCAAGACGGAACCAAACCGTTCACAATAATTCGGGCGCCTATTCCTTCAGTCATCGGTGACTCCCCTGTTTACCCTTTGTTTGTCTACCATGAGGAACAATGCAGCTCTGCACAAAAAAAATCATTCAGGCTCCCTCGTCAACCAAACATCCCTTCTCCTATGCTCCCTATTGTACCTGCAGTTTACCCAAACACCAATCGGCCCAATTCAACCCGGCGGAACCGCTATGTATTTTTACCCTTTCTCTGATGCCTCGAGGCTACCGTGTGGTTGTATAATTCTATCACTCGCATGATCTAAAATGATGAACATGCTGCACCCAACCACGATTGCACATCAGCTGAGTCCACAGCGAACTTCTACGATGTTGAACGGATTTCAGAATATTTTTTTTCATCAACCCCCTTCGGATGACTTGATTGTAATGGAACGGCTGCCGACCCTCCGATCGTTGCTATCGATGGAAAGTCGATAATGAATTGATAGACAGCAACTTCCGCCGATATTTCAGCACCCCTTCATTTCCGGTCATATGGAGTTACTCGTTCGTGGACTGGGTCACCTGCTAAACACATCAGGGTTCTGGTGGTTCTTCAGCGTCAACGGGGAGTCACTAACCCACCAGATTCTACGACTGGTTAAAATGTCAAAATACTCCAATAAATTTGGATGCAGATATTCACACACTAGAGGTCAATATGTGCAGCTTGGTTTTGACTGAAATGTGTGGTCCCGAAGCTGGTCAAGGGTTTTCTATCTCATAGTTGTTGCAGATACTTACCATGGTGTCGGGAGTAAATGATTGCAAATGGACGGCTATTCTCCCGTATCTGAAAGGCGGCCATGGGAAATCACTGTCTTGTTAGGAGTACTACACCATCATGAAGCTCAATTGCGAGTTGCCTCCACCACTCTGCGTCTGTTCCACGATGGGGATTATCAGACTTCGTAGTTGAATTGCGGGGTTCTCGAGTGTCCGTTCGTCGGGTCCAGCAACTAATAGAGTCATGGCATCTGTTGATAATGTCCAGATGCGAAAGATTTTATTTGAGAGCGAAGTAATTTTGGAATTCGATCATGATTTTCTTGTATACGCGGATCGATGTGTCCAATCGACAATAGCATGGCATACTACTAACCCAAGATTAAGATCCTACTTCAGGCGTGCTCTTCGCCTAGGGTAGCAGAGCTAAGTAAACGTACTCGCTGTTCCGGGTGTACCCCTGAGAGCACCAGCACACGCTGGTCCAGTCCACGGGAAAACGACCATATCCCTTCCAGAAGAGCAATCAGACGGTCCATGTAAGCGGCTGTTTAGGGACGAAGATGACCCTGAGGTTAGGGATGGCGATGCGGCGGAGGAAGACGAGCATTGCATAGAAGTAGCAGCAGCCTATCTGGCTTCTGTATGTACTTTCTTTGCTATGTTAGTGTGGGTGAACGCGACACAGGCACACGAATGGCTGTGGACGTGGGATTGTGCTGGGAGCCATCCTAACCATTCTCATTGGTCACAATCCAGTAGAACGGGTATGGTAAAACAACTTCTGCCTCCGAATCATCTTTTACTGGTGTGCTGGCATCACCAGTTGGGCTTCGCATTGTGACCACTGACATCATGATTGAGTAAGTTATAGCCGCATCCTGTTCTGTTCACAGCTGTGACCAAGTCAGTTTCAATTAAACAAATACTCACAAAAAATTGTTGCCGGTTGATGCTGATACACGGGCCTGGGATACCGTGCGCCTTGATCTGGCCTGTATAGACTATTGTTGGCGTGTGGTTCACGTCGAACTCGGCGAGCACAAGGGAGCACCGCTCTTGAGTTTCTTCAAGGGGGGGAAAGAAGGTATCACCAGGATGATATCGTAGATGTGATGTTTACTGTGCAGCCTCGATTATTGGTAGAGACGTCCTTGTCGGCGTCGAGCACGGCGGCAAGCACCAACTCCTAGTCAACTTCACGAAAGTCAAGAGAGGTCAGTTGTCTAATACAATACGGTCTCTAAATAGAATTTATTTCCCACAGTTGTAGAGGCAAAGTTTGAAGTGAGTGTGCCCCATCAAGCGTACCCTGCGAGTCTCTAACTGTCTTTAATTACGACCGAGGTACGACTGACACTGATCTCAAGCAAGGCGACGCTGGTGACGACAAAGGACGGTTTATTTCATGAATTTTCTCGGAATAGGCGCGCCAATGTTCGTTCACATATTTCTGAACTCCAAGTCCGCCTTGCTGACCCTGTGTATGATGGGTCCAGACTACGATTACCTAGGCCAACGTTGCTCCTTCTAACACCGCTCAGCGAGGACTATTTTACTTTCCTTCCCTTTGCTGAGCTGCTCGCAGGTCCAACCAGTTGACGCTATTCCGTGTCATGTCAAAAGTCATGTCAACAGAACGTTCTGATGTCTCTGGAAACCCATATAGTTTTCAGCCTGGTCAGTGGGCCCCACCTCGTGCACCTTTACCCCCGCATCGTCTTGCGAAGATAGCTAATGCCCTGGGAGTCTCTATGCCTTCTCCTGCAGGGCCTAATTTCTCTTCTCCATGCTTGTCTTCGTCCTTTGCTAGTGCATCTCCTACCACAAGTAATGCTGATCTTCCCTGGCGTGTTGCGACATCGTCTCCTGCATCTGCGTATCATGTTGGGTCTTTTGCGTCTTCATCTCAGTCCAAGTTCCTGCTCCATGTCATTCCACCTCTTCACCTCCTTCACGACTTCGATGCATCTGACCCATTGGAGCCTGCGCCTCCTCCTACTGCATCGGGATATCACGCACAGTTCCGGCGCGGTACTCTTGTCTCTTTACAGCCCTCGCTTCATGCGCAACTTAATGCAATTGCTAAAGAATATGCTTTACCTAGCACAATTGGTCTCATCCTTTACCTGATTACAACTTCCCCGCAAAGCCGCCAGAACAGTCCAATGCCATTTGTGACCCCTACGTCAGGAAATGACGATGCGGAGGAACCAGGTCCGCGCATCTCCGAAGAAATCTGGAAACATATTTGGGCTCGAGTTCTGAAAGCTGAGCGCGAAGAATCTCTCGCGCTCTCGCGGGGACCAGCCTCTAGTCCTTTCGGTCTGGGTCTAGGCTTAGATTCTTCTGGCCAGTCCAACTTGCGCCCTTTGATTACCCCCATGCGGACGGAAACGCCGCAACCGCAACCTCTCACATACCCAATTACTCCTTCGTCTACCACTTCTTCAGTATCCGATCTTCGGTCTCACTCTAAATCTGCCCCTCTATCATCCTCATCACTGACGCACTCGGAACCAGATACCCCCGATACCTCCCGTTCATCTGATCACGAAATACCCGGGATTGACCTGCCAGGTCTTAATTCATCCTCAATAATACCTATACTAGCGAAAGTGGAGTTCGATATTGACCGACGGAAAGCTGCGTGGTATGAGCCATGGTTGCGTGGTCGTCGAATGACCCATGCTAAACGCGCCGAGAGTCGTCAAAGTAATCGAGCACGTTCCCGATCACGTGCGGAAGGAGAGGGAGATGGGAAGCGTATGCCATTCGACTTAAAACTAGTGGAGAGGATGCAGAATGCGAGCTCTGTGCTCAGCTTTACTACGTCACAGTCTTCAAGGGAGGGAGGTAGCACTAGCGGGTATGCTCCTCTGTCAGATGTTACGGATGAAGCAGTTGAAGAGGACACAACGACACACGTGACTGATGTCTGTCATCATGATCCTCCGGTGGACGTCTTCGACACTGGCGGGTATGCTTCTCTGTCACATGCCACGGACGAAGTAGTTGAAGAGGACACCTCAACACACGTACCTGATATCTATCATCATGATCCCCTGGTGGACGTCTTCGGCACTGATGCAGACACCTGGGCTGACATGCGCGCTGAATCGCAGGGCAATCAACCCGACGCCGATCCAAATATAGTCGATCTTGCGTTGGATGCATCATCGATGACTGTCATGCCTGAACAGGAATCGGGAGATGAGGTGGATGATGCGGAAGAGATTAGGGACATTATGCGGAGGATGTCAAGCAGGATGTCAAAGCCCATGTTGACCTTGTCGATACCATCTTCACCAAACTCGCAGCAGATGTCGTCGCCTCCTATATCAAGCGGTAAGAAGTCGGCCCCCCCCTCCTTTAGTCCTTGCACCCAAGGAAGCAAGCAATGACCTCGTTCTGCATGTGGGACCGAGCCCGATGTTATCATCCTCCAGTGGAGGCGACAGCACGAGTCTGCCTTATGCGAATTCGATAGGGACACCGATCATGGGTGAGATAGGTGACGATGATGGACTCTCCTTGGACATGGAGCAAGAATATATGCGATCACGGAGTCCTACTGAAGAAAAGCGCGGCGGTGCGGTTTTCGAGGACCTCAATCTTGGTTTAGATCTGGGAGATGAAGACGAAGAGGTGCGTTTCCGCTGTCAGTTCTACGCATTGCCACTGAATTATGTTTGTAGTACGACGAGAATGACCCGAATGATCAACGCAGAAGCCAATATCTCATGAGAGCCAAACTCGACGAGATTGAACGGGTATGCTAGCAATATGTGCTCAATCCGTGATTCTGACATCTAGAAAACTAGACTTTGGCACAGTTTTCTCCAAGACACATCAAAACCGATGACTTAGATGAAGATATCACGATCACTCATGCCCGAACAAAGTCACTCCTCACACTTCATGCAGGAGTAACTTCGAAATTATCAACTGATCATTCACGTGACATTCCGGCGACAGGGTGAGTTCAATCACAGCTGTCAAAAGGTTTTTCGGCTGAAGAAAGCTCCAGAAATTCTATCGATCGTGCCGATGCAAGCGAGAAATCGTGGCCTGCCGTCTCCTACTCATCTATCGCTAATAAGTCATCGCAATCACCAAGCTTCCAATCACATCGGCCTACAAATCTTCCTCCATCACCACCTCGGCTCGCTGTCAACGGTGTGTCGACAGGTGCCCCAAAATCGTTCGCTCCACCCTCGCGGTCTGCTTCACCCAACTCTCTCTCCACAGAGACCAAGATCCGCAAACGAGATTTGGAGCCCTCCATGTACCCACCACCCTTGCCCCGATCATTTGGAAGGCAATCGGAAACTGCGTCAGACTCTCCCATACCGTTGTCTCCTGATCCTTTTGGACGGTATCCCTCTTATCTCGAGTCAGACTCACACTCCACCCCGACGTATTGGGATCCTGCAACCGGGAAATTCACCAATACTCCTGTTGAATCCAGACCGTCTTTGTCATCTGTAGATGAGGGTTCTGTTGCTTCTACAACACCCTCCAGTCGATTCTCTGCTGACTCAGCGAGTTTTTCGGATGCTGCGGCGAACACTGCAAAAACTTCTACTCCCCTCGTCAGCGTCAAGACCTTCAAGAAACTTTGGCGTAGAAGCAAGTCTACGTCGGTCTCGGCCCAACAACCTCCTACGCCAAGTGCTGGACGAGCTTCGTTCCAGGGATCTGCACCGCCTGCTCCATCGTCGCATGATCAACCCGGGCCGCCCCCACCGCCGCAAAGAGGATTGCCAACTGTGCCTCCGATGACTATGCCACGAACACCATCCCCACGTCCAACGACTCCGACAAATCCTTCGGCAGAGAAGACAAGCGTCCGTAAATCGATTCTCAAGACCTGGAAATCAGTATCGGGTTCCACAGCCTCTTCTAGTGCTCCTTCAGAACCAAGACGGGATACTGAAAGACCCGTGTCTAACGAGACTATAAAACCTCGAAGACCGAGTGTCTTGGATGCTGGGATACCCCCAACGCCGAAACTTGCTGAACAGTATCTTCCTTCAAATCATGCCCGAACGGGCAGTGGCATTTTTGAACGAAGAAAGTCTGTTGGACGGTCTAGAATGGGACCTTCGTCGAATCTGTCGACGTCATCTCAAGACGCTGCCCTCCCATCTAGGACGCACTCGCATACACCGTCGCAGCAAACATCTCCTCTACCTCCAGGGTCTATATCTCCTGCTCGCTCCCTGCAGTCCACCGCTTCTCGCCATTCCCATGTAGATGGCAGTTTTGAAACCGCACAGTATGAACTAGTATCCACCTCGCCCAGAGTATACCCGAGCTTGTCTTATCCCTATCAGACACTTGACCAAGATTAGCCTTCTTTTTTGGCAGGTAGGGGTTACTTTTTGTCGCACTGTTGCGGTCGTTGCTTCACTCTTTTTGCTTTTGCCTTCGCTTTCGCACCAACGTCACAACTTTACATTACATATTGTGGCTTTGCTTCATTATCATATTATTGCTTTCATTGCATATTTGAATTTGATTCACTTGGGGCGAAATTATGAACTCGACAGTCTGATATAGATACAAGCTAAGCATAGAGGAGGTGAGACTCGTGAGAGTCGCACATTTACATGATCACGAATATCATGCAGGTAACCATGATGGGTTTCTAGCAGCTGAAAATTTCACAGATGGGACCAACAGTCACCCAGTCTGAGGATGTTTTCTACGAAGATGCCCCGCTGACCCTGCATTGACTTGATACTTGCCTGTCTCTTTCTTCGTAGACCTCCAAAGCTCGGGAACACATGCATCTCTGCAAAACGTTCAGGGGAGCCTGAAATAGCTTGCCTGCGTGATCACATCTTTCTGTAGTAAAACGTTCCTGGAGCAACCGATAAATCGGTCAACATCAGCAACAATATCTGAAGAGATGCACGTTGGTGAGATACACCGTTTCAAGGCTCCCGTCTCAGCTCCAACAGGATCAATTATCACTGTTGCAGAACTTGCTCGGAATAGACCGCATCGATGTTCGGCCGTGCATTGTTTTGATGGTTCTCTCTCTCATTGATGAGAGCAGGGTTACCATGCTTACTGTCATTCGATGTTTCACGCTTGGGGCGGCCTAAGTGTCCCTTGCAATTGTATGTGGTTCTTGGCAAAATTCGGTGTTGGACTATAATTTCAGGTTAGTCACGCGACGGTATCGAAAGTCTCAGCCACAACACAAGTATGAACGAGATTGACAATCATGTAATCGAGAATCGCTCTTAATTCTTTGGAGCAAGTTTGGGGCCACGCAAGTGCCGCAAGCGGAGGCATCTCTGCGTTTGGCAATTTCCTTCGCAAGTCCAGTCAGTATACCCTTCTGGCTGCACAATAGCGAAACTCACAATTGAAAATAACCGATGCGTATGTCTGACACATCGTTCATGATGGTGGCCCATTGCCTCTTGGAAGCTAAAATTGATGGTACTTCCTGACTTCTTAGGACACATAGGGAGTAGGTTTGGAAGCTGATGGACTCCCGAGGGTATTTTAGGACGTGTTCAGGGAATGACTCAAGTCAGCTTAGACAATCATCTAGGCTATACCAAGCTTCTGGTAATAGATATCCTATTATCAGGTCCTCCGATTTGGGTAGTTGGTTAGGCGAACAGACCACCGAAGCGAGGGTACAGAGTAGCTGAGTTGAATCAAGCCGAGATACTGTCCGTCCGTCAAGACTCGACGTTGGCACTGTCACCATCCAATGGCACAGAGTTGCACGGCCACGGTTATGTTCTGCGATTTTGTGACGAATCAACGCAATACGGGAATAGATTATGACACTCGCCGGCCGGCCCTCTTGAACGAATGATATGACAATCGTTATCAATTGGCCGTGAGCAAAGGAATACTTGAAACACGAAGCTGGAAGCGGTTTAGGTCATCCATAACACCGGGTGGGATTGAAACTAGATGTAGAAATTACAGGTATGTTCCACACTCCATCACTAAGGATCAAAAATTATGTTCTGTCGAGTCCTTCCCAATAGCAGACGTGCTTGACGATCCCGCAGATACAGTCTGGATTATCGAATCAAGGTAGTTGGCACCGCTCCTGTTCCATAAAGGTTGACAACACATCGAGAGCAGAATTGGAAAAATGACACAAACCACTTTTGATGCGTGAGGACATCGCAGCCGATTTCCTTCTCCTTGCGTTGCACGAGTTCTACGTAAGCAAGCATACCGTCATCCTTGAACCGAGCAGCGAGCTCGGCTGGGTGCACATTCATTAAATGGCAGTTTGTTAGCATTCAGGAAGAAACGCACCAGTAGCAGCGGCATTGCTATGAAGCCCAGCAAGGGAGATCAGTTGCAAGACAAATCTGGGTTCATCAATCAGGCAGTCGCATTCGGACTGAAATGATATATATCGTACCCTTCCTTTCCGAGTTCCCATATGAAGTTCTTCAGATCTGAATCTGCTCAAGCCGTTTGTGCTCTCAGCCAAACAATGCTACTATTTGGGAGTGACGTACCGCTGAACCCTGCTTTCCCCCAGTTGAAGCTGGGGCTCAAATTGTATACAAACCATTTGCCAGGGTATTTCTCCCGGATCTTTCTCGCAAAGGTTCTTGCCTCTTCTAAGTCTGGCTTACCGGTCTCCAACCACAACAGGTCCGCATATGGTGCATATATAAGGGCGCGGTCAATAGCTGCCTGAAGGCCACCAGTAGTTCGATAGAAGCCTTCGGGTGTGCGGGGGACTGCAAAAAATGAGTGAAGACTTCACGACATTGGTAGCTGTACTCACGGTCCCAGTTCCATTGGATATCTCGGCCAACAGCCTCCCGAGCAATCTGACGCGCTTCGAAGTTTGATTTACCGACAACCGCCTTCTTGTACTGCTCAAACACGCCGCGTGGGTTCGAACTATTGCTAGACAATAACACTCGTTCGACGGCTGTGCTGCATGCTCAATGTGGTAGAACAGAAGACACTGAGGAATACGTACCTTGATCGAAAGTGATCAACTCGTTCAGCGAGTCCCATTCATTCTCAATTCTGGCTGCATCTGCGCTGCTTGTGGCTCGCGCTAGAGCTTCACTGAGGGGCTTTCCTTGCGTTGTAGTACCGAGGATATATCTAATGTGACGTATTTCAGACCGATACCAAGTTCTAAATTTAGGACTCACGGGTGATCAACAGGATCAACGCTGGTAGAAAGGAGTTTGCCACTTTCAGCATCAGTGCGGCCAATGAGTAACATCGGTGATAGAAGCATGTCAAGTTGGAAACGGGCCGCGACAAGCCGTGATACATGTGTGCTTGGGGGTACAATAACCTTCCCTGCAAGGTGTCCGCATTTCTTGCCGCCGTGAAGTTGGTCCTCGAAATGTATGGCTGAGGCACCTGACTCAGCAAAGAGTTTTGTGAGTTTCATGACAGCAGAGGTTCCTCCATGGCTAAGACGTTGTGAGTTACATATGAAGACCAAGTAAGGTGCGGTCTTTACCCAGTATCACCGTCCGCAATAATTGGTCGTAAATAGTCGATGTACGAAACTTCTGCACGCTTTTCTAGCAATGCGGACATACGTTCATCATAATGCTTCCGGTCATGAAGTTGCTGCGCGCGGAAGAGACGGTGAACTTGGTTTGGGACGGTTGTATAAGGGTAATCTCTGACACAATGTAGATGAGAAGAGCGAGAACATGATGCGTATGATTCGGCACGTCATTACCCGAAATCAGGACCAACTTCATTGTTGCCCGTAGTTAAAAGTGAGCTTGCGGCCCAACCAGAGACGTACACGACTTGTTGATGCCTTGCCATTTGGGTCATTTGAACAGGGTCAATGGCACCCATGGTAGGCACAGGTTGACCTTTGGCAGCTGCCTCGGTGAATAAGGCGAAGAGCTTGTTAGCAAGGAGTGTTGATGGAAGGGGAAGTACAGGGGCGGAGCCCTGCTTTAGTGCTACATCATGAGCGGTATAGGGACGGGTGATAGAAGCGAAGCGGGGCGAGGAAAAGAAAGCGGAGACGTCCTGAACGCGAGCATCGAAGGTAGCGCTTTGCTCAGCTAATGATGGCGGGTGAAGTGGCAGGGTAGGAACCGAGGACATCGGACGAGCCCCAAACCTAAGCGCCCTGCCTGTCGATTGACGAAGGAGAATCATTGTCAAGGTTGGGTGTCGCGAGATGATGAGAACACCTGGTAAGCGCCGGCCGTTGTGTACGGGATGGAAGGATAGCCGAAACCTAGATTGAGGTTAGGGTTACGAATGGGGATCTGTCGGCTAGGGTTATTCTCAGATACCTCTTCTTCAAGGAACTTCTTCTATCACTTTGCTAGACAACCGACCCACTCCAACAGAAGCTGGTTTTCTCCTGGCTATGACTCGTCATGCAATCTAGAAAAGTCGGTCGAAAAGCGCTCCAAAAGTGCTTTTAGGGTATTTGCGAGTCATCCAAGTTGGCCGTCGTCAGGCCTCCGCCAGCCCCCATAGCTCAAGATGATAGAGAGAGATTGATAGAGAAGCAATGATTTGACCTATAGCTACTAGTTGCTGATCAGTGTCTTCGCCCGAAGTATGATGTCGAAAGTGGTTCCTCCTTGCTCTCCCTCTGACTGGCACATTGTGCGACTAGGCAAAACACCGCCCCGGGTGGGAACTTTGTCTTGTGACGCATGGGCGAGGCTTCTGCGATGTCCATCTAGAAGAAGGAGATATGATGCTTTCGTTGGTTATTTGTTTTCCATCGATTCAAATACTTCACCTCATGTCCCTTCCTCGAGGCTTTATATCCGCATACTGAACGCCGCATTTCAACTCCCCAAGCATACCCTGGATTTATAAATCCTATTCATCCACTCCCACATCTCTCATGGAGTCCCGCTTGCGAGTCAACCGACTCACACTCATACATGCTGTCCTTGCATACATATCTCCTGAATTCACCGCGCTGTCCCATCTCCCACTCCCACTCCCCACCGAAATCCGCTTTCGTATTCTCACTCATCTCCATCTCACACTTTCGGCCTCCTTACTCGAATCACTCAACCACAGCTTACAGAATGCCCTCGATGACCTCTGTCATAGTTGCAGAGCCTATAATTGTCACGTCTACGGTCAAAACGTGTCGGACTGGCCTGAAATAAGGGCCACTGGAGGTTGCTGGTGTGCCCAAATCGGTGGGCACCCACGGCCAGAGATCGCGAGCGATCGGTGGAATTCCGATGAATGCATCGATGCCAAAATACGCTCCCCAATGGCTGATTCTGATCCGCCGCCCTACTTCAGTTTTCACTTGCGTCACGTTGCCGTAACCTATCTGTCAACTACCTCACCCTCACCTTATACGCGTGAAATAGAGGCGATGACAACGTCGCATGCTGGTGCGAAGGAGATTGATGCTTTAGTCTTGAAGGTCCTGCGACACTTTCATTGCCGCGTCTCTCCTTCGAAACCGAGGGCATGGAAGCTGGAAGACGAGCTTTGCATTATTCCCATCTCCGACGGCCCCTCTGATGATGAGACATTATGCACGCTTCAGCTCGCCCTGGAGCTTGATAGGCACCACGACTTTGTATCACATTCAAAGCTGCATCCTCGGAATATAAAGTTCACACCCCCCTTAATATCCCATTCCCCTGGTGAGGGCTTTCCTTCGTTCCTGTTTGTTATGATGGCTGATTGATGCTTAGATTCGAAATACTTAGATTCGAACCCTGGGTCTAGAAACTTCTCGCTCATATGCGGTGTCGCCCTGGCCTGCATGCTTTTCGGCATCAGGTATAGCAGTCTGGCTGCCTGGTCGTAATTGACCTTCACACACTCGCATATTCCATTTCCGTGCATACTTCCACACTCGGCCCCTCCAGGAACAATCAATGCCCTCGCTGCATTTCACAAAATTCTTGCAACTCTCAGAAGACGGATCTCCTCCGTCTTTACCGCGATCGCCTCAATGCCCTACATTCATTATAGATTAGTACCTTACAATCAGCATGATCATTCACTCTCTGTACGCATTTTTGGCAGCACATATGAACCTTAGACAACTTTTCAATCATGCACTCACCTGTACTTTCGATAGATAATAAATGGGGTGGGGGCGTTTTCAAATGCCCTGTTGTTGAGAAAATGAAAAGGCCGAAAAACGTTGTCCGACTTATGATAACGCCGATTCGAATAGGTACCACTGTAATTTTTAGTGAGCAAAATGAAGGTGCGAGGTCCACCTAGACTCCAGGCAGCCGCCGGCCGCCACACAGCTGAGCATCGCATTTCCATTTCCATTTCCATTTCCATTGTCAGTGTCAGCTGTTACTCAGGTCGTCCCATTTATCGCCCAGTCGACGGTCTCCCTATCGCCAGAAAATAGAGTCTAGACGAGAATTCAGATAAAATTTCTCGCTGACTAGGGGGAAATCAAGATTTCTTAAGGCAGACCAACAGGAGCGTGCAATGAGAGATTAGATCGATGAATCGATGACATGCTTGCATTTTGTCTTGCACAGACACTCAAGTAATTAGAGTATCTCAAGAAGTACTCTCAAAGATACATCGTTTTCTTAAATTTGGGTGCATCTACCAGGGCCTCTCATGCACGTGTATGACTTGAACTAGCACTGATTTTACTTCCATGTCACCTTGGTAGTTGGTGGTTACGGTCCTTGGAATCAATAGAAATAAAACCAAAAAGTTGGACGCTCAGGGGATTGAACCCTGGACCTTATACAATTCGGATGCTAATGCAAAGCATACGCGCTACCACTGCGCTAAGCGCCCCTGTTTGTCCTTGCTTAGTGTCACACTATGTCCACCCTCCCATTTATACCATTCACGTGGACTTGTACACTTCAAGTTGAAGCTTGACATGTACTGAGTACTGAAGTATCTATAGATGTTTACTTCATCCGTCGGCACCATTGCCTGGGCGTTGAACTGGCCCGGCGGCCAGTACTGCTCGAGAGAGAGGACGAGGAACCCCAATCATCTGCTGTCAATGATCTCTTCGTCAGAAAACATCATCGATAACAGATGTCTACAGCCTGTGCATGCGTCTATGTACGGTCGTGACCCTGGACTTCGCTGGTTTACTCCTGCTCTGCCTCAAAACTGGTCTGTCCCAAACTACGCCGGAACCCCTGGCCCCCGCTACCCTGTGACTGTTGTGCAAAGGGGTATGATCATCCGAGGTGCTGACTACCAGGTAGTGAGCGAACCATTGCATGCCAGCAGTACCGTATTCATATCCGCACCCCGGCAAACATCTTCAGGGCCATATTCCCACCCAGGTACTGGTGTACTTAAGTCATTCGTCACTTGATTGTGTTGTGATTCGTGAATTACAACGAGTTCCTTCCAAGCCTTCTTTGCACCCCACAAACCATGCTACAACTTGAACTACCTGACCTGCGCATCTCTGACAACGTGCAGCTCGTCCTCAGTGCTGCGGCTTGTCTTGGTGTCGTAGGAGTAATTTCTCGAGCTTACCTTCTCAAATCAGAGAGAGATCTTCCTCTCCCCCCTTCCCCTCCCACTTGGAGACTTGGGGGGCACTTACTACCGCATCACCAGTAAGCTTTTGCATTCAACTTATTGAATTTGATCGCTGATTGTGCCCTGTCGCTGATAAGCCCATCCCTCACTTTAGCGAGATGGATTGACGAGTACGGTCCTCTGATCACCATTCGGTCAAGATTTGAGAAGATCGTCATTATCGGCCGTTACAAAGTCAGTTCCTAGTCATGTTGAGTTGTGATATTCAGGCCCGTTCTGTTACAGGCTGCCGTAGATATTATGGAGAATCAGGGGAAATTCTTAGCCGACCGTCCTCGCCGGATTGCTGCTGGAGAAATATTTAACGGCGGAGTGAATATAGCCTTTTCACCTGTTGGCGACAGGTTCCGTCGGATGCGTAGGTAAGTAGTCCGCGACACTTCCCCTCATCTATCTTACTTCTTAATGTCATGCAGAGCACTTCATTCGCACCTCCAGCCCAAAGCAGCTGAGGCCTATCAGCCCCTACAGATGTCGCACGTGAAGAACACAGTTCTCGGCATTCTCGATGATCCACGCAACTTCCAAAACCATGTGACGACGTAAGTGCTTTTGGTGGTGATCGCACTTTGCTTACAGGTGGTCCAAAGTTATGCTGCGACAACAATTATGAAAGTTGCATATGGGAAGACTACGCCCACATCTGCAATTGATCCCGAAGTCGTTGAAGTTCATCGTCGCATGCGGACAGCCACTGCAGTCATGAATCCCGATGCTTACCTTGTGGACTCGATTCCATGGCTCAAATATCTTCCTTGGTATGGGCGAGAGTTAAAAAAGGAATTTGAGAGGTTCAAGAAACTCAATATTTCTCAACTGAACCTTGTGAAAGAGAAAATGGTGTGCATTTCCTTCTCAATCTTCTCTTCATGTCTGAGCTATTCCACAACAGAGGGACGCGGATGCTGGCCCTTCGTTCACGAAGCATCTGTTGGAGAATAGCCATTTTTATGGTTTGACAGAGACTGAGATGGCCTTTCTTGGTGGTACCTTCTTTGTAGCTGGTACCAGCACGGTGAGGTGTTATTTTTCTACTTCCAAAGATATGTGGCTGAAATCAAGCGAAGACTTCTGCGGCAGTATGCACAATACTCATGGCAGCTGCATGTTTCCCCGAGGAGCAAGCTAAAGTTCAGGCCGAGCTCGATGCGGTCATTGGGAGGCACCGAGGTACATAACTTGTTCACTATTGCAGCACTATGGATTCAATAACCCTGCACTAAAGCGCCGACCTTCGCCGACCAAAAATCCCTTCCTCGCCTGCAAGCATTCATCTCTGAGGCTTTGAGATGGAGACCAACCTTGCCTACCGGTGGTGGGTATCTCCTTTTGGTTTGTCCCTAAATTTTACAAAATTTACACTGCAGCATTGGCTCACCGAACAACTCATGACGTGATTTGGGCAAGTGACATTTAATAGCTTATCGCACGAATCATGATCTGCCCGTCAGGAAAACTATTGTATTCCGGCTGGGACTACAGTATACGGCAATCATTGGTAAGCATCGTGCTTCAATATACGAAGGATCTAACGGTCCCTGCTTTAGGGCGATCTCTCGAGATCCAGACGTCTACCCGGAGCCTGACGCATTCAAGCCTCAGCGCTGGATTGACGACCAAGGTTGCCTGAGAGACGATTTAAAATTCTTCATCTTTGGCTTTGGTCGGCGGTAAGAACTGCCTTTCACCTATTCGTTCTTCGACTCATAACATTACTTTTAGTGTTTGCCCCGGTCAACATGTCGCGAACAGGTAAAACTACTCCTCCACGCACATCATCTTCCAAACTCACTTTGATCAACACAGATCAGTATTCATAAACTCGCTCCTTATTTTATGGGCCTTCCGACTCACTTTGGATCCTACGAAACCGTTGAATGACATGGGATTCATGTTGGGGTCGCCGGTGTCAAATGTCCCGCCGTGCGCAATTGAGTTTGAGGCGAGGATTCCGGAATCAGAGCTCAGGCACATGATGGAGCATTATCCTGAAGCTGCATGAGAAGTTTTGATGGATAGGCCAGCGAGGGATGAAGAACCAGTTCCCAACAAATCACTAATATCGGCGCTCCAGGACTACGATGTATTCTATTTGAAATTTTGGCCTTGATACGATTCCTAAATTGTGCATTATCATCGTCGTTTATCTCGTCTCAAACAATACTTGGCCTGGTGCCCAAGTTAGGTCAAGATGTTCAAGGTCTCAATATTAATGTGCAACTTAACTGCCATGCAGACAAAGACGGAACATACCTCATACAATTTTGCCTCAATCCACAATCTAATTTACAACACTTCATTGTTTAGTTATTACTCTATGAAGTTGAATGATCAAAATTGACGGAGAAATGTGCGAGATCGAGGTAGATCGAGGTTAATGTCGAGGCGTGACAGAGCCGAAGTCTGTCTGTCACGTGCCAGGTGCCAGCCAATTCATGTTGTTCTGGCCGAGTGAGGGGGGGTCGAATGAATGGTAACCGATAGTAACTCTTGAGTGGAAACAGCTGTAGAATACAATACGCATTTGATTACGACGCCTGATTGCGGAGCGTGAATTTGAATATCTTGACATCAAGACCAGCATCCACTCCAGCGGTATCCAGATCAAAATATGTAAGTGAGGTGAAAGCATGTGGAACTTCCTCCACACAAAATTCTTTTACTATGTGACTTGAAGATCAGGTTCACCGCACTACACAGGTCGAGGACTGCTCACCAGCCTCTGTCACAAAATGCGTAAGCGTCTGCTCATTTCTGACTGTTAGCGCCACCACTGCCATTCGGGTACTCTCGAAGGAAAGTGCAAGACGCAAGGTTGCGACCAGAGGCAAGACCAGACTTGGGTCGAATACCTGCCCGGGTAAGTGGCAACCACGTAGCGGCGAATGTGAGCCTTACTATATCAGCACCAATCACAACGCCGGCACTCGCTTTGGATAGAAATGCTGTCGCCGCGTTCTCACTGAGTGGCAGGGAAAGGGAATCGAACCAGTCAAGAGTGGAGAAGGAGATATTTTGGTGATTTGATGACTGATCTACGCGACAGTGAGCAAGGACAACACATCTTTAAAATATGTTCTGAGCCGATCGAGACAAACGAGATAGAGCACAAATAGACTCCGAAAAGGGTGTTGAAGGCGGAGCACATCAACCCGGTTTACCGAAGGGCTGCAAGGATGAAACTGGGATCACTCACTGCAACGAAGTCGGATATTGTCGCGGCATCTTGAAAGCACTCCGGAATTAACATCGGTCAACAGTACCGCAGGTAATGACTGGTGATGTGACTGATGACACTCGTTTAATTTCTGTTGCAACGTTGCCACAACAATCCCAAGAAAACCGGTCCCGCAGCCAAGCTCAAGGACCGTTTGATCATGAATCATTTCTGGTGCGCATAAAGAAATATCAAGGCCAGTCAAGGAATGGCACGGTGTGTCTACCGTACCGGGATTCGCAATGAGATAGCTGGCAAGGACGAAACTTGCACACCACGTCCTTAGCCCTGTCGTCCCGCTTTCGATGGTGGTCCGAGACTCGAGTAACGTGATGGACTCGTGACTGTTTTGATTGGCAGAACCAAGTGGACTTGGAGGCTTCCAGTAATATGTCACGTACGAATCCGGTGGGGGACTACTACGATCGCTGTGCAGTGGGGAAAAACGGAGATGAGCAGAGATGTATTGTAATGGAAATCAACCTACATTGGACCCGACATAAGGGACAAATAACGGTCATAAATCCGTGTGTCGATCTCGGCGTCCTTTATGTGCAATTGTGAATGAGTCGGCTTCTCGGGTGATACTGTAGCAGTGTAGCCAACCTCGTCGTATTTGTCCATTCGTTCCAAGTGTCCAATTGCCCACTTCCAAAATGACAGCTGGTATCTCCCGGAAGGTGGATACTGCTTCAAGTGCGGGTCGAGCAAAACTTGGTGTAAAAGAAATGTGTGTACCTCAGTAAATGAACAATGAAGAGGAAATTTAAGGTGAAGCGGGGGAATCAAGGCAGAATATCCCTTCAGTAAAGCTGATAGCCCATTGTCATTTCCATAGCATACATCGCTGGTGAATGTCATGGACATCTTCAATTATGCCTAGAAACGTCAAGCAAAACTCTCATTAAGTCAAATTTGAATTTGAGGCCTGCCCTAGAGTGTTCACGTGACGCCGACCAGAAATGCTTCAAATTTTTTGCGCGTTCTGCGTCCCAATGTTCACTCGTTTGCGTATATCAGCTTCATCGTCTCAGCGCACCCTGCATTTGCCTTCTGTGAGCAGATGTCCGCGTAGAACATTTTTCCAGTCTTTCGTCGCAAGACAGGATGAATCTTTCGAGACAGACGAGGAAGATGATGCCCTTGGCGAAGCTATCCTAGAGGGTTTCGACATACCATACGATGCCGAAACCCCAGAAACTCCTTCATACGAGAAGTGGATAGCAGACGCCGGTCGCAAGTACCGTGACCCCGCGCCACGGAATTGGCTTGGCTCTGGAACGGTATGTTCAGTTAGCTAGCACCACAATGATCATGCTCATTCCTAGTCAGCCCTTTCCTCTTAACCAATCATTCCGTCCTCCTCCACCTGTCTCGGATTCTTTACGCACTCATATCTATTTTTCTTACATGGCCGATCCCGAGGCTAATTCGGTACGAGCTTTGGCTGTCAGGCATCATCTCAGCATAAAACGTATCGATGCCATTTTACGATTGAAAGGTTTAGAAGCATCATGGAAAAAGGTGAGAAATCACTTATTCCTCTGTTCTTTCTCAAGAACGTGATGAGCAACGTGAATTCGATTAGTCTTATAGACGCATACATGGTTAAATCTACGCACCTTACTGATCTGCATCTCCCTTCCACTGCTACTTGATATTTAATGATACTGACTGATCCTCTTGCATTTTTTTTCCAGGTAAATTGCAACTACCCACAATGAGGAACTATTCACTGACTCTCCCCCGAAAATCCCTTCATTACGAGCAGGATGTGAGTACCAATTTCCTTTCCTTTAAACCACATCATTGTTTGCGCAATTCAAGCGCCTTACATAGTCTGGCACTGGTCACACATTCCGACCATATCTGAACCTATACGTTGTTCCCTTTGTGACATCGACGCTCACACGCTTTGCAGAATAAGTCCATCCAGACAGGTTTTGTGCAAGGCATGGAAAGTCTCCTTGGCGTACCTCAAACGAAAGTTTTTACCACCCTTGATCATTCGAAGCCTGTACCCGTGCAGTATGATACCAACCAGCACTTGGCCAAAACGCACAGCGAGAGATACGACGCAGTGGAGGCTGACCGAGAAGACGAAGAAGCCGGCGGCTTCGACTGGGCGCGACAACGGTATCAGCGCATGTTTTGGGAGACGGTGCCTGAGGGCAAGGTTTGTTGGCTGTTTCTTCGATGTACAAGTGAACTCACTTATCTACTAGGACCCAATCATGCCAGGCATTCTGGATGCCGCCACAAAGTCAGCTACTCCTTCCGAGAACGAGGCGAAGTCGAATATTGTCGAGCGTCTTGGCCGTCCAGCAATCAAATTCATTGATGTCGGCAACATGTTCTTAGATGTCAAAGAGCTGGAGCGTCGTGCCAAGGAGGGCGAGCGTAGGGCGAAGGTTCGAGCACGAAGCAAAGAGCGTCAATGGATGGCCAATTGACGTGAGGGGATATCGTTCCCTTTTTATCGTTGTGTTCGAGTCAGCTATGGCATTCATGTATACATACAACCCATAATAATCTTAGTGCGACTGTCAGCGCTGTCAGCATACGCATGTGCTGTCCTTGTCCACTTCGTGACCATTGTATATGCATATGGGCGGACGGCTGACCTTTTACTATAAGTTATTACGTCAAATCGTCAGTTGGGTCGAATGTGGGTGGGGACATGCGAGACCTTACAACGCATTATCATGTCTTGCCTACCACACTGATGCGGCGCGCTAATGACGTATTGTCGAAGCAAAACGAAATATCGATCGTACACAAGTACATTACTCCTGTAACAAGCAATGTTGTGTTACAAGCAAGCGATTGGAAAAATGTATGTGTGAGTGGTAGAACTACGTAGACATCAGAAGAGGATGACAATCAGGGCGTACAAGTCACCATGCTTTAAACTTCATTGCTGCAGCTCATCTTACACTTCTCAAATAATCATAAGCCTGTTGCGCAGCCATGTCCTGAGCAGCACTTCTGGTGGGTGCTGAAGTGTAGCCTTGATTCACATTGTCAACTGTATGACATATTGTTTAGTATGCACATCTATACATCCATGACTATTCTGGCGGTTGAACATACTATAAATGGTCGCATACCACGTTGAGGCATTGGGAGGGCCTTGCTGATAGACCTCCCACCTGACATGGTCGTTGACAGCGGGTCCGTAAATGGACTGCAATAAATTGTTCAAAATCGTGCGAGGATCTGAAGGTTAATGAATGAGCGCATCCTACATGTTGAACAACAGATGGAGGACGTACTACGTCCAGGGTTGGACATTGTTGCGGAAACTAGGTTTCCAATGGAATGTAGACGAGAGAATTCCTGGATCCGACATGGCAACGACAGGCGCCAGGTTATGATTCGGCGTCAAGCCCGGTCCTGCCAATTTCCCCCACGCCACATACTAGTACGAATCGTGATACAAGCTGAATATGCAATCTTGAGACGATTCAGTACATGCTCTTGTACTTTGCCATGCGCGAGATAATGTATGGAGCGGCACGGTCGTCCGCTTGTGTGTCCACCTTTCACAACTCGCTTTCCCATTCGTTATCAGGTCCACAAGAAAGGAGAATCTTCCTCCTCGCAAGTTTTGGGAGGTCATCTGCCTTTGAAGTCACGGTGCTATTGCAGCCTACTCGCCCTGGAAGCAAATCAGCCATGTGGCTCCCGCTTAGTGGAGGCTCTTATTTAACTGCCGAGTTGTATGTTAACGAGTGAGAACAAACCGGTCTGAGAGGCGCATGGTTTGGAGTATGTGGTAGGCTGTGAGGTGGACTTAGACTAGGGTGTCTTTTAAGCCAGAAGATGTGTGAAACTGAAGGGCGTTGCAATTGGGGCAAGAAAATTGGTAGCAGAGATGGGATGGATGATTTGGTGGACACCCACTGGGTACGCTATACTCGGAATTGGAGCATCAGATTGATCAAACTAGAGGAAACAAGTTGAAGTTAGCTTCGGCTGCGACACACGCGTCGCGTCACGTGTCTTCCTTACTTTTAGATGGCCAATTATAGCTCACCCCTAACTTCTCGGTGTATGCACGGCAATTTGTTGAGACACAGTATGAGTATGTAGTGGAAGCAGACCATGATAAAGCGGGAATGATTATTATCTGTTTGGTCTGCTCACTAGGGAGACTAGCTCGCATTTTACCAGGTGAATCAATATTTGGAGCCGCGTCAGTACCAGTACATAGGGCGTGTGGCAGACCATATGATACATTATCACGGTCTCCTCTACTCACCACCACACTGATGCCCTCACTCTGGGTTACTGACACATAGGAGCACGTCGAAGCACAACGGGCCATCAACGCATCAACCAAGAAAAAAAAAAGGGATCTATTGGCTCACAACACGCGCACTTCTAGTATGGACGACGCTGTATTACGACTGTATGATGATGACGAAAACGTATCAGTAACAGAACTATGCGGGTGTCTAGAATGAAGGCATATATGAACTGAAACCGCCACACTAGATTGACAAGTTTGTCAATTGCTTCATCTTCTTTCACGTCTCAAATGGTTATAAGCCTGTTGCGCAGCCATGTCCTGAGCATCACCTCTGGTGCGAGCTGAAGCGTAGCCGTAATTCATATCGTCAACTGTGTCGTATGTTAGTATGCGCATCATTGACTCTAGAAGTCAACGTACTGTAGATGGTCGCATACCATGTTAAAGCGTTGGGAGGGCCTTGCGAATAGACCTCCCACCTGACATGGTCAGGGACATAGGGTCCGTAAATGGACTGCAATAGATTGTTCAAGTTCGTGCGAGGGTCTGGAGGTTAAAATGAATGGATATATCCTGCATGACGAATAAATGAAGGGAGGACGTACGTTCAGGGTTGGACATCGTTGCGGAAACTAGGGTGCGAGTGTTGTGGATGATAGAAAACCAGTGGACTTGTCGGATAATGAGCTGTGTCATGGCTCTCTTTCCTTTATATCTAACGACATGCATGCATAACCCGCCAAGCTGGCGCTGTAAACGCAGACAGGGGTAATTGGCAGCTAGACGAATTTGGTACATTGGCAAGGACATCACGGCCACATACATGTCCCCGGAGTCAGCCACGATGTGGAGTGTAGGTGGAGGAAATGAAGTATCAACATAGCGCACGCTTGATACTGCCGGCCAATATCCAGGTGACAAGGTGACGAATCTGAAAGGCCATCTATCATAATAGGCAGACCATGGCCAATACTGGCTTTTGCGCCATCGGGATTCCGTACACTGGCGCTAGAATACAGGCCAACTTGCCAAGCTGTATAGTTAAAAAAAGTTGCGAGCACTGACTGTGCTTTTCCTATTCAGGGCTTTTGGAAGGCGCTGTGGTAAAAGGGTTGCAACGGTTCCTCGCAAGATATCAATTTCCGATTGCCAGTCCGCAGGTGGATTTGGCTAATGGCAGGTGTAGGAAGATGCATCGCGGATAAAGTGCCTTCGTATCTTGCTGCTTAATGGGGCAATGTGACATTGGATTTTTCCGTGGAAGACGAACAGCTGAGGGATGGCGATATTAAGTCTTGCAGAGCGATCTTACAAGAGTCCGTAACGCACGGTGGCGGTACAAATAAATCATACCTACCTGTCAATGCTTTCCAGCAGTCTGATTCCAGATTCGAAGCACTGCAGCACTCACAAAATCAGTGTCAGTTTTAGGCGTGGTACGCATTAAAGTCCGAAGAGTTCGTGGGCGTGTGTGGACGCGTATAATTGACTCAGTGGTGGTGGAAGAAATGAATTGTTTGTTGATGTTAGTTGATGATCAAATTACGTATTCGAACCCGGTTCAGCCTCCATGCTGACACATGAAGCGGCACTGATCAATACACCGGGTTGTGTGGCGATCTGTTGACCTCCTTCGCGGGATGCATGCCAAAAATATTCTTTGGACGGAGAAAACGAAAGGCTAGAGCTACATGCATGTTGTGAAATACACAATAGGGTGCTATGGCCAAAATTACAGGACGGTGGATTATATAAAGAACCACAAAACTAAGAAGACGACGTCGTACAACTAGTGCAGCAGATGAGCCCACTGTATTCGAAGCTGCCCAAGGGCGACTCCAGAAGCCATCTCCTTCGCAATCACTTTGTCACTACCAGACCCCCGCCCGTACTCAATACCGTCGACTAAGTGCATTAAAACGTGACAAAAACCAGACAAAAAACTGAGCACATACCATAAACAATCAAAGTCCATGTAGGATTATGATCAGTGCCATTTCTAACACTTTCCCATCGCAGGTGAGCAGCGACATTTGCACCATATCGTTGTTGCAAGAGGTTGTTCAACCCCAATCTATTTTCTACCATTGCAAACACAAAACAGTCAGTCGTGACAAGAACAATTTAATCGCCCAAAGCATTACATACCTGTTGCATTTGACATTGGTGATATTTTGAAGGTGCCAAGGGAAGTCGGCAAAGAATTTGGGAGACTCATTATCATCCCTTCGACTTTTTCAAGCTAGCAGGGTGGCAGAGACGGGAGAGAGTAGCGTCCGGCATGCAATTGGACCGAGCTCGAGCGTTTGAAAAGACCTGTAGAAAAGATATAGGCAATCGGAGCGCTGGAGGTCTGGCGGCTTCCTGTATCATGCCATATGTCGCTTCCTTACCGAAACGCTCGAGGATAAAAATCATGAATGATTTAATTGAAAGTCTGCTTAGCTGACACTGGCACTCTTCCAAGATACTTCCAAGACAATACAATTGTCGTTGCAATATTGATGTCCAGAACGGCGTCTACGAGTCGTCCACAGGAAGAGCCGCAGCGAGCCCGATCAGCAAGCTGTGAGTAATTTTATTCGGCAGTTACAACCAGTTAGCCATTCAATTCATTGCAGCACGTTCCATGTCCACGGTTACTGGCTTCCCGAAAGCGAAATAGTCGGTCAATATTAATCCCTGATGTGTGACACTGGAAGGCGCTTTCTGCGGCACGATGTTGTTCATGTGGTGAACCCAGTGCACGCAATCGGAGAGGTTACAGGTCCGTAGTTGAAGAAGCGTAACGGAGAATGAGACACCCATAGAAATAATCGCTTTGTTCAGACCTAGTAGGTTATGGAGGGGAGCGCTGTTAGGATGACAAGCTATTGCAATTGGAAAAATAATGACTGACCAAAAATCGACCATCCAATTTGCTATAGGTCTAGTGAGTTACAAACCGATCGGCCCGCCAGACCCCCACTCCACTCACATTTTTTTCCGTTATTCCAGTAACGATTCAGTGACTTCGACCTGCCGGAAGTGTTCTCACTCCAGGCGTAGACGTGAGCCTTGGACTCGGACCCAAGCAATTAATCGCGGCTAGCGCGCCTGGATCTATACAGATTAATCACCATGCCTCGTTCTCAGCTGGCGGAATCCTGCGTTCCATTCAACCCCAAAAGCAGAGGATGTTATTAATGGCGGACTGCCAGACATACCCACCGGGTTACCTAAGTCCGACAGCATGTACGCCGGATCGCTCCGCGATCTTCCATCTAATGCGACCGGAGCTCCTCACAGCATCGGGGTTGTCGATGTTTAGGAGTGCTTTGAGTGTTGCACAAAATGCGAAGACGATACTTCAAACTTTGCTCGAGATTTTTGGCGGTTAAATATTTCTCATATTCACAAACATTTTCATCTCAAATAATTAAGTAATAAATATTAAATGAGAATTTTGGCAAGCTAAACTTCAAGCTAAGGGCATCACATTTTGTACTTCAAAGCACTCTTAAATGTTCATAACTCCGATGTGAATTAGCAAAGTGCCTATCCACTGTCATGGCAGCATCCACTTCGTATCACAGTGTTTGCAACCATGATCGTGTACTGGTACTTTTACAACCAATCCATTGCTATGCACGCAATACTCCTAGTTCAGGGTGGGATTTAATACCGGAATTCAGAAGAAGAAACACAATATGATGAATTTGCGCTACGTATCACAAGTTCCGTCTACAGTTGAGATCGCGGTTCTTGCGGTCAACGTCAACCAATCAACCAATAGAGACTTGTAGAGTGATACGAAAGGGTGCCGGGAGGGGAAGCGCAGACAGATCCTAAGTCTCCGAACACTGTTCACGTGATCAGTCGAGTATAAAATAAAATAAAAACAATTAACCATGCCTTTGCTTTCGCCCTCAGTCCACATCGGAGTTTCCTGAGTATATAGGATGTTAATAATTCGTATCCACAACAACTCGATCATCCAAGACTCATCTCATGTCAGAACCTTCCCTTCTCCGGGTGGCCGAGTATCTTGGATCCCAGGAAGAAATGACTTGATCACTTTCGTCGGTTTGTACGTCGTTTTTGTCTACCCGAGCATAGCAGCCAGGTGCTCTATGAACGCCGTTCTTCCTTGAAGTATCTTCCTGCAGTTGCATGCATCAAATCATCTGTCAGCGCTATCAACCAGACCATCACTCGTTCGTAATCCATAACATGGAAAGAAGCTGGCTTACGCGATTCAAATCACAGGAATGAGACTATTGCTGCACCCTACAATTTAAATGAAGACGGCGGCATCAGCGGAAGTTGTCGAGAAGAAAACGGGCGAGGCACTGACTGAGAGCCACAAAAAAGGACGCTCATTCGCAGCTTGCATGATGGCAAAGGACCACAGGCTGTGATGTAGATGAGGGAGATGCCGGAAAAAAGGTTGGCAGCTATGACGTGAAAAATTCTTCGAATGCCGTGCCGATGAACCTTGCTCTCCTCGATCTCTTGATGCGGGACCACTGACTCGTCCTGGAAGAAGTGAGCGAGCGCCGCGAGGAGAGAATGGAGACTTGCGTTGGCTGAGGTATCAACGACACACCATCCAGTTGAGCGGGCAGTAATACCCAGCGGTGAGATCAGGACAGTGATGTTGGAGGAATCAGGACTCAGACGCAAGTTGAACCGCTCGAAAATATTATGCACCCGACTGCCCAAGTTGCCAACAGTTAGTAGGTACTGGCAGTGTGACTTTGGCGAGTATTATAGTAGACTCCAAAGGTTCACTGAACCATTGCCTTTCCATTGAACCGTTGTCAGGCACTGGACGTCCTACTGCCAGACATTCATGCAGGCGAGGTGGGCGAGACGAGAACTCCGACGTATAAAGTTTCTCGTCTGTGAAGGGAAAATCAATTCTTTAATTTTTTAGACCGAGAAACCAAGGGGAGACTGCAGAAACTGTGACTTGAATTGGCGAGCGGAGTTGCGACCTGGCAAAAACCAAAGCTACTCCGATTTCTTGTGGACCAATTGTGGACCAAACAAAAAATTGGTGCCCACGAATCGTTAATCATTCCCCAACCGCTGCGACTCGTCCTGCCAAACAAAACAAAAAATCGGCTCAGCTTCAACCACTCAAGTGTAACGCAAGAAGGCTCGTCGCAAGCGAATTTCTTGAATTGCTGATCTTGAAGTACGACACCAGCAGCTTCGATACCCCTTGACGCACCCATGGATCCACTCGCAAATCGGAGTCGCCTATGATGTATTGTGGCCCCCACGAGGACATGCAAGACAGCTTGGTCGCACTTCAAGTTATGGTCACGGCTCAGCATCGCCAACAGCATTGGCAAAGGCAAGAACTAGACACAGTGCTGCGACGGTGAAAATTCGCAGTTTTTTCGTCAGCAACGGGGCTGGGAGTCTCCATGGTTTTTGTAGCTTGACAGCATCTCTTCTCATGTTGGATCATTCGGTTTGACATCCTTCACATCTGGATGCACGGAAATTTGTGGAGAATTCGAGGCAGCTTACGATGCAGATGGGGGGCACTGAGCCGGATCATAGTCACTGGTGAGTGTCTTGTTCACTCCAACTATGTTTTTGTTTCTGGCGTATATCACTACTGGAGTGGCAGTGGTGGCCACCTGGCGATGTTGATGAGGGGCGGTTGCGCCAAGTTGAGATTATTGGGGCGATCTTGATGCAGCCATAGTGACTATCTTGACTCACACCAATGCTGCTTGAGATATTTTGATAGCTTGAAGGCACACTTTTGAGTCGCTTGCATGTTTCATGATGGCGGTTGCGAACTTGCCTTGGCTCGTGCGCAAATTAGCGTGACGCCCCTTTTTGTGTCACGCCGCGCGTGTCACATCGCTATTGATCACGCTGTGCTCGCTGAGGGAGTAGCTCAGCGTTGGGAGTTTTTTCTGGCATGTCCAGGGGATGCAGTCGTTCAGGATGGTTGATCAGCGCATTGGAGATATATTGTGTAGCATACAACAGAGAGTTCTCCGTAACAGAGCCCATGCACTTGCGCCTCGTGAACTGACTTTTCTTGTCCAGGCAGCCTAGGACGCGTCTAGCTCGCGCAGCATTTCTATAACGTTGTGCTCTAAGCAGCACATCAGAGATAGAAGTTCCAGGTTGTCCAGATCCGTGGTGTATATCAAGGAGCTTAGACATACAAGTCCTGCGTCGGTGGTCCGTAGGTTCGAAGGAATAACGTGGCGCCCACTCGTGGCCATGATATCCCTCCTGGCGGCGCCGTGTTCTGCCTCTCGTTTCGTCCTATCGTCGGATGATCCTGGATCGAGGTCGCCCATGATGATGCTAAGAGAATTGGTTCCACGGAAGCAAATTTTGTACCAATATTTCCACAAGTGCCACACTGGGACAGGCACCCCACTGGACATTGAATCGGCACTAACTCAACCCTGTCGGGATTGCGAATTTGGGGTTCTAACCCCCGGTTCGCAATTTTTTTTGTTCGCTTTCCTTCCCCAAGCCTCCGCTGGTATTTAAACCCCAATGCCTTCACGCAGGATAATCGACGTTCCTTTCCCTTCATTTTCACTTGTAATGAGCCAGTATTCGACGAGCACTATGAGGTTGCCCAGCTACAGGTCTTCCTATTTGCTTCGCTTCCACCCTTACCCGAGAGTGAAGTTAAGCCAACGTGAGAGCCTGATGGTGAGACATGCGAACCTCATTGGAGCGCTATTTTTGACAATTTCTCATGAAGCAAACTGTCGACGATCGTTTCAGCAATCAGTACGACGTTGTTGAAGACGACAACAGCGTTGGACCGCCAATTCTCGACTTCGTACGTGTTTTTTTACATCGTCTTGTTGCCTTACTTACTCTCAAAATGCAGTCTGACCTCCACGAGGAGCCACAGGAACTTGAAGTCATTGAAGTTCATGCCGAGGTCGATGCCGAACCTCGCATTAGGCGCCTCAGCCTGACGACTTTGATTATTGTACGTTTGCTAGCCTTACTTTGCTTGCGTCCGTCTCTCACACGTCACGTCAACAGGACCTTGCAGTGCTGGTCGTCAGAAAGTTGGCTTTGAAAGCCAGATAGTTCGCCATTGCCGGATAGTCGTCAGTATTTGACACAGAAAAACCAGACGGTCATACCCGAACAAGCTTTCACCCATCTACTATATTGGGTCTTGCTGTCGGTCGTCTTTCAACTTGTATATCGCCAAACGCTATCATTGTATCATACTACCGCTCCTTGAGTCATTCCAATATGCTTTACATCTGTCTATCCCGGATTATCTCCCTCTAATCATCTCACATACAAACGATACATGTGATATACTGCCAATACATCTAGTGAAAAGGTTTCTCCAGAGAGATCTTCACAGCCTCATCCATATATTTGAACGAGCGGCTACTAGCTCTAGTCTCTAACATGGATCTTAATGACTCCCAGTGGCAGAGCACTCAAAGCTTCCCAAAATTACTTGACCTCGAGAGTCTGATGGAAGTATGCAGACATCGTACCCAGCCGTTACCATCATTCCACCAAAGAAAATACCTTTGGTCACGCAGATTTGCCTGGCTGGCCCGGTAAACTTCGAGCGCACGAAGCGAAATCGAAGAGATTCAATAGGTTCCCTCACTAATAGGCAAACCTAAAATCTAGCCTCTCATTTCCTTGATCCTTGGTTGTCTCCAAGTATGTTTCCCGTTCCTGTGGAAGATATTAGGTCCGACCCATCATTTCTACAACGATCTTGGACAAACCGTGACGGTCATCGTATTCCACTGTTGCTCTCTGTGGCGGTTTATACCACGATAAAAGAAGTACGTCGAAATATAAATAATGAAGTTCGCGCTGCATATGATGATCAAAACGAGGTTTCCCCGCTTATCTACAACGCCGTCGTCAGAAGTTAAGCCGCGAATGCAATCAAGGAACGTACATAGGGGCTTTTTGAATGCGGTAAATCAACTGATGAGCACTTCATTGAATTGCATAAGATCAAAACCACTCACGGCATCATCCGCACGGTATATATTCGCCTGAAAACAGTAAACTTGAGTTCACCAGGACGGCTTCGATTGTACTCACATAAACAATAACTCCTGCCTGAACAAACATATTATATACACTGGCCGATATCGTCCGTGTTCGCACGCTGCCAGAATTCCTAGAGGCCCAGGCAACCTGGATTGGATGGACATACGGGAAGCCAGTGATCAGCGTGACAACCGCAAAGTAGTCCCACTGGTTAGTGCTGCGCCCAAAGCTTCGGAGTACAACGAGCAATGGCAATGCCCATATCTGAAGTACTAGGCAGGCGCCGACTCGTGACTGCACAAACTCCGAAAAATAGGAAGTAAGTAAAAGTGTCAGCAACCCGCAGGTGGTGCTAGGCAACGTCAGGAGATTAGATTGAGTAGTTGTGAATCCAAGGTTCCTCAGCGAAAGTGTCAGGTACGTCTGTGGTGGTCCAACGGGAACTACGAGAATTATAAGTTGTCGAAATCGGAGTGAGATTGTGAATACATACTCATATGTGTGATACCAAGGACGTATATAGGCCACATTCGCCAGTCACAGATGGCATCCCAGATCATCCTGATCGTCAAGCCCTCCCGATTGTGCATATCTGATTTCGTTGGGTCATCTCGCAGAACTCTGTACCACAATCCATGATTAGATTGAGATAAGGAGCATCAAAAACGAAAATTGTCAGCCGACCTGTTAACCATAATAACCTCCTCGCGCTCCGTGAACCATCCTTTTGGCCTAAACCAAGCTTTCGTTTGCGTCGGACCGGGAGGCATCAAAAAGTATGACGTTATGCCAACGGCAAGAGTGATCAATCCCTCTATCAGAAAGAGATACCGCCAGCCGGCGCGATCTCCCGAGCGAAGGGACAGGATGCCAGTGGCCAAAAAAGCGCTGACCATCACGGTTATGTAGTTTGAAACCCAAAACCAAGCAAGGCGAATCGGCACTGCATAAGATCTCAGGTGCACGAACAATGTAAGCGAGTAAAGTCTCACGTTCTGTCTTTGTGTAAAAGTAGGATAGGTAGAGCACAACGTCAGGAATAAATCCTCCTTCTAGGAACCCGAGAATGAATCTAAGACTAATATATGAGACACTCAAAAGATGGTCGAACATAGCGTACCTCGTTGCAAGGAAGGATCTTCGGTCAGAGAGCCAATATTGCGACAGTGCAGCCATGCTCCAAAGAGTGATCTGGCAGGTTATTCTTCATTCAATTAAAAAGAGAATATACGAACGAAAATACCTGCGTTGGTACCCAAACATCTGGTCCAACCCTCTTCGAAATCAGCTGCGATGGGAGTTCGGCTATCAAAAAGGACAATCTATACAGCGTATTTCCAAGGTTAAAATCATTCGTGGTGAGATGCAGGTCTTGTAGGAAGTTGTCGGTGTTCGCTTGAGAAATATTCGTTCGGTCGAGGTCCAGCGCAAAGAACATCACGCCAGCCCAGATCATGATGCGGAAGTCAATCTTTCGAACAACTTTCTGCAATCAAGCAAGCCATTATTAATTATTATATTCGAAAGCCATGGTTGTGCTACACTTGCCTTCTCTTCCCTCCAAGTCCATTTCGCGTCGGGATCGAACCTGTGAGTATTCTCATACTCGGGAGGGGGTCGATACACCTCCAAAGTTACCGGGTCATCAAAGACGGAGGGCTGCGTTGCAATACTATCAAGATCAACACGGTGCCTTTGAAAGATATGCCTAGAGCTGCGTGAACCCTGACGATCCTTATGATGATCGTCCAGAGGAAGGGGCTTCTCGAGAGCAGTAGGAGACTCGAAGCCTAACTTGGGAGACTCGGACCCTGACTTAGGATGCATAGTTCCTATCCCATTGAAAGTCTCACCCTTGTCCTTTTGAACCGAAGGATCAGGCACCATTCTCAGTGGGTGTACTTTCATAAAGCAGACGCTTTTGATGACGTCGAGGGTGTAAGGTGGACATGTCACCAGTGATCGCAGGCTTCAAACATGATCTGCTCCTGGTTGATGTGCCGCGCTATCCAGTACGTGCTGGATGCTAGAGCTTTAGTATCCTGGTGAGATGTATATCAGATTAGATACAAAAATGAGGCAAAGAGGCTCAGAAATGGCGCTGTCTTCGTGACAAGGCATCTCATTCTGCAACACAATGGCGCAATAGCAAAGATAGTCCCTTTCCCAGGGAAAGCTTCTATTTTGATGACGACCCAGGCTTATGTCCATGCAAGTACCATGATTAGCGCTTGATTGCTGAGAACAAATGGTACGGTACGCGTCATAATGATGGTCACACTTCTCCTTGTAATCTTTTGCCGGCGATGCCGTCTCCTTCACCGTCTGGGCATGCCCCTGCCCCTGCCCCGGAGAGCACGAGCTGCTGCACCAGGTGGTGCTTTTGGCCCTGAGCTTTGCTACAAGATATTTTCGTTCACTCAGCCCTTGAAAAGAGAAAGATAAGAGCCTACGTACTGCTTCGCTTTGTGGGTTTCTCACTGTCTCGTCAACACTGAGGATGAGGCATGCGGCTTCGGTTGCACTACTGATTGCGTTCAACTTGACGAGCGGAGGCTCCCAAACAAATGCCTCCATGTTATCGCGGACACCTTCCGCACCGTCAACGTCTACTCCGAACCATTTGTTGCCAGCGGCATGTCGCATGCGCAGTTTGTTAAGAATGTCAGTAGAGTCCAGACCTGCATTGTCGCAAATTTGCCGAGGAATAATTTCTAGTGCTTTTGCGAAAGCAGTCAAAATCAGCTGCTGCTTCCCAGGAATAGACAGCGCGTGCTTCCGAATGTGCGCGGATACATCCATCTAATTCACACACCGAATTAGAGGATAAAAACAAAACAACGAAGTCATGAGTTACCTCGACGGCTCCGCCTCCGGCTACCACCTCGCCATTGCGGATCGCTCGCTTAACGACCATGACGGCGTCATGTAGACTACGTTCCACTTCTTCGATGAACTGTTCTGCGCCGCCACGAAGAAGTAGTGTGCATGTCTGTGCTTTGGGACACTCCTCGAAGATGTTATACCGTTCGCCGCCAACCTGACGCTCTTCGAACCGACCGCAAGTTCCGAGATGCTCCCGGGCTATGTCCGAGCACGTTGACTGCACGGAACCTCCGACTGCTTGACATACTCTGCGAAGATCACCAGCCGGTACACGACCAGCACAGAAGATGTCGCGGTCGGCGAACCACTGAGTGGCCAGATCTCCGATTGGCAATTTGCTTAACACCACTTTGGCACCAGTCTTCTCGATCGCTTCCAGCTTCCTGTAAATGATCTCCCACTCTGCATCAACGATTGCCTGGTAGTCCTTCACCGCCTCCACTCGAACCTCTGCATTATCCTTCTCAGCTTTCAACTCAAGCTCCACGTTCAAGCTGAGAATGAGAGGGTCCTGGAAGGACTTCGGCTGTTGCTCAGCACCAGCATACGTGAAAGTTTTTTTGAAAGCAACACCACGGATCAACTGAGAGTCTTGCATGCCACCTCCTGGAATCTTTTTCACCCCGATGAGCGACTCGTCCAAGTCGTTTGGATCTAAGCTCTGAACAGCGTCAACGACCATGTTCGAGAAGAATGGTTTTTCCGAATGGATCAATTTTGATGACATTGATGTCGCTGCGCATTTGAGTAGAAGAGATCGGAATTGCCTGAAAATATGTTAGGGACTGTCGTTCAAAAATTCCGAGACATACTCAGGATCGGACTTGTCAACACTAATCTGAATTGCCTTGATGCGTTCTGCAGCCTGTTAATTGTTGAGATTAGGATTTTCCAACGAAATCGCTGAGCAACATGTGACACGAACTAGTTGTGACGCCTTCCTGAATCCCTTCATGATGATGTGCGGGCTGACACCCTCCTCGATGTATCCACGAACTTCTTTGAGAAACTGTGCAGCCAAAAGTACTACACTGGTAGTCCCATCACCGACTTCTGCATCCTGGGCACGTGCGATGTCGACGAGGGTCCTTGCAGCCGGATGAACAATATCAAGAAGTTTCAAGATCGTTGCGCCGTCATTGGTAATCTGTGCTTCGCCACGTTCATTCACGATCAGCTTGTCCATTCCACGCGGACCAAGCGTGCTGGAGAGTGTCTGGGATACGGCAAGGCACGCGGATATGTTAGACAAAAGCTGCGGGTTTCCTTGAGATGTGTCTGTGCCCTCCCGAAGGAGCACGACAGTGGGTTGCTAAAATGAAGGATCGATTATGACGAATAACGGACACGAAAAGGACGTACCATTGGTAGACCGCGCTGCATTTTGTGCTAGTAGATCGCGCAAGACGATGGCAAGCAAGTTAATACGTTAGTTAATATTGCATCTGCGGTTTGTACTTGTTTGGCTAGCGCGTTTGTCGTTATCGTCGATGATGGCATCCACATCTTGTTCTTCAAATCATACTATGGCAGAACATTACACTTTGAGCTCCCAGTGATAGAGCGTAAAAAAAAATTGCACTGATTGGCGGAGAAGTGTTATGTGCTATGGTAGCTACATGCAATTATTTAACGCGTTTTGAAAAGTTCCTTGCAAGTGATAATCAGATAACAGATGGCATATCTTCAACGATGACCTCCATCTATCTACCAGCGGACGGCGAGAGCCAAGTTTATCTAACTGTGTCTGCAATCGTTGCCGGCACTCTTTTCCTTCTCCATGAAGATGTCTTCCAGGACTGTGTCAGGGATGAACCCGAGTCTGATGACACTCCGGAAGGGACCAGAGTCCCCACCTTCGCGTTTTTGTTACAACACCCGCAGCAAGGAAAACTCTTCTTTGATCTTGGATTGAGAAAGGTGTGTATTCTTTTGAGTTTCGACCGTTCCGTTACCAACTATTGTCCAAGAACGGAGAAGGTTATGCCCCCTCAGTAATGGAAGGCGCAATTCCTACATTCAAAGTAGAATGCGACGAAGACATCGTGGACATCATTGCGAAGGCAGACCCTCCTATTGAACCTCAGGACATAAACTTCGTAATTTATAGGTAAACAATACCGATGCGACTTCGATCACTGCATCTCATGTCGAGTTAACAGTCACCTACATTTTGACCACGTTGGAGATCTCGCACCATTTTCCCGCGCAACGCTCGTGATGAGTCGAGAATCCAAGATTTTCACACTTAATCCATACCCTGATGATCCACGAAGCAAGTACAACGCCTTGCCAACTGGTCAGCGCGTTTGTTATCTTGATTTTGCGGCGGATGCGTCCCCAGCGCAAGATATGCCTCACGCAAGACTCATTCAACCACTGGGATCATTTGACCGCGCTATCGACTTGTTTGGTGACGGTTCGCTCTACCTCATCGACACACCTGGGCACATGAGCGGACATATGACTGCTTTGGCGCGCGTCGCAAAAGATGCATTCGTCCTCCTTGCGGCTGACACTTGCCACAGTCGCCAGTGCTATGCTCCGTCCTCTGCCGGCTTGGTGAGGGAGATATCTTCGTTGAACTACCAAGAGTGGGACGTAGCCAAGGCAACAGTCACGAAACTCACGGAGATGAGCCAGATGGCCAACGTCATTGTGGTGCTGGCGCACGAGGTAGAGAGACTACAGGAGAAACGCGAAGAAGATACAATGCCTTTATTTCCGCAGCCGCTGAACGCATGGGCAAGTCAGCAGCTTGAGAAGAAGTCCAGGAAGTGACGAATAGGGCGATGTAAATTAACCTGTAAAACAATCAGAACATGTAAACAGATACGAATGCTGGAATTCATGAGGAGTACTTGCTCGGTCCCATCTGTGTATAAGCATTTCAACAGGGGCTGCGCGGTTTGGAAGTCAGCTTTGGATCCTAACACGGCCAAACAATTCCAACGCGTCTCATTTAATGAGTCGCGTTGGCACGTCAGCCCTATCGTCCTCGAGCACCACCATCTCTCATTTCCATGACCCAGGATTTCCAACCTCGCGGTGGTCTCTTTTTTGCAGGTTCAGATGATGAGGGCGACGCCGTAAATTCGACAATGTCTCAGATTGGCGTACCAGTGCAGCCAGCATCTCACCAACTAGCTCCCCCATCAGGTCCACCTTACTCCCAACACGGGAAGCGCCTGTTCTTTGCCGACAGCGACGATGAAGATATTCCACGATTCGAAACACCAAGGCCAATTGCGATCAATTCGTCATTAGTTATGAATGGTGATGACAGTGAAAGCGACCTGGAGATACCCTCCTCTGAAGACCTTCCTCGAGCTTCCAGCGTCAGTACTATGTCCTCAGAGCCCTCTCTCAGAACTTCTTCGCCGGTGCCAGGTCCTTCTGGTGAAGAACCACCAGTCAAGAAGAGGCGACTCTCGCCGCCATCCAAGGTCCAGACACGTACAGGGCAAGCATCATTTGATCATCCTGCATATCTTGGATCATTTCTTGTCGGGAATGCCTGGAGTACTGTCAGAGGCAAAGGTTATATCAAACCAGGCGACATCATTCGCATCGAACGAGATAATCCTGATGATTTTAAATCTGGCCTACCAGTCTCAGGGAAAGGAAAGAAGAAAGCCCTTCCAGAAAAGGGTAAAAAGAAGCAACTCACCCTCGGTGCTATGCTGAAATCGCAGCCGCCCAAAACGACGAAGAAAGCTGACACGGTAGTTCGCCTTACGAACGACCGTGGTTTCGGTGAGCCTCATCTGCAAAGGATGTAAGGGTGCTCACACATCTCAACCAGAGTTTGGCCGTCTTCCGCAGCATGTCTCATCTTGGGTTTCGAGACTTCTTGACTTCGGTACTTCATCTTCCATGCGAATTAGCTGAGTATTTAATACAGCGTCCAGGGATTGTCGACTTCAAAGGCAGTACAGTGGTGGACTGCCCAGCCATTCTGCATTCTGGTGCGGACTTGATAGTCTCGTTATCTGTATATATCCGTGCATCTGCATTCAAGCCACCAAGTACTTCAGCGGAGGGGCCGACAACGATGTTCAATCAGGGACAAGAAACCCAAGATGAACAAACTCTCAGAGAACGTAAATCTGCGCTGCTCTCTCTCTTCGAAGCTGTTAGCCTCCGCCCTTGTAGGGGAGCCCACGTCCAAGATAATGGCAACGCGGAAAATGAAACTGATGGTATGAACAAGAATCTGACGCAACATCCTGGAGGTGCCAAGAAGAAGAAAATTGAAATTGTCGGTGACGACGAGGAGATCGAAGTAGAAGAAGGCGAGGAGCTATCTGACAACGAGTTGGATGTAATCTACAAGAAGTGAGTATTATTTTGTGATGTCAGGCCGTCATGTTGACAGTCTTCTAGAGCCCAGAAGAATGATCAATCGATGGCTGAGATGGATCCTCCTGACACGTTTACATTAACACTAAGGGGGTACCAGAAACAAGCGCTTATGTGGGCCAGAATACCGTCGAATTTCCTGTTCTCTCTTACTGACTTACACAAGGTGGATGCATTCAAAAGAATCAGGGGAAGTATCCGCTAGAGAAGCTGTGTCTATGCACCCTCTGTGGAGCGAGTAAGTCCCTCAACTATGCTACAGGAACAGCGGTCAACTGTTTTTATAGGTATGTTTTCCCGGCCGAACCCCAGGAGGGTATAATAGACCTGACTGAAGACGAGAAACCATTCTACTTCAATCCTTACTCTGGAGAACTCAGTCTTGACTTTCCTAAAGCCGAACGCAAACTCAAAGGAGGGATCCTCGCGTAAGTAGCAAGCATTCGTTGGTCGATAAATGCTTATGCCCTGCCAGTGATGGTAAAGTGCAGTTTTCATCTGACGTTACCTTGCTCATAACAACAATCTTTTAATCTGGCACACCACGCAGAGAGTGCGTCCCCGCGACTTTTGTACAGTAGTCGGAGCTGATTCATCTACCTCAGTGGGAATGGGGAAAACCATTATGTTATCTGCTCTCATTCACATGAATCGAGAGCCGGAACCCATCCTTCCCGACGATACCTCTAGGGATCTTGCACGCACTCGTCAGCTGAAACTTGACAACGCCTTCCGGTCAAGAGCTTCCGGACAAAGGAAGAAGCCTACTAAAGGCCCTTCTGCAACATTAATCGTTGCTCCTACCTCACTGCTCTCCCAGTGGCATGATGAACTCCAGCGATCAAGTGCACCAGGGACCCTTAAAGTCACTGTCTGGCATGGACAGAACAGGTTAGACTTGGACGGTATAGAAGATGATTCAAAGGATGATGCGTCTATCACTGTGATCATTACATCCTACGGCGTACTTGCCTCCGAACACTCCAAGCTCCTCAAGTCCGGCGGCCAATCTTCTATTTTTCAAGGTATGTCCTAGGGATCAACGAGAATCCCTTAATTGATGGCTTTTGAAGTGGAGTGGCTACGAGTGATCTTGGACGAAGCTCATCACTGTAAGTCCAGGACAAGCAAGACCGCACGAGCTGTGTATGCTGTTCGTGCTAGACGTAGATGGGCTGTGACAGGTGACTACACTGGCGTTTCTAATAATCCAGACGCTGAATCATGATTAGGAACTCCCATTGTCAATAAACTTGAGGACCTTCATTCGCTCCTGTGAGTGACGATAGTGTACTAGACAACGGTTTGACTGATTCGTGTCAGACAATTCTTGGAGTATACCCCGTGGTCATCGTATTCATTCTTTCGTTCGTATGTGTCTACCCTCCTCATAAATTTTCGTTGTTTGTTGAGGCTGAAGCAATTCGCCAGTTTCATTACTGTGCCATTCCTTGCCCGCGATCCCAAAGCAATAGAGATAGTGCAAGTGATCCTCGAGAGCGTCCTTCTCCGACGCGAAAAGAACATGCGTGATAACTCTGGAAAACGCATTGTCGAGTTACCTGCGAAGGAGATCACTGTTGATACACTGCACTTCACGCCTGCAGAGCAAAAGATATACGACTCTATTTACAATGCGGCAAAGCAGAACTTCGATCAGCTCAATGCGAAGGGGCTCGTGGGCAAAAACTACACCCACATTCTTGCCATGCTTATGAGGTGAGACTTTCGACGCGTGACGTATCCTACTTCTTAACTCTTTTTCAAGATTGCGTCGGGCAGTGCTTCATCCAGATCTCGTCGCTGATACTAGCGATGGGACAGAGACTAAACCCTCTGGACACTCCAAAGATGGAGCGATCGACGTGGACACGCTTATGAATGACATCTCAGAGCATGATGTGTCGAGTAGCTCGAAAGCGGCTTATGCTGAGAACGTTCTAGCTAACCTTGACACGTCCAGTGATTCGGAATGCCCAATATGCCTCGATGTAATGCAGATACCGTCCATCATTCCTCCCTGTATGCATCAATGGTGCGTCTAACGCTGTCCGCTTTATCGACCCACTGCTAACGTTATAGTATAGCTGTAAAGAATGCATTATATCATATCTTGGGACGTGCACGGACAAGGGAGAGGTGCCACGATGCCCGACGTGCTCGCAAGGACCAGTCAAGGAGCAAGACCTCATTGAGGTTTTCCGATCGTCTGGTCAAGATAGCCCACATCAGGAGTCTACAGGGGACGAAAAAGAAGGGACGTCGACATCAGAAGTCTTCCTGCGCCGAAATGATTTTAGATCGTCTACGAAACTGGATGCGTTGGTACAAAACCTCAGTGAGTGCTACACTTATGGTCCGTTCCGTCCTGGGCTGAGCTTGTTTCAGGACGACTTCGAGATCAAGACCCATACTTCCGTGCTGTCGTCTTCTCGCAGTTCACGTCCTTCCTTTCCCTTATCTCTGTGGCTCTGGACCGTGAACGCCTGTCATGGTATCGTTTTGATGGATCGATGGACCTCAAGAAGCGCAATGCTGCCATATCAGAATTCAAGCAGAACGAGCGGAAGCCCAAAGTCCTTATTGTCAGTTTGAAAGCAGGCGGTGTCGGTCTGAATGTAAGCCCAAGCTACCTTGCCGCTTGAATTTACTGAACGTTACTTCAAACGATAGCTGACGAGCGCCAACCACGTCTTCATGGTTAGTGCCATCGTAATCTGTTGCCCTGCCACGCTGATGCATATTACTCAGATGGACTGCTGGTGGAACGCGGCTACAGAAAATCAAGGTTGGCGTCTTGGTATCCGTACATGGTTGGCACTACTGATTTTTGTAATAGCCATTGATCGCGTGCACCGAATAGGCCAAGAAAAAACGGTATATGTCAAACACTTCATAGTGAGGTTGTATTGATCTTTCCTCGTCATATCCATTGAACTTTCTTCGAGGTTGATCACACCATCGAAGGTCGCATACTCCAGATCCAAAAACGCAAGACCGCCATCGTCAAAGAGGCGTTCCGGGGAAGCGATAAATCGGGTAAAGCGGACCCAGAGAGTCTCCAGAACCTGAAGGTTATATTCGGTGATGATTAATGACAGCTCTTGTGTAAATGGTGCATCTCTTTGAATGACATCGAACTACATGTAAGTCTACGGAATGAGAAATCACTCGTTGATTTGGACTCAAGTCAGGAATTTTAAACCCACGATTCAGACGCAGCTGAACTAGATGAAAATAGCGGCTCTAGCGGCGTCGCGCGCGAGTGATGATTTTATTACTCCATCGTACGATACACATAGGGCATGGCTCCAAACAACAATACACGAGAGGGAAAACCATCAGAATCAAGGTCCTTGCAGTCAAGGTATTATGATATATCGTAAGGTGGAGCCCTGGAATCCCAGGGGATGTGAAATTACTCCAGGACACTAATTCCGATTCAGCCGTAAGTGCTCTCCGTCTTGATCGCGCCACAAAATCGACATGACCAAAACTGGTGGGGCATGTCAGCCTCGCCGCACATTATGCAAGTCCACCCCATAGGGGAAACTTGAGGACGCCCTGTTAAACACAAGGTACATTTGTTTGTTTGTTTGTCGTTGACGAGCGTGCAGACTGCACAAGACCATTGTCCATCATCAGCTGAAGTCTCGGCTGGTTTGCGAGGATGAGGTGTTGGGTCACTTGATGCTTTGAAATTGCTTGGCTGCTTCACCGCAAGGACCCTGGATTGTCCTCGTGCATCAGACGTTGATCCGGAAGTACTAGTATTATCATGTGTCCTCGATGGTCCGGCAATAACACGTGGTTGACTTGCAGTCCTAGGCGAGTTGAAGGGACGCACAGTGAAGCATGCTGCACATTGCAGCACAATCGGCTCATTGTGAAGTGTGCACAGAGGGCAAGACCACGGCTCTAGAGGAGAATTGTCCGTAAGGTCGATAATGTCTTCGATGCTTTCCTTGGCCGCTCTCTCAGCTTCGCGCTGGGCAAGCGTACCCGACCCACACTCGATCTCATCGCGCTTTCTGCGCTCGGCAGCCTGCGAAATATAGTATTAACGTATATTTTTAGTAGACGGAAAACGTTGACTCAGGACCTGTGCGGCTAGTTCACGAGGATTCATGCCTTGCAACGCAGTGACTCTGCCTCCTAATCTGCCGCCACTACCGAGGACACCATTTGTGCGGTTCCTCTTCTCAGCAGCTTCAAGAGCTCTGAGTCTAGCTATGTGTGGCGGAAGGTCGTGCGATACCCCTGCGCCCAATCGTTGCCCAGGAGAAAAGAAGCCTTCACCAGCGTAACCAGAGCGCACTAGTGTGTCATATTCGTCCTCGAGGGCAGCTAGAAACTTGTAAAAAATTTCGTCGTGAGGGCCATGGACATTATGAGTAAGCTATTGAAGTATTATTAGTGGCCTCGACATGTTAAAAAAATTTCTTGCCTCATGGAGCATTATCCGAACAACCTGATCTTCCTCATAGAAGGTATCGGGAGCCCATGGCATGCGCAGTCTCAGAAGAATCTGTTCTCCTCCATTTACATCTGAAAGTGTGTCAGAAAGCGCAATAAACAACTAATCTGTCCAACGCTCACTCAACCCTGCATGATGGGGGACCTTGTGAAGAAGCTTTTAGTGATGCTGGAATAAAACTTACCAACCAGATTCGGGCTGTCGGGGAAAAACTCAGACAATAACGGCAAGATCCAGCCATGTTTCCTCATGATAGGCTTTACTAGGGCCGCTACCCGTTGAAGCATGGGCAAGGCTCGATCTGCATGTGGGCGGTCTTTCAAGTGAGTGAATGATTTTACGAAAGTTTGCAACATGTATGCTGGAGCGACTGGAAAGCGGTCAGTACCGTCACTGAGTTCCAACTGTTGGCAGAAAGGAGAGCTGGGCCCCGAGCGCGCTCGAAGCTGCTGTGATCAAGCATGTCGCTTAGTCAGCTTTAAGTGATCAATTACATATGTTACACCGCGACTGCCAGGTGCCATTGCATTAATAATGCGACGCTCATAACAATGACATGATGCTCATGCATGCGGGCTATCAGCGATTTGCTGCAAATTTTCCCAAAGTACCTGAGGCACTCTGAGGTAAGCATGCCATCCATTAAGCGGTACTTCAAGTTCGCCGCCGCCCATGAACTTTTCATGTCACCGTCTTATACTTTGTTCACTCAGGTTTCTAAAAGTCGGGCTGGCCTGATGACGGTCAATCTCGAGTCGTGAAAATTGTGCGGTTACCGCCGGTCGCCTCAGAAGTTCTTTCGTGTTCTGGGCTCTCGCCTTATGAGTCTCCCGAAGTTACTAATTCAACGTAAGTCCTTGTCAAATCTTTGTCGCAATCAAGGTTTTGGCGCTAGACTTTACCCCTTTTGTTATCAACGTCTTTGCCCGAATAGTAGGACCCTAAACGCGTGCGTGCTTTCTGGAATGCTCATCAAAGCCTTATAAGCGTCGTGTGATTATGGAGCTGCCGTTTCCGTCGTCCAACAACTCCGAGTCTGATGATCTTTGCCCCCAGAGCTCTTCTACCCCTTGGAAGTAGCTGAGCACACTGCTACACATGATTTCAGCTGTATCCACAACAGCACAAGACCTTAGTTCGTTTTCTTACGTGCAAAGTTAGTTTTTAGGATGTTCCCGACGTTCAATCTAATTCGATCCGAACACTGCTTGCAGTTGCTGTCGCCGTTGCCGTCTTGTATGATCATGGTATGCAATCCACCAAGTTTTATGACCGCACACTCAGGTATCGCTTGTTCAGCATTGACCTTCGGCCGTGAAGTGAGTAACTGTTGACCCATGATCGATGGGCAAAACTCAATAATGTTGCTGGACTCTTAGATAGACTATATATGGGTGAGTCAAAACTTGAAATGGAGTCCGCTCGTCATTTGCTAATTCGCCGATGAGTCTAGCGGAGGCCGCCTTCATTAGTGGCCGCCTTGTATTTGTTGGTATGTGCAATTAGTAAGTATGGATTTGTCTAGTCTTCATTTCTGTTAGGACCGCTACTTGGGCGATTCCGTTGTGATGTAAGCCCTTGCGTTTAGCTCTGCATCAGTGGTCTGATACATTCGCAGCCTCGGTGTATATCGTATGTCAACATTTATGTCACAAGTCGCTTCTCTCACGCGCTTTAGTGTGCCTCACTGAGGTTGCTTCGACACAAGTGAGCCTGTGCAGCTTGAGCGTATAATGTGCGGTCTTCTCATGAAGTTGTTTACAGGAGTATGATTCATAACGCGCTTTAGTCGTACCTCTTGCTGATGATGATCGTTTTTTGCGTTTTTTTCCAGATGTAAGTATTGATTTCGGATTCCAGATGAACAGCATCTGACTTTTACCCAAGGCTTTCGACTTTTCCAGGTCCGAGCTTGGGGTACCCTTCTGTGTTCATGGCTCACTCAGTGTAAATCACATTTGTTCATGTATGATTCAACATTCACACCACTCGCACAGGCATCATGCAACTTCGAATATACGCCATGTACCGGCGGTCTAGGCGAATACTCATGATATTGGTCTTTTCTTTTTTCAGCGAGGTCCTCGCTGTCGTTGTAATTATCTGGAGGACCATCGGCCCAACAAGCAAATTAGTTGGTGCGTACTGCAAAGAAATATGGAGCTACACTTGTTCACTCCATATCACCAGTCACTGACGAGCCTTATCCTGGAAAGCACTTGTGCAGCTTCTCTGGGATCAACACAAACTTCACCTACTTGTTCATACCCGTCCTTTGCTTCGAGATCTTGCTCTTCTTCCTGGCCATCAAAGTTTCCCTAAACAACATGAGAGATAGGAGGGCCACCCCTGGTACCTCCAGCTTGCGAGTGAACTCATTCATGAGCATACTCGTGCGAGACAGCATCCTATATTTCTTCATGTCAGTATCGTCATTCCGTTCCTAATCACCTGCTAATAACCGACCGCATCTAGAAACCTGGCAATGTGCGCTATCGTTATGGGCCTGTGGCGGAATGCCGCTGTGAGATCTTTTTTCTTTCATTTCCTTTGACGTAATACTGATCGGTCATCGGTCATCAGGCACTGCACGCAAACATATCAATTCCGTTCATCATGCTTGTCGAGACCGTGATTGGCACCCGTATGGTGATTAACTTCAAGGAACACTGTTCTCGCCGGATGAGCTCGGAACCCATTATGGTCACCGGGTCAATACGCTTCGCAGGAGTCAACACTAGTGAAGACACTGCGCGCCTGGATTCGATTCATGCCCAATCGATGAAAGATGATGAGACGCGGCCGATCAAGGACGATGAAGAAAGTGCTGTTGAGAGTCCTAAGGAGAGTACAGAGATCATCGCTTTTGAGGAGATATAGACTTTTGATGAACATTGCGAATTGAATGGATCATGGACCAATTTCTATAACGGCTGTACACACAGTACGTATACGTGTACAGAGGACTGGGCCCACGCAGCCGGTGTAAAGGATGCAATGTAAGGTACCGGATATTACGACGCATAACTATGTGTGACACAACCGTATTACAGTAATGAGTGAGAGTGAGGGTGAAAGTACAACAGAGAATGCAGGATGTGGGTGTGACAACAGTGATATGGCAAATAGCAATAATCAATAGCAGAGCGGAAGAGGAAAGCAAAACGAAGGACTATTGGGATCCGGATCGAGAGCGTCGGATAAAGTTGCGAAGGGTATACAGGTAATGCGAAAATGAAGTTTGGTACATGGTGTTCTTACGATAAAATAATATCGTCGGCGGCGATCTTGCTGGCAGTGTACACGTAGATGGAGCGCACAAAGGTGAGCTCGTCTTTCAAATAGCGCGATGACTCGGGTTGCTTCATACTGGCGTCTGAGCCTCCTCGAGGACGTGCACGCATAGTTATGTCGGCTGAAAGTCTGTGATTGGGAGTGACGGAGGTCTCATCATGAGCGGAATTTTCCGTTTCAGTAGTCGCTGACTCTGGCCAGTTGAAACGCTTGCGGCGGAAGCTTTAAATCGGTGGAACATGAGACTTTTGTGGGAAAATAGTCAGTTAAAAGGTACTCACCACTCATAGTCCCAAATGAGATCATCGAATACTGCGTCATCCAAAAGAGAATTTCCGTCGGCGTCACGGAAAAAATCCTGCGCGTACTCATGCAGCGCGGCTTTGCACCCGAGCAAACTCTGCATGTGCTTGCAAGCGTGCATCTCAAGCTCGAAAGACCCCAGTTCAATCAGCGTATTAGGCCACAGGACCAGCCCGGGAGATTGTGCGGGACGGGAGGGTGGAGGAATTACTGAATGCCGGGGCGATCGCGAAATAGGGGAAGTGGCAGCAGAAGAAGAGATACCTAGGCGGCATGCTGCTTTGGCACTGATGGCTTGGGGTATGGGTGACAGGACGCTCTCTCCACTGGAACGGTCGCCCTTCTTGCCCTTGTTCTCAATCTTGTCCCATTCGACAGCAATCCAATGCTTGAATGCTTCCCCTTTCTTCTTCTTCGGGCTCTTGCTGTCTCCACTCGACAATGACGCTTGGTCAAGATCTGAGTCTGAATTGGGCGCAGGGGGTGCGATGGCGAGACTCATCGCTGCAACTCTCTGAGAGTTGTATCGGCCGAAGACATTATCCAGGACTTCTTCTATGTTCCTTCTTTGGTCTGTGCGAATCTTGTACTTGCTCCAGAGCATCTCTGCGAACAAACCCTCTAGATGTGTCGCATTGGCTTCGTTTCTCGTCCATTCAGAAGCGGCATCATATGGCGTGGATTCTTCGTCCTGGCTGTGAATGGATGGGGAGCTCCTGGTACTCTTGAAGTCATCGTCGGCCTCCTCATTCTCATCATCAGATTCGCTGTCATCGAATTCGATGTACGAATGACCACGAGAAGGGAAAACGCTCGTGGCGGCCGGCGAAGTTGGAGGGCGTTCCAAAGGCTTTACGGTTGGGAATAAGGCTTGATCATCAATCAATTCTAGGCGCCCACCGGGCGCCAAAACTCTCATGACTTCCGTGAGAACGTCTTCCCAACTTTCAACGGGGATGCACAGGGATAGATTTGCCATCCGCACGAGGTCAAACGTGTCACTTGGGAAGCCCATTCGGTGGCCGACGCTGAGCGACCGTCTAAGTAAAGCAGGACAATGTGAAAGACATTTTACTCACAAGTTCATTTGCCTCCATTCCACATTTGAAGGGGTGGCGATGCCGTCATTTAAGTTGGAGGGAGCAATTAAGTCAATGCCGATTATTCTTGCTTTCGGCCAATGTCTTGCAGCCCTAATGGCCCAATGCCCTGCACCGCATCCAACGTCAAGAATGGTAGTGGGTGGGTTACCGTTGAATGTGAGAAATGATGGTGTCCCGTTGGTGCTGAGACGTTGCAAGAGAATATCCGAGAAACGGTCGCTGTGATGATGGTTGTCAGTGCTAAGCACAGGAATGCGGTAGCAAAATAACTCACTTATCGAGAAGGGTACGGTCGTATGCTTGCATGTAAGGTACTTGATTGGGAGGGTAGGGATGATGGATCATGCCTCGTCTTGTGGCGAAGTGATGCTTCGCCTGAAATGCTTTGGCAGGGGAGGGCATCCCCTGCATAATTTCGACATCCTCGTCTCCCTCGCTAGAAAAATCTGTTTCATCCTGGGTGCCTGTGCTCGTACTGTGCCACGAAGTCGTGGGAAATGATTCTGAGGGTACGTCACATGGTGACTTTTTTCTCCTCTGGAGAAACGCCCTCTTGGGCTTCGAAAGATCTCCTGACGAGGTGTACATTATGGGTGTGAGAGGTCGGGACATATCTGCATCGGAAGGGGCGAGGTGTTTCCCCCTGAAGCTGCGCTTTCGCAAGGAGTCGGCATCAGACTGTGGCCCCATGGTGCTGGCGTAGCCAGAGTCAATACTGCTGAAAGAGTTGGGGCGACTGCAAGAGCCGGGCGGAGTGCAAGGGCTTCTTGGGAAGTTGTAAAATGACGATCGCGGGGTCAGAATTGTGCTATCGGACGACGAAGAGCATTCGCCGAGAGAATGGGACTGAGAGCGAGGAAAAGGTTGCAATGAAACTGCCAACACCATCGTGTATAGGGCCAAGTAGAATTAATATAGTGGTTGTGGCCAGTCTAAGCGGCAAGCAGGGGCCTTTGTGGACTGCTAGAAGGGCTGCAGAAAGCACTAAAGACAAAGAGAACCAGTTCGACAGGGTAAAGCGTACGCAGTCTATATGTGACTGCGCAAGGGCCAGATTGGGTGTGGTGGTAGTTGGAGGACAGCCTGAGGATTTGTGGTCCTGGTCAGCAGGTTCAAAGCTGACTGATGGTGGGGAATTGTAAGGAGGTGATGAATTTCGAAAAGGGTGGATAATATTATCACAGAAGATTCGTACCTTGTTCATGAATCAGGATCTAGACAAGCGGTAAACAAAGCGTTAGGGTATCTGGTAAAATTCCGGAACAGTTCATCTAATCAGGGAACAATGGCTGTACCGTGACCCGACGACAATGGCTGTCCATTTATGGTAATTTCTCGATCCCAAATTAAGTATGCTTCCGCCGGGATCTTTGAATACCCCCGAAACAAGAACAAGGCTCGGAGTACAACAGCGGCCAGCATGCAGCACCCACTCATCTCATCCACTTTCCTGCTCGCTTTCGCTTCCTGCTTAAAACCGCACTTGAACCAACACAGTCAAGCTTCCCGTCATAAATCACTAAAGCAGTCCCGGTGTACAGCAATAGCCTACTAGCGGATTAAAACGGTCCATCAGTAACGGCAGATTCTAATGGCGCCCAGCGATCATGCAATACCCTCTTTTAGATCAAAGTGTCATGGAGGCGGCAGGGAAAGTCGTACTAAACCATGTATGTACATGCCGCAAGCCAAGACGAAACGTTTTCCCCATAATCACTGACAGCGCCAGGGTGATCTTCCACGGTCCTGGCACTAGACTGCCAACTCGCAGCTCCGAGCAGTTGATGCGGATGACGATTGATGAACATATACCCGTACATGGATGATGTGCATATATCCGCTTCATCCCCGAGAGGATCGCTCAGTGCTGTCTCTCATGTCTCCTCGTGTTAGTCAACGCCAAATCACAACTCGTCCAATCCACAAGTCCCTGGCCTGAAAGCAACTTGCCATAATAAGCCAAGCATCTTCTTGATGCCACAAAGGGGGATATTCGGGCTTATCTGACCGTTCAATTCGAGACCCTCACATCATGCCAGGGCCCATCATAAGCGCCAGGAAATATGTTGACAGCGAGAGGGGAAGACGGCACTCGATTGAGTACAGACGTCATGATTATAAACACATCTCAAAATGTTTTACAAACTAGAACGTTTGAATGTCATCAGATCCTGAGCATCAATGATGGATAGATAACCTATGACGAAAAGGGGCCCCCATTCAATACAATCCCTGTACCAAGCGGAGGTACGGCGAAAGGGATACAGAAGAAAGTTCAATCTTCGTCTTTCTTGGGAGGGGGGCCACAGGGCTGCAGCATTCGCTGAGGGATTTATCAAAACGATGATCCAAGTTCTTAGACTGGGCTGACATACCTCTGTCATCTCGAACCTTGTCCGGCCAAGTGCTTCTCCATCTGCAAGAGCTAGGTACGAAAGCAAGGGCGGGTGTCCTACGATAGACGACAACGTATCTCTGTGCTGGTGTGTAATCCAGTCACTGTTGCATGCTCAGTATAGGTAATGCAAATTCAAAGGGTTGGCGTACTATTTAGTCAAGTCAGCGTGACCTGAAGAAGTAAAGGAACATCAGAAACGAACCACTAAGATATAAAGAAACACGCGTACCGGTTCCTGTGTAACGAGCGTGTACTGAGAAAAAGGAACCTCAGCGATGTGTTAGGCTGAATAAAACAAACGGCACTCACAATGCTCCAGCTGCGTGTTAGCAGTATACCTAAGTTCAGATGACTGCAAATACACACGTCAGAATAGTCAGATTAATGGAGCTCATGAAACCCACCATGATCGTTGAGAGAAAGGAGTTAATTTTGAGATTTTCACATTATGTGAATTTTGCTAAATGATTTATTAGACAGAAAAGGAAATGGTGCTTATGTGATACCTCACTTGGCAAAATTTATCTTTTACTCTACCACGTGATTCACTTGAGATATGTCCACGTGCCTTGTAGAAAGAATCGAAGACGACCGTGACGAAGGAACTCATTGTCTCTTCAATCAGTCTAGCTAGCAAAGACTTACGTTTTGTAGTAAACTCGCGGCTTGTCCCAAAGCATGGCTTCCGACGAAGACAAACTACGAGCCAAAGTGGCCAACCTTCACGCATCCCTCGATGAGCTCGAGACTCAGCTCGAACCTCTATTTACCAAGAGCCTTCCCGAGACCCTTGTGGCCCTCGAAACCATCCAGCAGGCCAAATTACAAGTGATTCTACCGTATGTGCTATACGATCTTGTATTCGGTGCGCGTTTTATCGTCCAACACTAGCTAACTCGTCTAATCCTGCTCATCGCACATACAGTATACCTGAAAACACGAGGAATCGATCCCAGGACCCACCCTGTCATCGGTGAATTGGTGCGCCCATCTCTTGGGGTGTACTTTTAACCCGCCTTATGCTCATTTCAGGACCGCATTCGCCAATACTTTGACAAAATCAAAAGCGCAGAAGAATCCGAAGAGAAAAGCAAGTATTCTTTGCGCCTAGAGTTCACTCTCATGCTAAATATCCTAACCTGTTTTATTAGAGAGGTTTGGTATTGATAAAGCTGCTGCTGGCAGGTTTATTAAACACGCCATCGCCCAAGCAAAGCTTGTAAAAGTTGACGAATCAAATAATGCGTCAAATGGACCTGCTTCTAGCAGCGAGCGTGTTCCAGTCAAAATTACCAGCAAAATGGCGGAGCGTGCAGAGTACGAGAAGAACCTGGAGGAATTGGGTAGTGAAGAAGAAGAGGACCTCGAAGTATTCGATGAGGCTGAGGTGTTGCACGACGAGGATGCCATGGAAGAAGAAGCATTGCCGCTGCCATCCCAGGACAAGGGTAAATCGCGGATGGTTGAAACTGAAATCTCAGAACGCGAAGAACAACTGGGCAGGCGCAAGCGACAACGGATAGATCCTTTTGCAGGTAGTCTTGGCCAGACACTTTCATCGTCTCGCCAGAGCTCACCCATTCACAGGATACGGGGATGATGATCGTAATCATTCTTCAAAGTCCGAGAAATCAAAAAAGGAGAAAAAGAAATCGCCCGTGTCTGCCTTACCCATAGCAGATAGCGTCTCAGCTTCCCAGACACCAGATCAGTCAGGACAAAATACTCCTTTATCAGCAGCCGATGAAGCGCAGCAACGAAAAGCAGGGAAGAAAGCCCGACGGAAGGAGAAAAAGTCGACAGGTTAACGCCAGCCACGTACTGGGACTACTGTCTCCGCTTCTCTCATTCTTTACATCATGATCTGGAATAATACAATTAACCTACTCGTGAACAACAGGGAAATATCAGTAATACATCGAAGAATGCTCGTTACGTGGGTAAAGTGTACAATCAACTTTGCAAAACAGATCAAAAGGAAAATTAAAGCGTACTAGTATAAAAGGTCTACATCATGATACATCCCTCTCGATCAACAATCGCCCCATCTGGGGTGTTGGTACCGAGCGAACGCCTCCCAGCGGGAGACCACCACCGCATGCGCCCCGAAACTTGGGCAGCATCCTCAAGATTATCTGAGGATCCGTTGCCTGCACGCCGGGAATTTCGCCGACGCCGCTCTCGCGCAGCTCGAACAGCATCCACAACTTGCCAATTATAAAATGACTTGATCACGATGCGCTTCTCATCGCACTCGTCCTGCCCTACTTTCAATTCTTCCTTGTCCCGACCGTCCAAGTACGCGAGCTTCCGCGCGTCCCAGCCACACCAGCCTTTGCGAGGGCGGGTTATCGCAGCAACATCCTTGATAGAGCCCTCACCCACGGCACGACAGTCGATAGCAACCAGGGTAGCATCGGACACATTATGTTCGTGCGCCTGTCGCACGAACTCTTGGAGGACAGCCCCAGATATGCATGTGCTATCTGCCTCCAACACCCTAAGGCGAGGGCAGTTATGGATGAGAGAAAGGAAGGCCTCGTTGCTGAGACTGGTAGCATATGACACAACCAGGTGCTCCAGCGCCTGTCCCGTCTGCAGGGGCTGTGTTGACCCTGATCTGGAACCCTCTGGAGGACTTGGGGTCAGTGCGCTCAGGACGGCGTCGGTGATATCCGCGTTATCTTCAAGATCCAGCTTTCGGAGAAGTGGCGTCGTCTCCAAAAGCCTCACAATCCCCTCATCTTTCATCGCCGTCCCAATGCTCGCTAGTTCCAACAGCTCTAGACGTGGCACCGCATACGCTAAATTGGAGCATGCGATGTCTGTTAGCAGCTTGCAATTCGAGAGCGACAGATGTCGGAGCTTCGTGATTCGCCTTCGGTAGCGCCCATTATCACGTACATCTCGCCCAGCCTCACGTGCAGTCAGCACCACGCTCTCCGTTGCCTTCTCTTCTTCTCCACATGCCACAAAAGCCTCCAACGCCGAGTTGTGCAGGGTACGAGAATAGCTCAGGTCAAGGGTTTCCAGCGAGGGCGCTGCTCTGCCTAAAACTCCCAGGACCTGGTCATAAATACCCTCCAATCCGCATAGTCTGAGCTCCTTCAGCGCAAGCTGGCCGTGGCGCTCTAGCACGGCATTAGCATATCGGTGGAGCCCGTCTCCATTAATATTGGAACAACGACCCATGTTCAGGGATGTCAGGTGGGGGCAGAGTGCAAGAACGTCGAAAGTAGTGTTGTCGACGGCCTTCAACCCTTTGACGCAAAGGCTGCGCAAAAACGGGGAGTGGATGATGAGGTTGTGTAATGACTGCGTCGTCAGCGCATTGCAACCTGTCAGGTTTACGTCCAAGAGTTGTGTATAGGCGAAGTCGATGGTTGGCGCGGAGCGTACACAAAGGCTGGTCGTGACTTGTCCCAGAGTGCTGTGATCGAGCTTTATGTGCCCGGTAAGATCCACGTTCTTGATGAATGGCCCAAGCGTCTCTGCAAGACGCAGAAGGAAGGGCGCCGGAAGGTTTGGGAATGCCTTGAGGTCGACATCCATCCACAGCTGACCATCAAAGACAAGTGAACGCCACGCTTTTGACACCTAACACATGTCATGTGTCATTGCACATACTGCAACACCGTATGCATCAGGCTTACCCTGCTCAGCTTCACCAATTCGCGCATCCCACGATCTCTCCCTATCCAGCGATACTTGGATGACGATGCCCTCGAGGCAGTCCATCGTCCCGACGACTTCCACAGCTGAAATTCGTCTTCGTGCAGGGAAATTAAGGCTGAGAAGACCTGCAATTTCAGTTCTCTGGGCAAAGCCTCATCGAAGAGATTTCGCAGGGCTAAAGGCACGGGGACAAAGACGTCACTAGTGCCATGAGGAATGATGTCAAAGACAGACTGAGGGAGCGGAGAGGAATATGAACGGCCTTTGCCTGTGATGCTACTGAGGCTCTCAGGACCACCGACGCTCTGTTGAATTGTTGGTGTATCTGATGGATACTCGAGGTCCGGACAAGGCTGGAAATCGGGGCTTTTCCATGATGGAAGGCAATTAGCTTGCCCAACCGTTATGGGGTCCCCTAAGAAAGGATCGGAAACAGAGCCGGCAGGGCTGAGATCTATTGATGTCGTGGCTGCACTGGCCTTATTCCTGAACAATAATCTACGGGCAAGATTACCTGGGCCCTTGGATGATGAGCCCAGTTTAACTTTAATCCTCGACATAGATCGAGCAGCTAAGGAACGTGTGGAATGTATTGACAGGTTGGACAGTGATCGCCTCCGAGAGGGCACTCTTGTCAGTCCCGGATGCTGTTGCACACTATTCTCAGGGGCCTGGGAGCCCGAGTGAGATAGACTAGAGGATGCGCAGGGAGGTGAGGTGTGAGTTGAACCGTAAGAGGAAGGTCCTGCAGTGGGGGTTGGGGAGCCAGGATCAGCGGACGGCCAGCCAACGGTGCGATATTCCAAGTCGCTTGTAGAGAATAAGAGTGGAGGCAACGTGTAAGCTAGATCCCTTCCTTTCCCTTTGCCGAGCAATGAGGCATTCATAAACATACAATCATCATTGCTCGATGATTCGGCGAGTCGTGTATCGTGGTCTTCTCCCCGAACGCTAATCTTATCTGGTGATACCAATATCGTATTATGTTCCCTTGTAATGGAAACGGATGATGACGAAGTACCCTCGAAAGATGATTCAGCGGTAGGCGGCATCACTCCTGGAGGTGTTATAGGGGAATCGCAACAGGAAGCTACTGCTGGGATGGGCATCGGCAACGAGGGGCTCTTGCCCTTGCCCAGCATGCCATTAGGTCCTGTATTGTGCTGTCCACTTGCTTCCATGGGCCGGTTTCGCTGGGTGGTGATGTCTGCTTTGTGGGCGGCGATTGATGTAGGAAAACAACACAAGGGGGGAAGAAAGGAACGGACCTTGATCGATGGGGCTCAACGCCAGTTCAAAAGGATCGAAGTAGAACAAGTCATCCTCGTTATCGTCGCAGAGCGCTTGCTCCATAAGTAATAGGTTGATACAATTGGAAGTGATAAAGAGATATAGCTTGACAGAGCAGATAGAGAGAAAGATAAGATAGAAAGAGGACGGAGAGAGAGAAAGAAAAGCGGAAAAGGGCGTTACAGGACGACAGCAGACTTAGCTTGATAGGGCGCCTGCGATGGCATGAAACGGAGTTCATCGGAACACGTTTTAGGGGCTAGCGCTCCTTGCCATACAAAGTACGTCATTTCCACGGTCGACGTCGTGCACGACGACAACGTTCGTTTAACCCAAGTTTAACCGCTTCTTGTTCAGTTCCTATGAAATTGAACTCACCTGAGGACTCAGAAGACTCTAGGATTCTGTCCCAATTGACAATCTCCAGCAGAATATCTGAGACAGCCTATTCCAAACTGGTTGACCCTAATCTTAACGCCCCGCCTTATTGTGTTCGGCTTTCAAACTGTACTGCGTCCATGTGAATATCGGTTTGTTCCAGCAAGGCTGTCCGGCAAAGATCTAGGCGTCAGGTACTCTTGCTAATTCAATACATTTATCGGATGTCGTGTCATGATCTCATCCCGCGTTTCCTGGTTCAAACTGACCCGGCAACCCGCACCCCAAACTGAATGCTCCAACTGTTGCTCCGGTTGGCAACTTAATTAGTGCGGCGAAGACATGAGCACTTGACGCAGGCCTGAGAGCAACAAAATAATTGCAATGCAAAGTCAACTAGCGGCGTGAATACGGTGAAATTAGTAGCAACACTAAGCAGAATGACAGCGAAAACCCCAAACAGAAAAATCGCGGAATGAGGGCTACAGAAAGAATGACAGGCGATATGAATAATATTCGGCAAGGAACGCACAGCTCAACAGTCGAATGTGTAGATATGGCATGACAGAAGCGAGGGGCAACAAGGTAAACAGGTGGCCAAAGGAACGAGGAAAGCGCAAAGCAGTAATCGATCGTAGCGATGAGGTAATATGGGAATCAGGCAGCAGCCCTGGGATTTTCTTTTGCTGTCTTCCAGTTAGACGTTGCTAATTTGAACCTAGAGATTGGGTGGAATCAGCAGACAGACGTAGGGGGGCGGGACAATAAGTCTACCTGTCTTGGTGGGACATGTCGGGTTCCTCCTCCTTCAGACGAGCCATCTCAGTTTGCATGAATTTATTGAACGCGCTTAGTTTTTTCCTTCCACCACCGGACGACTCTAGAGAAAATAAACAAATAAGCGACCAACTACGTATTTGGTGGCGACGGGACATACTGGTCTTTTTTGCGGGCTTCTCAGACGCGGTCTTAGATTCTGTTCGGGGAGCCATAGTTCAAGCTAGTGGGGAATAATTCGGGAGTATAAGCGAGAAAACTCGGTTGGTGCGAACTCGTTGAAGGACGCTGATAAAAGGGGCAGTGCACGGTTCAACCCGTAAGCTAACTAGAAAGCGTCATCAATATTGAGTTAGGAAAGAGGACAATAATCGGGTCGGCCTACCGTTGAGATCGGCAAAAGTTGGAAGGTGTGTGGAAAGGGGATGTGGGTGTGGTCTGTCGAAGAGAGGAAAAGTTCATATTGGCTCGAGTTTGGCGGACCTTTTTCTTCGTAAGTTGTTGACCCGGGGCTTGTTGATGGCCCGCGTCAGGTGGACCCCAGTCACCGCAGTTAACGTAATACCCAAACATCGAAAAAAAGTATTTGAGAAGAATCGCCACAGCAACCCTGAAGCACATCGAGCAGTTCTTCGCGGGCGACGGTATATTTGTCAACTGTCATTTTTCAGTAACCATTCACCATGGGTAAACGCACACGTTCTCTGCCAGCAACTTAGAGTTTAGTTGGAATTTCGTTAGACTATTCGGTTGTTCAGTGCGGAGAAGCAAGCCTTCGTAGAGACTCCACAAAGTGTCAGGGGTCCGGCAATCAAAGCCAGGCAAACAAACGCGTCGCGTCGGTGTTGATCCAAGTCTGGGTGCGGCGGGACTTATTAAGACTCGTATCCATGCTTCCAAGCAAGCTCTCTTCAAGCTCGACTTTTCTTCTTCCCCAAGGATCCTCTTTTTTTAGACTCAATTCTGGGATTCTTCCTGTATTGATCAGCAATACGAGACTGCGTGGCGGACGGTGGAAAACGTGGAGATCTTTTTAGTACTAGATCAATGTTTACAGTCATGTGTATGCACTCCACCAGCGTCTGCTCCATCGCACACTAGGCGTTCACGTCCTTGGTCGCAGAAAGGTTCTTCCCAGGGCTTGCAATGCTATCGATCAAGCTATTCCCACTCACAATGCCAGTCGTCACAATGAGGAATTTACGACCTGCCGAGATGTCAACGTCATCTCCGCCCTAGAGTGCAATGAAATGCCACCTTTGTTCTGTCGGCTCACCCAGCGAAGGGCAGCAATCTCAGTATACGTACATCCACCCAGGAAAAATACGGCAGTTGTTGTCGTTTGCTCGTGTGGGCGCACTGTTTGGGTACCCATGTGAGCATAATGGAGTGCCTTTGATTGGTACCGGCACGGAGACTTACTCAGGGAAGCAACGGAAGAAGCTGTGGAGTTGGTTGATGCAGGCACCTTCTGCACAATGTCAAATGTCTTGCCCGGGATCGTACCTAACACGTCCTCAAAGCCCTTCCAGCCCACGATCGGATGTCCATAGAGTTTTCTAGCGCTCGACCCTTTGCCCTTGTCGTCTGCACTGCTCTTCTCTGCAGGGTTACTGATAACTCCACTCTTCTGGGCGATGCATTGGACCAGCCGGATACTAATAGGCGCATATCCAGAATACGTATAACTGATGTCGTTTTCAACCTCCTCCAGTGCTTCAGGGTTATCGTCTATAAGAAGTCGGAGTGATTTACGTAGGGTTGTGAAGGGGTATTTGCTTGCTGCGACAGAGGGAGCAGTGGAAACGGGTAGCAGAATAGCCAAAGGGGGCGCGGCCAGCGACAGAAGCAGGGGGAGGTAATTATACCCGTAAGCCTGCAAGATGGATCGTAAGCTTCAAAATAAAAACGTGCAAAACCGAGTGAGATTACTTGGAGAAGCTCGCGTTTTACACTATCCAGGGATTTGGCCTTGATTCCACCACCAGTAATGCTGGCGAGGCATAAGAGTCGTACGATCGTCTGCATGCTTGCACCATGTGCGATCATATCTTCGATTGCATTAATCTGAGCCGAGACCTCATACGATGCCAGAAGATCTATTTTTGGACATCAAGTTCAAGAGGAATTTCATGAGCAAATGGGCTTACTCTGCTGTACTTCAAGTGATTTGTTGAATAGATCTGTGCGTGTCTTCGGAGAGAGCATCTCTGACAGGCCAGTGTCTTTGCGGAGAAATAAAAACAGTCCCTAGAAAACGAAAGAATTGCACTCACGAAGTCTCAGCGCCTGGTGTTCGCCTTGAAGACCACCGAGTTTGCCAACAAAGTCACGAAGCTGCGCGACAGTCTTCGCCTGCAATCGAGCCTGTTATTTGTTAATAACAAAATCACGGCAATGCGTAGAAGTGCACACTTTGTAGTCTTCATCTAATCGGTGTGCCACTTTGCTGAGTCTCTTCCCTACCGATGAAAAGTTCAAGTCCCGCAGTTCAGCCAATAGCGGGTCAGTGGCGGTCGAGAGGTTGTACTTCTTCGTCTTTTCATTTATAAGTGGAGTGGCGGACGCAGATCCTGACGGGGTGGCGTTTGGATTTGAAGGGTTAGGTACAGTGGGGGGAGTGAGGAGGCTAACTGGTAGTTCAACATGAGCTACGAATATGTCAATACCGGTCACTCGCATCATATGGATAACCACTTACAGTTCTTGATACCAATAAACTCATCGATGAGGCCTTCATAAGTTAGCTGGGTCAGAAGCGGTGTGATCATATCAACGGTGCGGTCAATAATGATGAGCGAATCGAACGGCGCAGAAGGTATCGAGGAGTCTGACAAGGGAGAAGGTTGATCAGGTAGCGATTTCGTAAGAAGGGTTGCCAGCCGCTGTGCAGAACAATCTTATTTGGAGTTATGCGGGAGTATAGAAGCGCCTACCGAAGCATAGTCTCCCTTTCCTAACATGCGAGGGAAGCGACCGTACACTTTCTGCAACGAGTTGAGTGCTAAGGCAGAGTTATAGATCACGGTTTCGTCGCCATCCTGAATGGACTGAGCTATACCGTATCGTTAATATGTGGATGATATGCATACCACCCATAACTCCTTGAACGCGTTATCGTTCTCAAGCGAAATGACATCGTCCGCAATTGGAATGAACTGCAAGTTGTAGGAAGATATGGTTATATCGCCAAGAATGCCCTCTTCTTCAAGTATCCTTGACACTAGAGTGGAGATGCGAGGTACAAGGAAGAGCGTATATCTGTGCTTTTGCGACTCCCGAATGTGGGCTTTGACCTGGTCTACATGCACTGAGTCTGTTTACACGACCGTGGACAAAAGGGAAACTCAGACCTGCGATAATCTTGACGTACTTGATTAGCGGGCGACAAAGATATACTACATTTGTTGTCGTCGAGGTCAATGGGCCTGGCTCAAGCCAGAACATCTTGTCCACGCCGTGATGCTATGAAGGACGTGAATCGCATTATCAACATCGTGACAGTACAAGGATATACCTTCAGAAGTGCAACTTCTGTGACCAGTCCCAAAGGCCCTGCAAGGGTAGGGTCAAGCACTAGCGTCTTCGCGCCATTTACCTGTGCAGAACACCTGAACTTCAGTCCCGAGTGGAGTAGTATGAGAACCAAGGGCGTACCGCGTTTAGAGTGTCGATTAAGGCCTTTCTTGCAGTTTCCTTGAGCAACTCTACGTCCAACCTGGGCTCGTTGTCTCGCTCTGTCTCATTTGAGGTCTGGACGTCAGAGGCTGATGCGGACGCGGCTGCCATGGCTTGGAGAACATGCAGTGACACAGCCACCCATCACATGTATACTAAATTCTTCGGTCCGCCTTCCCCATTTCAGTCCTTCTTCGGCGACTTCAGCCTAAACACTTACGTCGTATTAAACGTCCCCTCCCTGATCCCTGAGTGCATTGACTAAAAAGCTAAACTGCAAGCGCTCTTAATACTGGCGTGAACATAGTACGGACATCATCCATTATGGAGCATGCCTCCAATCCGCCCGAGTATGACGGGAGACATCCTCTGCTCTCGCTCATCTCTGCCTGTTTCTGGGTGATACGTAGGCCGCTGTCATTCTTTTGTTCACGCATCAGACGAAGCTCACGGTACCTCCGGCAGTATGGTTCCTATCATGGGCAAAAGCTTTGATAGCTTTTGCCACCATCACCATCCCCCGTCTCATCTATTTTGCTCTGTCCTACTCCATGACATTGACAGTCAGTGGTTTCTAAGATTGCTGCTTGAAATATGAATCGCTCACTCATCTTAGCTAAATTTTTGGTCATTTGCCATCATGTTTTCCGCTTCAGCAGTTGCCCTGAATTATTGGATACGCCTTCGATACCTTAACACATATTCTTCACTGAAGGAACCACCGTTGGTGAAGCCCGATGTGAATGCACTTCACCCAGATGTGAATACAACAGAGCCTCCTCCAGCATTTCACAACTACTTGGACGATTTTTTGCAAGCTGTTCGTGTCTTCGGATTTCTCGAGAAGCCGGTGAGTAATACGTATTGTCTACGTTAATAAACCATCATCATATTTCAACAGGTATTTCATGAATTGGCAAGGCATCTTGCAACGAGACGCTTGATTGCCGGGGATAGTATCTCTTTAGACGAAGACAGGAGCTTCTATTGTGTTGTCGATGGCATGGTCCAGGTATACGCTCGAACAGGCCAGAATACTTGCCAAAATGGGTCATGGGACGAGGAGGATATGAACGGATACCAACTTATCAACGAAGTCGGAAGCGGTGGAACCTTGTCTAGTTTATTCAGCATTCTCAGCTTGTTCACCGAGCACATAAAGATAAGCTGGCAAGAAGATGGTCGCTCCGATGCTCTTGGAGGAAATCCTGCAAGTGGAGTAGGAGGACCACCTCAATCACGTACTCGCCGCGCGGATTCGGACGTGTCTCGTTTTAGCCTTGATTATGTATCCGTGGCTTCTCGGCCTTCTCGTTCTGCATCCATCTCGTCATCCGGTTCCACCGCTCATCCCGCAGACGCGACTTCTCCCATTGGTCCGACATCTCCGTATTACATCGGAGACGCCTCTAGATCGACGCCACATCGCGCTTCGCGCTCACGATCAGCCTCTAACCCTTCATCTCATCTCCACCATGGTATCGTGGCCAGGGCAAAAGAGGACAGCACTTTGGCCTTCATCCCTGCAGAAGCATTTCGCAGAGTTACAAAAAAGTTTCCGAAAGCAACCAGTCACATAGTACAAGGTACAGTTTCTGCGAGATTGAGTTCTCACTTTGTTCATTACGTTTTCAGTCATTCTAACGCGTTTTTCACGCGTTACGTTCAATGCCGCACACAGATATTTGGGGCTGACGACAGAGGTCCTTCGGACTGAGAAGGCAATCAACGAGATTGCATGCCACCCTCTTCCGGCATCATTCTACGAAGGTGGTGGCCTACAATATCTGCGGCAACGATTTGACGACGTCGCAATTCAGGGGTCTGACTCTGAAAGCGAGTACCTCAATCTCGCCCCATCTCCGGGTCCGGCCTCTGCTAACGGTGGCTATGTGTCCGCAGTTTTATCACGAGAAAGCTTGACAGATAGCCCGCTTGCTATGCGTGGTATCCCGATTCGTACTCCTCGCAATCAGGTACAGGCTGGCGACTTGCATACCTCAACTGGCCAAGGCAGTGACGGGTATAAACTATCGCGTTCGTTCAGCATCCTGGAATCACCTCGGCTACAGAAACACGACCTGTTACAGACCCGTCTGAATAATGAAGAGTTTGATCTGCGCGAGGAAGTCATGTCATGCATCGCCAAGTCTATTGGTCTTCTTCAGCCACCCATGAGTGGGAACGAGTCCATTGAGGATTCACCAGCTCTCCCGCCTTTTGATCATCTGCGCTCTGCGAACGGCGTGCTCCCGTCTCCCTTTGGCTCCCTGTCGCTATTAGAAACTGCGGATGACGGCGCTTCGAGTATGACGGGAACATCACATAGTTCGACTGACCGGTTATATGAGCGGCCTGGACAACGAAGTTGAGATCCTCTTCTTCTCTGCTGGCTCGACGCTCGTGAAGGCCGGAGAACGGAATACTGGTAAAAGTCCCATCGGTCAAGTATAGACGATAAATTGACCGCATGCAAATAAGGTCTTTACTATGTTGTTGAAGGTTTTCTGGATATTCTCCTACCCGCTGACGAGTCCCGCCCAAATAACGGGCCCTATGCGACGAGATCGACAAGCTCAGACACCGACTCTCTATACGCATCCGACCACAAGCAGGAGCCCGAGAAAGCCCAGAGCCGCAAGCTGTTGTTTACCAGTGAAACCAGGAGGAATTGCAGGTTATCTCGGTACGCTTATATCAGAAGGCTCTTGCATGTCCTGACGTTATTTAAAGCGTCTCTCTGCGGAACACCTTCGTATGTTGACATCCAAGCGAAAACTGATACATACGTGGGATTTCTACCCGCTCACTCTCTTGAACGTCTGGTGGAGAAACGGCCTATCGTGCAGCTTACATTGGCAAAGCGTCTCATTTCACTGCTGTCGCCTCTAGGTTAGCATTGCCTTCAACCATCTGTTGTAATATGCTAATGGTGTGGCAGTCCTGCAAATTGACGCATCTCTTGATTGGATGCACGTCAACGCAGGTCAAGTTCTTTGGCGCCCAGAAGACATTAGTGATAGTTTCTACATTGTCATTAATGGACGACTACGAGCAATTACCGAGGGAGAAGGCGGGTAAAGTCATAATTACTGGCGAATACGGACAAGGCGACACTGTTGGAGAATTAGACGTCATAACCAGTTCAACACGCAGAACTACGATGCACGCAATTCGTGACTCTGAGCTGATTAGAATGCCCCAGACGCTGTTTAACGCTATTTCCTCAAGGTGAGTACTCAACTCCATACTCTTGGGGTTGTCTGCTCATGCTATGCTCAGAAATCCTCAGACAACCGCACAGTAAGCGCCATCTTTGATATAAATCTCGTCTTTAACCATGTCTAGGTTACTACGGACGATCGCCTCTCGCGTACGCGACGAGATGGATGCGTCGAGCGATGTCCAGACACGCAACACTGCATTTGAACTGGGACGGAACAACACTAACCTAAAGACTGTGGCCATTCTCCCGGTATCGCGGAATGTTCCTATAGACACCTTTGCCCGAAAACTCAAGACTGCGTTGGAAGAGATGGGCGCGAAGACCTCGTTCATGAATCAAGCCTCTGTGTCGGGACATCTCGGCCGTCACGCATTCTCTCGTATGGGCACACTCAAGGCTGCAGCTTGGCTTGCAGACCAAGAGCAAAGATATCGAACAGTTTCTGTATGTTGCTGATTCACCTGTCAACAGTCCCTGGACGCAAACTTGTATCAGGCAGGTAAGTAATTCATAGCTCACAAAGCTTCAGACCACTGTAACCCTTTTTGGTAGGCTGATTTTGTGATGGTGGTTGGGATGGGTGATGATCCGAGCATTGGAGAATACGAACGCTTGCTACTTTCAATGAAGACCACGGCGCGGAAAGAGCTTGTGATACTCCATCCTGAACGTTCGGTCGCCCCTGGGTCGACACGCGAATGGCTGAAAGTGTGTTATGAGCGTTGCTTTATAAATGGCTGATCTCATAAAAGTATAGAATCGACCTTGGGTGCACCAACATATTCACGTCGAGCTTCCGGTATGTACACATAGACCTTCACCATAGGATTAGTGACTCACACATGGACGATAGGGTCTCGCAGTTCCGATAGTGAAGGCTGCTCACCAGATGCAAGATCCCGATGTTGTCATTGCATTCAAGAACCTCAAGGATAGAGTGCAGAGTGGCATTCAAAAGTACAGGGGGAGATCTAGGGACGCAAGACCGCAACCACATCCCATGATCAATGATTTCTCTCGTCTGGCCAGGAGACTCTGCGCAAAATCTGTCGGAGTTGTCCTCGGTGGCGGTGGAGCTCGTGGTATCTCGCATCTCGTCAGTGGTATCTCCGCTGCAGTTGTTCATCATATGCTGATCAGATAACAGGGTGTCTTACGTGCGCTCGAGGAGCGCGGAATTCCCATCGACTACATCGCAGGCACTAGTATCGGCGCATTGATAGGCGGTCTTTATGCACGCGAGTGCGACATTATCATGAGCACGAGTCGTGCCAAGCAATTCAGCGGAAGAATGGGGAATATCTGGAGGAATGCTTTCAGATGTTACATACCCCCTCGTTGCTTATACAACAGTAAGTCATCTGATCACACTTCGTATCATCCCCACCCATTCACGTCTTCGCCTCAGGGACACGAGTTTAACAGAACTATATACAAAGTAAGTTTTCGGCAATGTACCATCTGATGTGCCTGCGATTTAACACATTTATCAGGCTTTCTACGATCTTCACATAGAAGACATGTGGCTACCGTACTTCTGTAATACCACGAACATCAACACATCCCGCATGGAGATCCATGAAAGTGGCTATGCCTGGAGGTTCATCCGTGAGGTCATCGAACTACTTTCGTTGATACGAACTCACGAGTGATTCAGGTGCTTCTATGACCCTGGTTGGACTACTGCCTCCATTATGTGACAACGGCAGCATGCTTGTTGATGGTGGATATAGTGCGCCTCTTCATTCAACCCTGTGTCCCAGCACTGACCGATTTACCTTCCACAGTCGATAACCTACCCGTGAGCAATGAATCACTGCTAATTCTAGATGGCCCCTAAAATATAGCAATAGGTGTCAACAATGTTCTCCATGGGCGCGAGCATCGTGCTTGCTGCGGACGTCGGTTCCGTGTGTTTTTTTAAACTGACACGTCTACCTCCTATCTCATACTCCATTCCCTAGATTGATGATAATTCCCCTCGAAACTTTGGTGACTCTGTCTCGGGGTGGTGGCTCGTGGTTAACCGATGGAACCCCTTCTCGAGCGCTCGAACCGTGCCTGCGATCACTGAGATCCAAAGTCGGCTGGCCTAGTGAGTTTCCCACACAGTACGATCAGTCCGTGTTGTTGTTCTTACTTGTTCAAAGCGTGTCGAGTGTGCGCACTCTAGAGGCAGCCAAAGTCACACGGAACTGTCTTTACATGGCGGTCCCGGTTCAGGAGGTACGACTGACTGTTCTCATGCCTTGACATAACAATTCACACGTCCATAGTATGGCACTCTCCAGTTCAACAAGTTCGATGAGATCCAGAAGAAGGGGTATCTCGCTGCGGTCGAGATCCTTGACAAGTGGGAAGAAGAGGGAAAGCTGCCCAACTACGATGCTTATGGCGCAGATAAGAACATAGCCAGCAGGAAAGGGAGAAGTGCAAGACGCAATTCAGTGTAGATCACAGTCGATCTCTCTACATACAAGTTGTAATTGTAACAATGAAATAATTATCTACGACAAACAAACATACAAATACCGACTAGATAGTTATGCACCGCAACACATTTGTTTAAATACCAGGAGAGCATACAAATCGTGCCAGTACAGAGAGATAAAATCGAACTCGTGTATTGTACGCGGTGAGGACCTTGGAAAATGATGGCAAGAAAAACAAAATATAGGCAATTAAGCAACAATAATGAATATGGACGCATCCATGCGGTATGCAATATCGTGGGATGATGATGGGGAAGCGAAGATCAACTGCGGAAACGCGCGAATGGGTAATGATAGTCGATACACTTGGTGGGCAGGCCTTGAAACACTTCATGTTGGTGACATAAATAACTCTGAAACGGTGATCAAGAATCTACATGAAACAACGCTTCGCGTGAGAACTTGCCCCCTAGGATACCAAGTAGACCATACCCTAATGCACAACATGTTGATGGAAGCTCAATAATAGCAAGGCGTCCTCGATCTTCACACCGGAGAACGTGGTAGTGTGCATGCCCGTGTCCGCACTGACATACTCGCTAGGTCCCGCAGACATTCCCACGGCCATCTCAAGCTCTTGAAAGGCAGCAGGCTCAATGAGTCCCACGCCCATGCTTTCGACACCCACACCACGGGGCATTGGAAGTGGGACATGTGTCCGAATGCGTTTTTGAGGAGGAGGAGAAGGCGACATGCCAGGGGTGACTGCCTCCTGAAAGTCCTCTTCGCTGCGTTCGTCGATATCGAACTCCATAGTGTCCTCGTCATCCAGATCCATTGCATCGTCTTCGTCTTCCTCTTGGGAAGATGAGCCTGACGAAGTTTCGCGGGAAAAGTTGTATTGATATCCACGGCCCCTGGGTGCGCGAGGGAGAGGAACACCAGCCCGTTTGGCCCGCTTGCGGGCAGTCTGACGAATGTTACGGAACCAGTTTGTGACTTTGCCAATGTCCCTGGCTGGGAGGTGAGTAAAGGATATGCCAAGATGGAGTTGACGTACATTCCAACTTCTAGGGCAAGGGCGTTCCTTTGCTCGATACTTGGCGTCGAGGTGCGATGCAAAAGCTTTTTGAGTGCTTCCAACTGGTACGGCTCAGGGCGAGAGCGGCGAGGACGAGCATGTGAGTCCTCGCCTTTAGCGCCCTCATTAGTTCGAGGCATCTCTTCGAGGTCCCTTGAGTATGGAGTGACGCTTCTTCGGATGCGGGGTGAAGTGAGACGCGGATTCGAAGATGGCGGCAAAGACATCCGGCTGCGTGGTATCTTCACTTCATCGAGTTCAGGTGGAGACAACTTGAGGAAGGGAAGAGCGGGAAGAGGCAGGTGGCGATCCGGGACAAGGGATGGATGAGATGCTCTTGGAGGGAAGTTGAGATGGGACAGATGAGGCCCATGATCATCATCGATGACAGAAGATGGGTGAGATGGAACAGAGGAGCCATCTGCAGTTGTCGATGACGAAGACGTGAGGGGATGATGGTCTTCCTTGTGCTTTCTGGCCTGGGTGCGCTGATTCTGGAACCAATTTGTCACGCTTTGAGTGCGCCTGTCAATGCCGGATCAGTACGATAATAGGATGATGATCTTGATAAAAGACGACTGACATGCCAATTCGCTCAGCGAGTTCTATTCTGTCATCCTTGCTTGGATGTGCATTCATCGCATATGCACGACGAAGCTCATCGGCTTGCTCAGGGGTTGTTCTATTGCGAGCTGGCTCGCCTCTGCCCTTTCGAGACGTAACGCCATCACTGGCGCCGTCATTCTCGGAGACAAAGCGGCTATCCGCGTCGGGTACAAAGTGGCCCCTTTCGGCATAAACGGCATGGTGCCGATCGCTATCGACAGGCTGGCTCTCAGGCACGAAGCGATCCTGCGGCAAGAATTCGGGGGCGAAAGACTTGTCGTGATTATAATGAGGTTCACTGATATGGTGGTCATGAAGGAGAAGAATTTCTTTCTGTTTCTTGCGTGATGATGAGGGATGGGAGCGGGATGAGAGGTTACGTGAGGGTGGAGGGGGTGAGGAGTTTAAAAGGTTTGCTATTGATGGAAGCGTAGATGATGGACTTTTTTGGGGCGGTGCGTCAGTTGGTGCTGGTTTATTGCGCTTCTTGGTAGAAGCTCTCTTGTTTTGAAACCACGCATTAACAGTCTTCGTTTCCCTGAAAGTGAAAGGCAAGGATAAGTTATTGAGTGAACATTTGTGCAAAAGACGCCCGTCGACCAAATCAATAAAATGATGAGGGGTGCCTAAAAGGGGAACTTACATGCCAAGCTTCTCAGCTAGCTCTGTCCTGTCGTCTAGGCTGGGATGCTCATTTTTCTCATAGAGCTCGTTGAGGGCAGCGAGCTGGTTTGGACTGTGACGATGACGAGGCTTCTTAGTTGCTGTGCCCTTGTCAGTTGAATCAGGATCGTGGGCCTTTTTATGGGGCTTTTCATCGTCCTGGGGAGCTATAGGTGTTGAAACTGTGCTGTGGTCGTCGGGGTCGACGTCGCCCAGGACAGATGAAGAAGCTGAAATGATATGATTATTAGTTTGTGAAGGATGAGTAGGGAAGAGGACGTTGTCCATGGTTAATTCCATGGCGGCTGATGGGGGACAGCTTTCAAGGGAGAGACATGACAAAGGCTTGTATATGGACTGCTGATATTCCATATCCGCAACCTTTTTTTACTCTGCTATAATGATCAATATTCCCACGGGTGCTACTTGTCGTCACTGAGGGGCACTGATAAAAAATTACAAGACGACAACGGTATTTAGCTTTAGCTCTAGAATCAAGCTCATGTAGCACTAGGGTTATCCATAGTCTGTTGGGGCTTTCGTGGCGAAGGAGCAAGTAGCTGAAATTCGGTAGGAAACGTTTCACAGGGTTTCCACGTGGTTATCCCCGCTTACAATGTCCCAGGAATGTTAACGTTGCTTGTACTCAAGGTAGTCATCTAGGCCTAAGCGCTAACATTTATTAATCAACCGGACTGACTGCCTCAGTAGTCCAATTCGTAGTTTAGTGCAGCGCATTGCACTGATCACGGGCGATGCGCCCCATGTACATTGCAAATTGATTAGAATCAGTAACCGCTCTATCCTCATAAGATAAGCCTATCTGAAGGCACATAAACAATGTAAACAAATCTTGAATAAGGTCAATGAGAGGAATGAGCGGTATAAATAGTGCCCATGAGAACAGTCCATCGTCGTCCATACCGACATGTCCCTTTCAGGATTCTGACAGCAGCTATGACGGCAGTGCTCATGTTTGCGTCTCTTCCACGTCGATATTCTTGATCCATGCTCCGATTGAGCCCCTACAGCCAAAGTTTCATTTAGAACCCTCAATGTGAACGCGATCGATCATCTTACAGGAATCCCTCATGCCGAAAGAATAGCGCCCGCTTCGTTCCCTTGCTCCAGAATCGTATGGCATATGACAATGTAGCTACCGTCGCTGCATGCCCTGAAAAGTAATCGTTCCATCAACGTTCGTTCCATAAAGACAAAAGGAACTCGGCCTACCACGTATGAAGAACCCACCAAAGTAGATCCTGTCTAGACCATACTTTTCTGCATTCATGTACCTGACCGCGCTGTCAGCCGAAGAGCACATTCCAATCCCATATCAAGACAACTCACGCAATCTGCCCAATGTTATTCGACACAGCGTAAAGCAGGCTTCTGCTAATGTCCTCCGCTCGGAACGTCCCGCGTTCCCCTTCTTCTTTCCCCTCACCTCGGTTCTTGAAAACTTTGCCAAACGAACTTGCTATCATGGTCGATTTGAGTCCAAGCTTGCTGTAATCCGTACCATAGATATCACCAACAAGCATATCCACACTAGCATTATCCCCCTTTTCAGACAGTGCCAGCATTTCTGAAACAAACATAAGACACCGATCAAGCCACTAACTCTTCGACTTACCATCAAATGTCCGGGCAGGCGTCAACAAGCTGAGAAGTCCCCATAAGGTCCCCCCACCAAGGCTCGTTCCGCTTACACGTTCGAACGACCCATCGGCATCTACCTTTATGATAGATACACCAGATCCGATGTTGACAAGCAAACAAGGAAGATGCGCAGAAGGTTCGCTGGTTTCGAATGTCACGGCATACCGCGGCGGGTCTGGTGATGGCCGCTCTAGAACAGGCTCCGCACTCTTGCTGGGCATCACATTTCCGCTCGACCCAGGACCATCCAGCACGATCTGGTTCTGCACGTCCCTCGATATATGATGTGTCACTTCCTGGATGAGTTCATCCGAGAAGTAATACACTTCTTCTGGGATTGTCACCATGAATTTCATCCCTTCGATCAGACACTCCATCTCGTCCTCTCTTTGCACGTCCACCTCGAGTTCGCCCTCGAACAGCTTGCCAAACCTGTGTGCGCCACCACCAGTAGCTGAAATCTTAACCCCCCGGCGCATCTCCTCAATGGAGACGCCATTCGCGGCAGCAGACCGAGTTATGAGCTCCGATATGAAGGCGACGAGCGCGGAAATGTTCGATGTTTCAAACCGCTCAAAGTTGATGGAGCCCCCGGGGATGTGACGGACTTCGGTTGTGCGTTTTAGGATGGTCGAGCGCAAAAGGTCTGTGTCGAGCGAATCTGGGGTGTCGGGGGGATAGTAGCCATTGCTGTGTCCATTTCCGTGGTAATGGGATTCGAGGACGCGGGGCGTAAGGGTGCCGTTTCGTGTTTGTGAGGAGCTGGAGGGGATGTTTGTGACGGACGGTGGGGACGTGGATGGGGAGCCGGCGCTGGAGCTGTTGGCGCTGGAACTGCTTCCCTGCGTAGCTATTACAGATGGGGATGAAGAGGACTGAGGAGAGCGTGTAAAGTAAACGACCTTCGCTAAAGATCCACCAATCTGTGATAACCCTGATATCAGTAACCAAGGATGATAGCTAGGCTAATGCTTACGTCTATGGCGATGTGTGAGACTGGCTCAATGTAGTTTGGAAGGTATATTCCTCGACTGTCTCGAGTCTATGATATTACGGAGTCAAGGTGATGCATAGCTTCAGGAGAACCCTGCTTACCTCGGGCGACTCCTCGGCGAGTATTACTGCTCCTCTAGTGTTAACACGGATAGCCTTGGGCGTGGGCAGCGACGGGGCTGGGAGGGGGGTATGCATCGCGAGTTCGGATGATACTTCGTCACAGTCAGATCAAGCAAGCGCAGTTCACAGGAATAACACAGGAATTACGCGTGACTTAAAAGGACTGGAAAGTGGTACGACAGCAGCGAAATCGTACGAACACTCCCTGAGCAATTTGAATCATGTAAACGTTCAAAACTCATGCCATCCTTAGTCTTGAGACTTGAAATATTTAGATTCGGGAACCGCCTTTACCGGAAGCTGGAACTGCTGCTTATGGTCATTCGACATTGTCTAATCCCAGCCCATGTGTGAACATTGCAGAGTCGTATGCATTACCGACTGTGACTAGTGGGACACCATGTGATACAAAACCCCCCCGTGTCGAATCTAATGACAGCCAGTCCAAATCCTCTAACCTCCGACAACAGATACAACCAAAGCACATGCGTTCTCCTGCTCTGCACGCACCCCAAGTTCCAACGTAACACCCTGACCTCGCGAGAAGGTCATTCTGCACCTCACAAGCACCTTGCCCCCTCCCCCAGTCACCAAACCCGAAAGTTGGAGCGTGTGTACAGACGGCGAACTGGGTGTTTCCGTGCCACCCAAAGGCTCCATATTGAGGAGCTCAATGATCGAGTCGCAGGCAGCTGTGAAGGTGGGTGGGGTGTGAGTCGTATCAGCCGTGGAAATATGACAGACGGGTACAGAAAAAGCGAAACGTACCTTTGATACTTTCCATGGCACCAAGTGAGAACGTTTCCGTAGCAGTCGCACCAGACCGTAGACGATCCCACTCGGAGGAAAAAGAGGCGTAACTGGGAATAATATAGTCCCCACCGGCTGAAAGCTCGACCTCTTCCAGTTGGTATTCGTCCTCGTAACCCTCTTCTTCCGGTCGGCCCGTCGACGGATCCAGTTCTTTGGAAATAAACTTCAAGATACATTGGAAGGAGGTGGTGGTATATTCTCGGGGGTTGTCCCGCTTAAAAGAAACGTAGACGATTCCAGGAGAATTAGAGCAACTGAGAGAGTCGATTTGGAAGACGACATCCTCTGTCAATCCAGAATCGGCCTGTGGTTGCATTACCACGACCGCCTGCTCCAGGACAGTATCTGGGAGGGTATTTGATACATTGAACTAGGAAACGAATCAGACGCAATGCGGTGAGTGCAGTACAGTATACTGACCTGGAACACGATATGTTCTTTGAATATATGCTTGACACATGTAACTTGATACTCGGTCTCGGATTCCGTGAGCTGTACAGGCTTTGCGCTGCTGTTGAGGACAGTTCCATACTCTGCAAAGTGTGGTATGTCTGCAAGTTGCTGCACATATGCAGATTGCGTTTCTGCAGCTGTGGGAGGTGGTGGAGATGCCGAAGCTCTCGTCGTGGGCGCAGCAATAATGTCCAGGGTACTTGGACCTGATAATACGTCAGAATTTAGAATGGGAGAAAATAAACAATACTGACGAGTCGACTCAGCAGCAAGTTGAGCCCGGCTGATCTTTGGTATCGACGAGGCGTCGAACGGCTGTGCGCTGGCATCAGTATCATTGACATACGCAACGAGTTTGGATTCAAGCGCGGCAAGCGAGAATACAGATTCTGCACAAATCATGAGATTCTGTACAAATCCTCGTAAACCCAACGTACCTTCTTTCACATAGGTATCTGCAAGGGATGCTTCCTTCATGACTCTCAGGTACATTGCAGCGCGATCACGAACTTCATCGTCAACGTCATCCAAGCACCTGAGAAATTTTGTCAATCGCCTTTATTTCGTTCGGAAAAAAAGCCGATGACCTGTTCAACAAAACGCCAATGCTTCTCCGTAAACCATCATCCACCGCATTCACACCGAACTTGGCCAAACTTGCAACTGCTGCTGCTCGTACAGTCGCATTTTCAAGTACGACGCGGTTGTAGATGAACCGGATGTACTTGGTCGGTTGAGGAGCCTTGGGACCTTCGAGGCCAAGGAGGTGTAATATCCGCACGGACAACTTCGTGAATTCACAGTCTTCGATGAACTCACACAGATGCGAAAGCGCCTGCTCTTTGCAGTCTGAGATGAACTTGATCATGTCGAACATAGCCTCGACGATGGCGCGTTTGAAGTCATATCCGCCCTCATCACGGAGCACCCCCGAAAGGAAAGCGAGCATGGAAACGTGCTTCGTCGGGAACTTGATGCATAGCGAGCGAATAGCGTCAACAATGATGACTTTGAATTCATCGCTGATCTCTGACATGAATCCAGTGATCTGCTTCATGAGGCGGTCAACGGATGCCTCATTTCCGGTCTATGGAACAGTTAGTGAGTGTAGAATTATCTCTTAAGTTAATCTCTACCTTGAGCAGGGTAGTGATGGCATACGTTGCCACACTCCTGTTCTGGTCAGCGATAAGATTCTCCAGGTCAACGTTACATGACGCCACAGCAGCAGGATGTGCCAAAGCGAGAGTAGCCAATGTCCGGGTTGCAGCAAATTTCAAAACAGGCTTCGGAGAAGAGAGGAAGAGCTGGAGCACTGTAGACAGGTCAGATAAAAATAATTAAAGTCCAAGAGCTACAAACCCGCTATTGGTTTGGCGAGTTGCGAAGCATTAACATTCTTCATCTCGCAAATAGCACGTGCTGCCTCAAAATTAACCATGTCGCTCTTGTGGCGTAGCCACCCTTCCAAAAGATCGAGCATTTGCCTTTGCACACTAGAGCCAAGATAAGCAGTCAATTGTATAACACGTTCAAGGACGTACTTTGGATCTTCCTCCATCACTTTCGCGGCATACCGAATAAGCATGCAAAGAGCCATAGAGTTTTTAAGCGTTGTGCCTGCACCAGACTTGCCCCCGCCAAGCTGCTGTATCATTTTAGTCACAGCCATCCGATCCTGCTGGCGAATCAAGTATAGAAGACCAAGTGCATGATATTGAGTGATGTAGCTCGTTGATGGGATAGGCTGGTAACCGCTGTTCGAATTTCCGGATGAGCCAAAATTGAGATAACCACCGCCTGATGATCCGGGGAAGAAGGATGATGAAGACTTTGCGCTGACTGCTTCCTGAGCCTCATTTACCCAACGCTTGACTACGTCTTTTGCGAGAGGGAACAAATGATATGAGGACACGAGTGCCGCAGATGAGATAGAAGGCGTTCGGTCTACGATTGCAGCTTTGAAGAAACGCTCTACACCTTGAGCCATGGAAGGCTATACAGCAATGAGCGTATGGGACTCCATAATTCGGGCAGACGCACGTCAATGATTCGGCACAGTGCACGGATTGCATTTGGCCTGTAAATGACCTCGGAGTTTGGTTGCATGTCCTTCATAATACTGCTTGTGACCATGATGACATCTTCAGCGGTGGTTGCGAGTTCCTTGATGGCCAGATACACCATCTGCCTCAAGGCACTCTTCACAAGACATGAGCGGGACATTACACGGCAATGAGAAGAGAATAGAATAGGAACGTACGTCCTTGTGTTGGAAGAGCTTCGTTGTTCCAAAGAACAAGGTTGTGGCCTCCTGCGCGCTAAAGGTCTCGCCAATGTAAAGCAGGTAGGCAATGCGAGTGAGGAGGGCCCTGCATTTCCTTGGGCTAATTGGAGAGTCGTTGAAAACACGGGCTTCCTGAATAATCGTTGTCTTGTTATTATAGTAAGAACTAAGACCGCTCTCTTCCTCCTTTTTTGAGGCGTAAGCCATGGCTAACAGCGATCAAAGGGCCAGGTCGGCGATTGCGATATGCACGACGTGGTCAAGGTGAATTATTTGTTTGGTCATTGTTTGGTCAAGTGCTTCAACTCAGGTACTCCCAATACAAAGTTCATCAAGACCACGTAGGCTCGCCGCCAGCCTTCTCGAGGGAGCGTATGTTCATGGAGATTTGAAAGTCGACTCGCTCGGACTGCGCAATTTGGACTTTCTCGATTCTTACGATGTCACATCTATTCCTCGTGAGATCAGCCGCCCGGTCGACGAGGCCTGACCTGACCTGTAGCCTCACTACAAACAATCCCTCCTGGGGTTTCTCTCACCCTCCTCTCGGCACCAGCACGATTGCCAAATGACGTAGTGGCCCTGGATGGACAGTGCTGACAGTCTTAGTACCTCTATATCCGCCTTCTCTCGATGGCATGCATTCTGCATTGACCAGCACACTAGTGAACGTCGATCCAGGGCTTCAAGTTTCAAGCACAGAGTACAAGTATATTTCCCTCTTCACTTGAAGCGTGGTCCGTATATTTTAATGAGCTCTCAATTCAGAATAGAGTTGATTTATTTCCCGCATAATCGTGCACTCTTTCTTGTCTCTTTCTATTGACATACTTAATTACTGGATGTCATGGCATGTCTTCCATCATTCACATTGCTACGTTTCGGGGGTGATGGCGAAGAACTTCATCGCGAGGCAGTGAGGGACAGATGATGAAGATGACATCGTTGCTGGCCATTCTGACAGCAAGGGGGGCAAGGTTAACGTTGCATGATAAAACAGGCGTAACTTCGAAATGCATACATACACGCTTTGAGTTCGAAGCGCCGCAGCTGAGTTCTACCGTTGCAGACACGGAGTTTAGACAAGGTTGATGATGATCCGCATCATCCATCTCTTCGTCGGTCGCTAGATTTGCATGAGCCCGAACTTTATGCAAGCTTTCATTATTTCATCATAGTTAACGATATTAACGAGTTCACGATTATAGAATTGCTGTACTTATATTATTTTGACGAAAACTTGCCGTGAGTATGCGCTAAAATTGTGTCGTAGTCTCTCATGCAGTCTGGTTCACTTGTAGACACCGTCGCTATGTCCCTTGACGGAATACAATCACCCTGACAAGACCCTGGCAGCCGCAGTGGCAAAGCTGGACAGCCCTGACATTCGGGATCAGCGACAGTACTGAAATAGCCCAAATTATTATCAGAATCACTACAGCACTCATGAAGGCACTGATGCCGCCATATTTGTTTCAAGCGATACTGTGTCTCACCATCAAAATCTACCCGCGGGTGTCTGTATCCTGAAAAATGTTTTGCTGGTCCGAATCAATCCTCAACGCCTACCAAGCATAGTACCTAATTCCCGTCGAAAAACACAGTACGCGACCAGCCTCCAGGTGACTGGTCAACCATTTCAAATGGCGACCTCTTGGAACATAACTCTGAATGATACCAGCCCAATGTTCACGTATTACCCTTACTGTGGGCCGTTTCATGGCATCCATCTATCATTGATTAACTTGACTTGATTTACAGCTGATGGTTTCGGTTTGACAAATGGCTGGCAAATCTGGTACTCAGAGACTGGATATAACACGGTCTTTGCGAATCCAGGAGTTGGCATATCAGCACACATCACCTCGCTGCCAGGCGCTAATGTGACTTTTTCATTTTATGGTACGTTCAATAATGGTATGAATTCCCCCTTCGCGATCCTGAACTGGTTACTGCCGAAAAAGGCACAGGGATAGATCTCCATGGAACGGCGAATTGCACATTTGACGTCACAGTGGACGGAATTTTCTCCTCATCCCTCAGTACTACCAGCGATCTCCTGTATTCTAAGCAAGCACTATCGGAAGGAACCCATTCACTCACCCTAACTGCCCACCCAACTTCGGGGGAGCACCTTGCATTTGAGAATGCCGTGATTTATGTCAAGTACGTCTTTGGTCAACGCAATGTTTTGCTAGCGCCTGAACTTTCTATCAGTCAACCAATCCCCCAAATGGTATCATACAGTAATACGAACACCACGTTCCTCAACTATAGTGGGAACTGGTCCACTGCAACAGATATACATGTCCCTGGAAACATCTTTCATACTACGGAAACCAGTGGTTCAAGCGTGTCTGCCTCATTTGGAGGGTCATCGGCGGTACTCGTTCAAGGTATTGTAAACTGGGGTAATTGGCAATACACAGTGGTACGCATCGCACGCCTCATTCCTAAACCAGGGAGATTAATTATGAATTTTCCAGTCTCTAAATGGTACCCAGTCCTTGCTCAATGCAAGCAGCTTCTGGTTCATTCCGGACACTACGTTGTTCTATCAAGGGGGCCTGGATCCAGAACAAACTTATGTTCTGAATATTGCCGACATAAGTGAAAACGGCAACAAGTTTGAAATAAACTCCGTGAAGCTTTACCAGCCCCTGCAGCCGACTACACTGTAAGTCCACCGATCAAAATGCTCCAGATCCGAAACTGAAGCGGCCTCCTCGATAAGGCCATCATCATCGAAGCCCTCAAAAATAGGTGAAATAGTTGGCGCCATCGTAGGAGTTGTTGTCTTGCTTGCCTTAGCCGTCGGGTTCCTCTTCTGGCGACGTTCACGGCGCCCTAAAACAGTAACTTCAGGACAAAATTTCGCCGCACTGGAAAACGAACTCACTCCCGAGGCTCATGTTACGCATCTCCCCGCATTGCCCACGCCATACACTATTTCTGGCGCCACCGCTAGTGCCCGTCCGGATAAATTCCCATTGACAACTATCGGCGGAAGCATTGATGATTCGCTGCTCTACCACGAAAGAGCAATTGCACGTGGTCCTGGGTCCGCCACAAGCTCTCTAGGTCCATACAGCGAACCCAAGAATAATACGAGTGGTTCTCTGTCTTCTCCTAGTGCGCGTGGTCGGCGGCGCCCTTTGCCACCTCCACCTGGTAGCATTTCATCTACTGCACTATCTCTACAGGAGATACAGAGTTCTCCGAGGCCATCAGGGCTGGAGCCACCTTTACAGATACCAGACTCAGAAGTGGATAGAATACTGGGAATTATAGCTTCGCGTATTGACGTACCCGACAGAAACTCTTTGTCTTCTTCTCCTCCACCCCAGTACCGAACCTGACTCAGTTAGTCTTATTGTTCACATATGCAGGGACATGGATACGTCCAAGTACTTTTCTTTTTTTCTTCGGGATGTTTATGTTAGGACTCTCTGTAATCATCTGTAATCATCTACGTCAAATATATATCGTGTTGCGATTGTGATGCCATGAAGAAAGCGTGGTCAGTGCATGTATCGAACGGTAGTGAGTATGGAGTAATAAATAAATATCCCATGATACAGTAATCTAGTGTGATGCCCACGAGTCCAAACATGCCAGGGGGGGTAAGTAAAACAGAGTAATAAATAGGACCAATGTGCATCAGAATCAATGTTTCTTGCGGGCATAGACGTTTTGTATACACACGTAAACGGGAGTGACTGCCTCTTTTAATTCCGCCACTGCGTTATTTTCCAGTTGATCCACAAAATCCTCCGCTAACCCACTGCCGAGGAGCAAAGGGCGACCGGATTTCATGAATGCCTATAAACGCAATTAATACACAAGAACTTCACGTCATATTTGGTCGGCTTACTGTGACATCATCCCGCATAGTGGCCCCAATATCATTCCACCAGAGACTATTGGGGTCATTGCCCTTCAGCCACGGCGAACACGGTATCCAGAATTCGCGGTACACGGCATCCTCGAATGCTGGGTGATCGCACACCCATTGATACATGTGCAGAGAAGCATCTGCATCGCCGCCCCGTTGACGAACGGCTCTGTTCGCATAAGACATCCATAGAGGTGTCCACGGCGGTTCGAATGTGCCTGCTGGTGGGCAGATAGCCTTTTTATCGATGCCGGTAAAGTAGAATGGAAATTCAGTAATGTCTATCAGACCGCCTGGTCGGAGGACGTGCGCAATGTGGTTAATGAGCCCGTGGTAATCCCGAATCTAGTAAAGAAAGTGACATCAGTCCTTCAAAAAATTATTCGTGCACTCGTATTAAATATACTGACTCCAGAAGAAATTAATTGAGCATGGACGACATTGAAGTCACCATAAAAGTGCTCGAGCCCGAGATTAATGTCGTCAACTTCACTTCTAAATGAAGTAAGAGAACTAGCTAAGACAGGTAGCGCCGGGTAATCGCAGCTTTCTTTCTCACCTGCAGTTTGGCGGCATTGATCTGTAAGTCGCTCAGGAAAGGTTAAATTGAACAGGGGTTAACACGAGCACATACGTTGACTGCATGGGAACGAGATCTACAGCTACCGCACCTGCGTTTGGGAATTCTCTCGCAATGTCCATTATCCTGGACACGTGAGCATAGTAGCTAGAATTTTCGAAAGAAGAATCTCACCAACTGCCACTGCCACAGCCAAGGTCGAGGACAGCTTTGACCTCGAACTCATCATCTACCATGATTTCAGGCATCGGTGGTGGGTATTTCCCGATGGCTTTGCAAAACATATCATGTTGTCTGTCTGTGTTGGAAGTCAGACTACAGCGGACTAAAAGGGGTTACTTTAACCACACCCAAACGGTCGAGTTCTTCATCGTCGGCCGGTAACCGGTAGACTTCTGAATAGTTGTTTAAGCCTCTTCCGTATTCTTGTCTATATGCTTGGGCTCGCAAAGAACTTGTTACGGAGAATACTGATGGCGCTGGGGATTGAGAACGCATAGAAACATCTACTGAAGTCTTTGAGCTTGCCACGCTGGGCGTAAACGCGTCGAGAGACATGTCGGTATATCTGTCAGACTCGGACTCGACATCGCTGTCAGCCGCGTCTTCAGAAAGAGCGTGCCTCAGTGGAAAAGGGAAATAAGACATGGTAGAGGTAGACATGGATGAACGAGCACAGAGGATGAATTATTTATAATAAGTATGGTGGAAGGGATGACACTATAAAACTAGTCAGACATAAACTTCCCGGCGGAGACATGATAATTGCTCCGCATTCTGATCTGACACAACCTCTGCAGCCGCTGCAATCGCGTGAACGGATTTGAACCCTTCCACGTGCCCGAGGACTGTCCGGCGACTACCGGACTTCCCTTTTCCCGCCTTATCCGACTCATCCCGAACAATCTCTTTTTTTCCATAAAACACTTCTTTTTATTCAAACAGGCTTCTCAGTCTGACTGACTCTGTCAGTCAAACGTCAAGCCCCCTCTAAAACCCCATGTAGTCTAGCTTTCCTTGACACCAAGGTGACACGTCAATCAATCCTTTGCCTTGGTACTCACCTAAAAACTTTTAAAAGAGGCACGCTTTAACGTTGATGAACCAATCAAGCTCTGGAGGCCCCTAAATTCGGCGTTGCGCTGAGTTGATGGCACCTTGAATCCGCCGCGCTCTGGACACAATCACTTATTTCAGGTGGTCGGCGGATCACTGTCCGCAGGTATACAAGAATAATTTTATAGTCGCCCATTTCCTGAAAATCGCATATCTGATATGCCACTGTGCGGCCGATCGCGTCGTTTTCTGACTCCGTAACGGCGTTTTTCAGTGCCCAGGCCGCCACCGTTCGATCCATTTATCTGGTGACGGTCCATGAACCTGACTCAGATATCAACATCGTGTGGGTTTCGCTATCGGGTTTCAATGCTTACCGTGGGGGCACATTCATGCAGAATTATAGCCGAAATGTAAGCCAGTCCAAAAGGTCCGCTTTGAATAATATTATAAAGCGTTCTCCGCCTGTGGCGAGTTGGACGTGCTCGACTAGGAATCAAAGATCAAAATACCAGAACGCGGAGTGACGATCTTGCCGGCAGTCAAGCTGTGTCTCGACCCACAAGTGGATAAAGTGCGTCCACTCGACCATTTCTTCTAGCTCGAACTCCGAGGTTCAGCGTCACAGTATTTAAAATTTGCACATTAGCGTGAGATCCTGCCAATATTAATACGAGCATATGCTCAATGCATAATTTAAGCTTGACCTCATTGTGATCAGCCGCCACCGCCAGCTACTCGCGGCTGTTATCGTGAAATCTCTGTCTAACTTTTTTGCACAATCAAGAAAACGTGCCGCATCAGCATTTCGAAAGTGCAAGCTGGATTACGATAAAATACTGACACAACATAAATATTGCAACACGTGGATGAGAAGCCCGGGTTGTAGGTTCAGAGTAGTCATTCAGTGGGCGTTTGACCTGAGTGGTACGTCCTGTGTAATCCCCCAAGTGTTACGAATGTCCCATGGGATCCGGCGGACATAGGTGACGACACTAGGTTGGGCCTCTAGCACAATCAATTCGCGCGCCTGACTTGGCATAATTAAGCTGATACGTACAGCCCGGGGGTAATATAAATCTCCGGAAGTCTCACTAAGATTCGTGAATCGTGATCATATATCTTCATAAGAGGATGGAGAATCTTTAAAGGTTCGGATATACACAAAAGCAGATAAGCCGCGTCACGCAGAGGAGTGTACACTACACCTAGTCAGCGCTTCTTTAATTCCTCAAAGCGTCGTGCCAGAACGGCGAACTCATCCTCAGTTTCCTCATTCGAATTCTGCTCCATCTGGTGGGATTTTTCTCCGGCTGATGCCTTGGGTTTCACGGTTTCGTCTTCAGTTGGAGGAATATCCGGCAACTTATTAGAAATTTCCCTGGAATACAACGGAAGCGATTCCGGTGTGCTGCTGCCTGATGATGTGCCATCCTTTTAGAAAGGACTGTATGAGATCAAATCCCGATTTAAAATTGAATCAACAAACCACAACGCTCCCTTGTGCCGCAGCAGTGGTTGATGAAGTAGAGGCCCACTTGACGCTATAGGCTTTGGCGATCTCGCCAAGATACCCATCAACCAGCTGTTCCGAGGGTGTTTCTATGATGAGTTTCCTCATTATCTGGCACGGCAGAAGAAACTATAAGCCCGGATCCAAATAGCCGCGGGCAACATACTTACACGTTCACTCACACAGCCACTTCGATTTTCCATCGCAGCTGCGGAGAAGTCGCGCCCATACTTGTGCATGAGCATGTCGCGCAGAACGAGTAATTCTGGGGCGGAATAACTGTGAGCAGTATGATTTATGTGACGGTATTGATTCACCTTTCACTTCGGTTCTTGGAGCTGCATGTATGATGCTACATACACCTTCGCTGATTCCGGGATCAGGGTCTCGAGTACTGCCGGTGTATGCATCAACTTTTTGGAAAAGAACCTCGACAAATAAATAGAGATCCATACTTTTGGTCAAGAAGGCCGAAACGCGCAATGAGCAGCTCGCAGTAAAGTTCAAGAAGCTCGTATAACTCAAGGTTCACATCTTCGTTGATAACTGGCGTGGCACGAGCAAACCAAGTAATTGAACAGCCGAAGTCCTAGCTAGGGAGAGGAGACCTACCAGCTTCTACCTTGACTCGCGCGCTCTCCGCTTTCCCCTTCTCGAGGAGAAGGGCGATGTCTCTGCGAGAGCTCTTAGCGTGTGCCTCCTTCTTCTGCTGCGCTATGCGAAGCCGTTGAACCGAGAGTCTGAAGCATGCGAAAATCTATTAAGCAGTAGCGAGAGATTATTGCAAGATAGTGGATATACCTCAGTTGCACCTGTGCAGGTGAAGTTCAGATAAAGTGTAGAGCATTATTATTTACAAGCCCTGCACCTTCGCCTTGGCCGGGTTCCACGTTGACGGTGGTGGCATTGTGAATTGTAAAGCGGCGAAAGCACAATCTTTCTGGTCTAACACGACTCAGGAACCCAGGACTCAGGAGAGCTAGGCAACGGAATCCGGAGTCCGGAGGCAACGAGGCTTTGGCGATATACATAACCAAACAAAAACAGGTGACAAGTGATTACGGTACTTGCAAGCTATCTATAAACATACGTACTGATGATCTGAAGCCCGTCCGATAGATACAGGTAGCTGCTCTACGAGTATCATTACTCTGACGCCCATTCGCGCTCGCGTTTTTGAACGTAACCATCATTTAATTGATACTGGATGAACCTAGACCAGAAACCCTGGGGTCACTCCAATTGCGATCATGACGGACACCGCCAAAGTAAGCACATGGTTACTTTCCATATGTAAGAGTACGTGTCCTTAAAAAATGTTGGCTATTGACGGTTGTCTCGGCGATGTGACCCTACTAGGTTCGCATCCGCAGTACCGTATTGATTATCGGGTCAAAGGTGCGACCTGGTGTCCTCAAAATAACTACAGCTTCACTTTCAGCGCTTGTGTCACCTGTAAGTAGTGGGAATCCGTGTCATGATGGTTGCAGTTGATCGTATCCCTTATTCTTTTTCAAATCTCGTCATTCACGCAGGGCACCACCTGCCTTAATGACATCCCGGCTTCCCATTGTCAAAAACCCACTTGGGCCAATCATACATAGAAAGACTCACACTCCATGATCTAGGGCTTCCTTCTTTTTGAAACCCGCAGCACCTGCTACGATGCTGGCCTCATTATCGCGACCACAACGGCAGCCTCTTCGACTGTTGATAGACTCCTCGTTTCCTCTGGTTCATAGTTCGACCTCCCCTGAACCTACTTCTTCTCCCTCGTCCGAATCCAGTTTAACATCATCGGGTTTGACGCCAAGCACAGGCGTTCCAGACTGGTTCATCTGCAACGTGATATGTATGTTTGACTTCGAGTCAGACGATCCAGATCATCTCTCGTTCACCCGCAACGAGATTCTCACCGTCGTGAAGATGGAAGAATCAGGTTGGTGGGCTGCTATGCGTCCCAAGGGGGACCGTCTCGGGTGGATTCCAAGCTCTTTCGTAGAGCGTCTCACAGAAACAGCCGTAGAAGAGCAAGATAAGGAGGATATCCACACCTGGATTCGTAATCACGACGAAGACAACGCGAGAATATCCGAATCAGAGACTGATTCGGAATGCATACAAGTCGGGGACACGTTGAACTCTGTGTCGGATGTGGTGAAAGTGAGTTGACAAGTATGTTATGATGAACATATCCCGATGGCTGATGTTTGATTCAGCCCCTGTTGCTACCCAGTAACCAACTGGGTCACCGTGATTTACGACGGAGCAACGAGATCTATGACTCTTTCTTCAGCTTGTCCGATGATGAGCCCTCACCACACGGTTTAACCCGTCCCTGCCCTTCTCCTTTGCACAGCATATCACAACCCCCGGCCACCCCGCCTAGCCCAGTGTCCGAAGTCCCGACTAAACCGCTCGGCAAACTCAACGACCTACAATTATCATGCTTCAGTATCGATACAGGACGCTCTCTTCCATTGTCGCCTTATCCCAACCGTCCCCGCCGTCTTGCGGTGCTTGTTAATGACCGCGAATCTTTGTCGTGCCTTTCTGCTATCATCGACAAGGAACATTCCCCTGTTTTCCATGCATTTGACAGTCCGCAGGTGAAAGAGACGTTTGACGCATTCAACAGGAGGTGCACGGGAAGTTGATTTCTTGAGTTTCTATGATACCCATACTCCTCTCTACCTCCTCATCACAGCTGTATTCAGTATTAGATCTCGACTGGCTTGTATTTTTGGCCTGGACCATACGTGTAGCATATCATATTACCCGTAGTGCACAGGTTGCATTCATCAAAACTGACTCATAATAGATTCATCATCCCGGGCTGACCCTGTCCCCAACTTCTGGCCTGATATGTGTCACAATGAATATGTATCCTAGAAAGTTCAGCATTGAAGTAGGTCGTGATTACGGCTAGTAAGGGTGGGAACAGACTAAGTCAGATAAAGGTAAGGAGGAGTTTCATGAGGCATGTGTAGGGGTTGTACATAAAATCTAGCAATTGCATGCTTCGCCACCCTGAGCGGTTGATTGCCTGTTAAGGTCTACACTTTGTCGCGAGGTACCAGGTGCTGCAACGCGAGCACCACGGGCTGCGGGCGGTGCGGTCAATGGAAGCTTCTTGGCTGTGGATTCAACGGGTTAGAGAGCGAAATGATCCAAGCAAAGAACGAGCGCACCAATAGCATTGAAGATAAGATTTACGCCCTCTCCTGTCTTTGCGCTAGTCTCGCTCCACAGAAGGCCTTCTTCGTTGGCGTATTTCCTAGCTTCCTCCTCCGTGACTTGCCTCCGTTCGGAGAGATCCAATTTGTTGCCGCACAGAGCTATTACTATCGATGGGTCTGCTTGGCGTTGCAGTTCACGAATCCATGTCTTCGCCTTCTCCAAGGAGGCAGTTTGGGTGATGTCATACACGACAACTGCACAGTTTGCGTTGCGATAATACATTGGCGCCTAAGATCCTCTCAATCAAACGTAACTCCACAAAGAGGTATAAGACATACAAGGGACTAAAAGGCACGCCACACCGTTAATTCGCGATACGTGATGCATGCAATTTTGGGTACTTACTTTGTATCGCTCTTGACCCGCTGTATCCCTAAGCCATATGTTAGTGTGCGGAAACACCAGAAATGTACACGAATCACCATATTTCAAATTTGACAGTTGTCTGGTCCTCTAGGGTAACCGTTTGTGTCAAGAACGCCGCTGTGGGTCCAGGAGCTCAGTAGAAGAAAATAGCTTTTTAAAGGATACATACCGCCAATTGTACTTTCCCGGTAGTCGTCAAACTGGTCTTTCACGAACCTTAAGACCAAGCTGTCGCGAGTGAGCTGGGGTCTTGCGCACGAGATAGTAACGTTGCTCCGCTTTACCTGGATTTCCCTACGGCTGACTCGCCTTAAGAAGTAATATGAGCTTAATTGTCCTCGTTTTAAAACGACATTTCTTTACCTAGAAGAACGAGCTTGAACTGAAACTGCTTCGACATCGTGGAGAAATACACAGGGTAAGTAGACACAGACGACTTGACTGCGAGCAAGGAATGTCGATGATCCGCATTTGGAAGACATGATTACGTGTATTTTTCTCACCCAGGGCCAGAAAAATTTGTTCGGCGTTGACAACGACTTTGACCCAAACCACCACCATCATCAGGCAGCTCCTCTGTTGGTTTTCGCTTTCAGCGTATTCCTCTTGAGTTGAGTCATACTTTCAGAAAGTTCATTCAGAGTTATTCTTCAGCAGTTTTTCTCTACCTTCCCGTACACGTGTTTTTCCACCGGATCTTTAAGCGTTCACATATCAGCTCGCCTTACCCTCCACCCTCAGTAAAAGAAAAATGAACCGTCACCATCCATATGGAGGAGTTTACGATAATTCCGCCAACAGAAGAGGCGGCCCACCAGGGCCTGGGCCGGATAGATCTTATCATCACAGAGGAGGTGGGGCGCCTCGTGGAAGAGGATTCGGCCGTGGCCGAGGAGGCCAAGGTGGTCAGGGCGGCCAAGGTGCTCAAAGTGGTCAAGGCGGCCACTTTGGCAATTACGATGGCGGTGTCTCCAACGCATATGATCAAGGGCCGCCTCAAGGCGATATGGGCCTCTACAATAATTACGACACTGGCTCGCAAGATCCCTTCTACCAGAACGGCAGTGGTAATTATGGTAGTGGAATGCCCTCCGCTCAGTTCAATGCCCCAACCCAGTCAGATGGTTTTGCCCAGGGCTATGGTAATTATGAAGGTGCGCTTGAAGCTAAGACTGAAAAAATGCGCGAATACAGGCAGAACTTTGGCGGCGCAGCTTCGCATGGGATGCAAATTTTAGCGACGAAAATTTGACTGGCTCATATTGCCAACGGCGAAACCTTTCATGGAGGCATCTCAGACATTAAGACGTACTCGCGAGCTTAAGCTATTCTTTAGCGAGAGCAGTGAAGTCGGAAGAAAAACTACAGACGATGGAAATCTGAGATCGCCCAGGGAATGTACTCATCCGAATTTTACGAGTGGGAGCTCATATGTTTCGGCTGAGTTGGGGTCATCTCCGCCTCTCCTAATTTGCTGCGCTACGTCTCTTGTTCTGCCTTATCCTCAGCTTGGTTTTCTGGCACGTTGCAAGGACTTGATCTCACTGGTATCCGATTCTTTGTCAGACGGTTCCGACGGCAACTTTGACGATGGTGGATTTGGTATGCGACCTCAGAAGCGAACTGTGCGTCGAGAACGGGATGACAAAGTCCACGATTCGATAATTGAAGAGCGAATCCAACGCGAGCGTCCCTGCCGTACTTTGTTTATACGCAACATTAAGGCGAGTCGATGAGTTGGAGGCAGCTCCACGTGTTCTGGTACGAGTTTGATTTGCTAATAATGAGCTACTTTTGTAGTATGAGACGAATAGTGAGGACGTCCGTCGTTCATTCGAAGAGCATGGAGATATCAAGACTTTTTTCGATCTCATTGCAACGCGGGGAATGGTTTTCGTGACCTTCGTGAGTTTTAAATGGAACCCACTCCATCATCACTAAGGCATCGGTTCAGTACGATATTCGCGCAGCCGAGCGTGCTAGGGATCGTCTGCAGGGTTCTGAGATAAGTGGACGGCCCGTAAGTTTTGATGCACCCACTTCGATAATCATCAATGGAGTTGTCGTCCCTCAGATCGATGTCCATTATTCTCTTCCGCGCGATGACCAAAAGCAGGGCGGCGATCGTGACAAAAATCAGGTTGGTAATATCACACTCGTTTTCACGATTGATAGCTGAATTTTGTTCAGCAATTTCAGGGCAACCTGATCGTCACACTTAAGGACTCTGTGCAGGCTATCGATGACAACGAAGTCAGACGTAAATTTCAACAGTTTGGCGACGTCAAGTCTGTCACGCCTGTCGGTGATCGATCTGAGTATGTTGGATCTTTCTCCAATCGCCTAGTTTACTGACGAACCTGAGCAGTCAGCGTTATGTTGAATTCTATGATATAAGGGTCAGTCTTACTGTAAGTTGGAATAACGTAATATTCACCGCCTTTAGGCATGCGACGAGGCCTTCGATCGTCTCCGTCACCAAGGGTTGCAAGACGGAACCATGGATGTCACCTATGCATGGGAAGAGTCTGAGATTTCTGGTCCTCCTACTCAGCGGTATGCTTCATCACGTGTAATTCATTGTTGTTTTTGCTTACATGTTACGTCAGCCGTGAGCAAAGATTTGACGGTGGTGGACGGGACTGGGATGATGGCGGTGGGCGTGGATTTCGAGGCCGGGGTCGGGGCAGGGGCCGCGGCGGTGGTGGCCGAGGCCGCGGCTCGTTTGACGATTGGGACCGGCGTGATGACTTTGGCAGGGACCGTGATCGCGGCCGATTTGAAGATGATTTCAGGGGTGGTGGGCGCGGCGGCGGCCGAGGTGGCTACGGAGACAGATTTGATTCCCGCGGTTCTCTCTCGAGTGGGCTTGGTTCGGGTTCTGGTTCGTATAACGAGCCGGCGAACGTGCCTCCGTATAACCAATCCCCGCCAGCAATCTCTCAGTACAACCAGCCCCCGCCAGCAGCCACTCAGTACAACCACCCCCCGCCACCAGCCACCCAGTACAACCCGCCCCCGCCAGCAGTCACTCAGTATAATCAGCCCCCGCCCCAGCCAGTGGCCACTCAGTACCATCAGCCCCCACCATCTGGTACACCAACTGTACGTATTTGTTCCTCACTAGTGCCCCACACGGCTGACAGTCCATCAGGGCACAGGGGATCGGTTGGAGCAGGCTCGCAAAGTTCAACAGCTCCTTGCGGCACTGAAACAACCTCAGAATAACACTGCACCACCTCCCACGATGCAATCGGGACCGCCAGCACCAGGACCTCCCCAGAGCACGCTTGGAATGCCCCCTCCACCCCAACATCAAAACCCATACTATGCACCACCGCCCGTTCAACAACCCGCAGCGCCCTATCCTCCGTCTGGCCCTAGCTCTAACCCATATGCTCAGGTGCCTTCTCAGACATCCACCCCTCAACCAGGGCAGATTCACACTGGAATGCCTGGCTTACCTCCAAATATCCTTGCATTGTTACAACAGTCACAGGGTCAGCAGGGTCAAGGCAATGCTCCCCAACAAATGCAATCGCAATACGGAATGCCTCCCCCGCCACCTCAGTCCATGATGTCCCCACCTCCCATGTCTAGTATGCCACCCGGTGCACCCCAGCCAGGAACTCCGAATTACCAACAACTAATGGCTATACTTGTGAGTCTGGATGAACCCCCTATGTGTCCTTATCCTGACTACTTGACATCAAGGCTTCGCAGAAAAGATCCTAACTTATGCAACCGATGACTTCTTGAACTATTGCTTGTCTGTTCTTGTGCTTTATGCTACTATTTTTCTGCGTCATTTATTTCTTTCAGGTCGTTTCCCTTGTTGCACTTGTCGTAAAATGCCGTATAGATACGTATTATGTTGTGTACATGCATGCAGACTGTCGTTCCTCAGTGCTCAGCGGTGCCGACAACGAATTCGGCACCGCTGGATGCTACGTATTTGATTCTGAGCTTCTACGATGTTGGTTCCTGGCCATGTAAAGTAGTGCACGCATCCAAGTGCAAACTCGGCGCTACTCGAAATGTCCGCTCAACTGCTAAGTACATTCAGACATTAGGATATCAAAAGACTTGTACTGATATCCTGAATGCAGGTCCAGGTCCTCGATCGTACGTCACTCATGCTCGGACTGCGACTTCCATTATGCATAGGCAGTTTTTGTGAGGTACGCCGGCATGGATTGCGGTGCTGCTTCGCCACTAAACGATTTTCAGAGTATCGTTTATGTAATAACATCCCAAGTGCCGTTCAGTGGAGAACGGCAAGACAGCTTCATTACAACCATGACGTTGGCCGTTGAACCTGGTGAGTAAAATGTGGTTACCAATAGACTGATAGTTGTTAATTGGAATGACCTCTAGTAGTACTACTCAGACGCGTTCTACTTCTGCCGTTCCATATGCAGCTGTCTCGATTACCCCCACTTGCGCTCCCAGAGCGTGACAGGCTACTTCGCAAAAGAACTGCAATTAGATCATATCACCGAGGATGCCGACCTGATGAAACCAACGAAGTCAAATCTCGGAGTATGGACAGATACATCCTCGAAGTCTACATTCACTGATACGTATAGGCATACATATTGTTATTGCCTTTCTATGTTCACAAGGTTATATAGCCATGCGGGCATCATTACAGATTTGAAATCTGTTCCGCTGGGTTCATGGGTCGGTTCGAAACCTGCCTGTGAACATTTTTTTCTGTTGCAACACTTGCACAATATTCACTCCAAAGACCTAGGTCCATCTTAACCCACCCTTAGTGAAATGTTTAGCACGACAGATTCAAAACCTACCAACAGTTTTTTCGATGATGATCACACCAAATAAGCATACATACTTTTAATGCCTTTCTACGTTCAAGGTTATATAGCCATGCGGGTATCATAACAGATTTGAAATCTGTTCCGCTAGGTTCATGGGTCGGTTCGAAACCTGCCTGTGAACGCTTTTTTCTGTTGCAACACTTGCACAATACTCACTCCAAAGACCTAGGTCCATCTTAACTCACCTTAGCGAAATGCTTAGCACGACAGATTCAAAACCTATCAACAGTTTTTTCGATGATGATCACACCAAATAAGCATACATACTTTTAATGCCTTTCTACGTTCAAGGTTATATAGCCATGCGGGTATCACAACAGATTTGAAATCTGTTCCGCTAGGTTCATGGGTCGGTTCGAAACCTGCCTGTGAACGCTTTTTTCTGTTGCAACACTTGCACAATATTCACTCCAAAGACCTAGGTCCATCTTAATTCACCTTAGCGAAATATTTAGCACGACAGATTCAAAACCTACCAACAGTTTTTGTCGATGATGATCATACGAGGTAAGCAGACATACTTTTAGTGCCTTTCGATGTTCATATGTAAGGTCTTGTGGCCATGCGGGTATCATACATAACAGATTTGAAATCTGTTCCGCTAGGTTCATGGTGTAGGTTCGAAATCTGCCTGTGATCATTTTTTTCTGTTGCAACACTTGCACAATATTCACTCCAAAGACCTAGGTCCATCTAGACTCACCTTGGCGAAATGTTTAGCACGACGGATTCAAAACCTACCAACAGTTTTTGTCGATGATGATCATACGAGGTAAGCATACATACTTTTAATGCCTTACTGTGTTCGTAAGGTTATATAGCCATGCGGGTATCATAACAGATTTGAAATCTGTTCCGCTGAGTTCGCGGTGCATGTTTGAAACCTGCCTGCGAACAATTTTTTCTGTTATAACACTTGCACATTCACTCCAAAGACCTAGGTCCATCTTAACGTTAACTCACCCTTAGTGAAATGTTTAGCACGACAGATTCAAACCCTACCAAAGTTTTTGTCGATGATGATCACACCAGGTAAGCATACATATATTTAATGCCTTTCCATGTTCACAAGGTCTTATAGCCATGCGGGTATCGTAGCAGATTTGAAATCTGTTCCGCTGGGTTCACGGTGCGAGTTCGAAACTTGCCTGCGAGCATTTTTTTTACTGTTACAACACCTGCACATTTCCTCCAAAACTTTGGTCCATCTTAACTTGTCTTAGCGAAATATGTAGCACGACAGATTCAAACCCTACCAACAACAGTGCACGATAACACCCTGGACATTATCTCATGTACTAACCCTTGGGAATCCAACTCAAGGACTCGTGGCGTTACACAACAAATTAGAAATATGTTCTCTTGGAGGTCTTTTCCTCTTATTACACCCTAAACATTTAAATATTCACTCATAATAGTTCCCTCAAAGGTCTACCTCATGCGGTGGGTACCACAACAGTTCCTCCCGGTGTGCGCCCGTACGAAACCTGTTAATGACAATATCTTCTTTCGCGCTATATAATTCACACCAAGCCAGGATGAACCTATGTCTAATTGTCGCAGGGCATTATGCAAAATTGCTAATATACAGAATGCGCATGTAGCATTTCAACACCGCCTGAGATGAGCGAGTGAATATCCCGAAAGCTTTGGTGTGCACAACTAGAGAAGTATAGAGACATATCTCGTCATGCACATGGAATGATATGAAGCAGACTTATATTTGGTTTGTGTCTGAGGATCAGCCACCTTGTCCCATGCCTAGGGTTACAAGCACGTAGACATTAGCTGCCAAAATCACAAGCCATATCAAGCACCCAAGCGACGTCATGATCTTCCCGCTGCTAAAATCCACAAAGTCCTCTGTCTGGGTCATCTCCGGATCCGTATCCAATGTTGTGATAGCAGGTAGAGAGGAACCTTCTTCACCAGGACTCATGACCGGGTGGCCTGGAGACGGTTTGCGTACTCGCATGATGCGCGACGATGAGGTGAGGTATATCAGCGGGAACGTTATGAATGGGAGGACTATCGACAAGGTGACCTGACTTGCGACAAGCAAAAAGTCGATGCCGCTTGGTCCAACGACGATGGCGACGGCCATAGAAGGTATCAGACCTAGCATGCGCGTCACAAGACGCCGTACAATGGGCTGTCACATTTGTGAGTGATGACTTTCGCCGGAACAAAAGGTAAAGCTAACCGAAACTTTCCAGTTCAGGAATCCTTCCGAGACGCTTTGCCCTGCTACAGTGGCGACAATAGAAGCACTTTGGCCCGCTGCAAGTAGGGCGAGCGCAAAGAGTAACGCGGCACCTATTGCCAAGGATGTGAAAAGCTTACAGTAACCTGAAGGATATGACTTACCTGTACCAATCGTGTCGTTGATGAGAGTGTGGGCGTCGAATAAGCTAGCTGGAGATTCAGATCCATGCGCCCCTGATCCGTAATAGAAGACAGCACTGGCGAGGATTAGGATACTTCGAAGGAGGTGTTAGCCTCAATGGTAGCAAGGAATGCCAGAAACTTACAGGGCATTGATAATGACAGCGAAGCCTAGCAGACTGGAGACCATATCGACCATGCCGTGATAGACATGGGCTTGTACGAACTCCAAGGCATTATTCTCTCTATGTTCATGAGACTTCGGACGGGCATTCAGCGCTTCTAACTCGGCACGAGGTATTACGAACAATGACCAGCATTTTTGCCAGATTGCTCGTCCAAAGTATCGCAGGTGCTCGCTCCTTGACGTGAACCTCATTGGTTCTCGCTCTCGAACCTTGTCGGAAAGCGAAGAGACTGGGGCAAGTGGTGTTTTGGATAGCCTATCTTGGGTTGCGAGATGTGAACCCAAGAATAGACTATGAGGCATGACAGTAGCGCCCAGGATTCCAACGGCTACAACAAAGTTGTGTCAACTCTTGTTCGCGTTCTTGCATTTTATCACGTACATGTATAGAGAGCACCACTGGCAAAAAGTGTCTTAGAAGGAACGAATCCAATAAAGGCTTGGCCCCAGTCGACACTGATCCTTGCGATGATCATTGCCATGCAGATGAGCACAGAAAACACCTAAGCGCGTCTTATTGAACCAAACGAGGTGCGCAAGTGGTTGGGGGCTTACAAGCGCAGCGATGATCCACTCAAATACCTTCACTGGCCTAGCGTGAAGAGGGTTGCCGAGGGCAAGTATCAATAAGACATCGGCTCCAGTCACCAGAACACCAGCCCAGAGTGGAAGGGCCGGAAAGAGAAGAGTGAGTGCTATTGCGGAGCCAAGGAGCTCAGCAAGATCGGTGCTGACGATGGCTACCTCGGCGAGGACGTAAAGAGGGTAAAGGACTCCCCATCGCCAAAGTTTCGTATGACGTGGTCGATCGTGGAAGAGAATGCGGCAATGAGATGCGAGGTCTGCAAAAGACGAGTCAATATACATGTTAATCTGCCAGGGAAAAGGGGATTTACCAAGACCAGTGACTACCCCAAGCCGACAGGCAAGAACCTGCGAAATTCGCGGTAAGTCACTCGGACAATCACTACATCATACATCCCACTCACTTGAAGAAACGCAGCGAACAAGCCTGCCAAAAGTACGACGAAGAGGAGTTTATAGCCATATTGAGATCCTGCCTGAAGGTCAACTCCCCAATTCCCACTTTGATGCAGCTTCGGAGTGAGAACGTAGTTACCATCAGTCAAATGATTGACACTTACGGGTCGAAGTATGCGACGGAGCACACGATGCCTACGCCTGTATGTTTCTGTGCGTGACGAAATATTGTCCATCCCACATCATGCAGACGATCTATCCAGTGCTTTTTAGTGGTCGTGGTTTCGCCCACAAGGTCTTGATCCGCTTGAGTTGGAGATGTGATCATCAAGTCAAAGCAATTGAAAGCAAGAGACTACGACACCAGACGATTGAATCTTTCTATGATACAGTTGATCACGATTAGAAGATATGGTAAGAAGGCAGGAAAGAGAAATATATATATTATTGCCACAGGCGTGGCAAATTGGTCCACATTCAATGAATTTCGAGAGCTAGCCATTGGCTGCTCGGGAAGTTCTCGTGTACCGTACCAGTCGAACGTCCTCGGTATAGATTTATTCATAGCTGAATCGATAACTATGTGCCGTATTTACTATGGTCAGGCGATATCAATATCTCGGACTCCGGTACTCCGTGAATCAGCCTAGAAATCCGATTCCAAATCGTCCGTCTCCAGATTGGTGAGTTGGTCGGCATCAAGAAGGCAGCTCGCATATGCCTGACCGCATTACTTGTGAGCATAATGAAAGCCCGAAATTGCGATTACTGACATCTAATTCTGCTTTGCTGAGGGACTCCGGTTTGGATGTTGGAGGATATGAAACACGCATTGTTATGGGTGGCTGTGGAGGCCTAGTACTGCTGGAGGAGCCACTAGCAGAGGTAGCGGCCCGTCGCGGCACAGATGCGTTCACGTTCAACTTCAATGGAATTGGCTTAGCCATGTCATACATTGCGACTAGGTGGCCAATTACCTTGACTGGCGCAGGTATTGTCCTCGATGTGATTGGCTTCTTCTCCAAATCACGGGTTAGCCGCAACCAATCCCGCTCCGGCAGCTGTGGTTTGAGAGCTCCGTCATTAGCCAATCGGTCAGCACCCTCGTTACCCTCGATTCCAACGTGACCTCTGACATGCTTAAACACGACTTTTGGTCCTGCCCTTTCACGGGCATATAGCAATGCTGCCAAGTACGTGATGAGTTCCACATTCTTGACGGGTTGGCCAGTGGACGTTCGAAAGCCGTTCGCGCTCCACTTTGGCAACCAGGATTCAAAGCCTGCAACGGGATGAGAGGAATGCATCACATAGATCAGCGCATCGTACATTGTATAGCATACTTTGAGTCTGTTTTGATCATGAGTGGTTGCTGGGAGAATGGCGCGGTCTCCAATGCCCGAACGATTGCCTGCAAAAGCAATGCGAGCATGAGCATAGTATGTTATCAAATATATGGAACACAACTCGCGATGAGTTCTGCCCTATTATTTGTTTGATCTCCAGGACATCGTTCGGCAATGTTTCTGAAATAATGATGAGTTGTCATGTGTCGTCGCTCAGATGAGATTTCTCGCCTGGAATCGTTCCAACCCCACCATACACCTACGCCCGCAACCGAACCAACTTGTCCATTTCCTTTACATGCACCGTCAGAATAAACAACATCGTACCCAGGCTCGTCTTCTTTGACATTCACAACAGCCATAGGACGGAATGTCGACGCCACGCTACTCATGGTAGTAGGCGATACCTTTGACGAGGACGGTTCAGAAGGCGGCTTGAGAGACGACTCTCCGGCAATAAATGCAAGGGCTTCCGTCTCAGTGTTGAGTTTCTTGTAAATAGCTCCATGGAAGTTTTTCACTTGGAGCTCGCATTCTTCCCTTCAGGAAGGAAGCTGAGTACAAGATGAGCATTATCGTGCAGTCGACTGACCACGTTGGGTAAACCCCTGGCGTACGTCCTTTGCGCACGGCATAATATGCTGTTTTCTGAGCTTTAGGCATACCGTCGGACTGGGAGCTGGTAGTGTTGAAGGGTCTCGATCTTGTAAGCAGAACAGCTTTTATTGAAGACGGTCCAACTCCGCACGATGGATTCGCGATAACGCACGCTCTGAACGGAAAGATCTTAGCCAGGATTGGTGAATTTGATTGAACCTAGATAGAACCAGTCTCGATATCGAGTCAGGCTCGCGGTGGCTTGAAAGCCACAGAGACGCGTTTTGGTGTTGCACCTAGACTAGGGTTAGGGTTTGTCGCTCCTTCATGACCTAACTAAACTGTAGGATGAGATAGGGACGTTTGAACCTTCGTACTGATTCTCATAGAGGATTATGTTTAAGTACGTACATATCTACATATCTGAGCGCGCCAAACTCACCCACCTTGCCCCATTCCTAAAGTTACAAGCACATAGACATTGGCTACCACAATCACAAGCCATATAAGGCACCCGAGCGACGTCATGAGCTTCCCACTGCTGAAGTCCACAAAGTCCTCTTTCTGAATTATCTCCGGGTCAGAATGTACTGATGTGACCGCAGGGAGGGAGGAAACTTCTAGGTTGTCGAGTGGACTGATATCCTTGTGGCTTGAAGACGTTTTACGCACTCGCATGATGCGCGACGATGAGGTGAGGTATATCAGCGGAAAGGTGATGAACGGGAGGACTATTGACAGGATGACCTGACTTGCGACAAGCAAGAAGCTGATGCCGCTTGGTCCAACGACGATGGCAACAGTCATAGAAGGTATCAAACCCAGTAGGCGCGTCGCGAGGCGCCGTACGACGGGCTATCACATTAGTGAGCGATAACTTTCATTGGAGCAAAGGATAGAGCCGACCGAGACTTTCCAGTTCAGGAATCCTTCCGAGACGCTTTGCCCTGCTACAGTGGCAACAATAGAAGCACTTTGGCCCGATGCAAGGAGGGCGAGCGCGAATATTAATGCAGCAGCTAGTGCGCAGGATTAGAGAAACACAGAACATGAAATATGACGTACCTTTGCCAATCGTGTCGTTGATGAGACTGTGCGTATCGAACAAGCTAGCAGGAGATTCAGAGCCATAAGCCCCTGATCCGTAGTAAAAGACGGCACTGGCTAGGATTAGAATACTTGGAAGGAGACTTAGCTTCAGTGGTAGTAGGTTATGCTAGATGCTTACAGTGCATTGATGATGACGGCGAAGCCCAGCAGACTGGAGACCACATCGACCATGCCGTGATACAGGTGGGATTGCACGAATTCTAAGGCATTATTCTCTCTCCCTTCATGAGACGTCGGACGGGCATTCAGCTCGTCTAATTCGGCACGAGATACTATGAACGAGGATCTGCAATTTCGCAAGAACGCTTGTCCCAAGCATCGTAGGCGCTTGCGTCTTGATGCGACCCCTGCTAATTCTCCTTCCAAAATCTTGTCGGAAAGCGGAGAGACTGGGGCAAGTGATTGTTTGGATAGCCTATCTTGGGTTGCGAGATGCGAACCCAAGAATAAACTGTGGGGCATGACAGTAGCGCCCAGAATTCCGACGGCTACAATAAAGTCATGTCAGCGCCTGTCCGCATTTTTGCATTCCGCCGCATGCAGTCCACATACATGTATAAAGAGCGCCATTGATAAAGAGTGCCTGAGAAGGAACGAATCCATCGAAGGCTTGACCCCAGACGACATTGATCTTCGCGATAATGATTGCAATACAGATGAGCACAGCGAACACCTAGATTCGCCCAATCAAAATTCTATGAAGTACGCAAGCGATTGGGAGCTTACCAGTGCAGCGATGATCCATTCAAATATCTTCACTGGTCTATCGCGAAGAGGGTTGCCGAGGGCAAGTATCAATAAGACGTCGGCTCCAGTAATCAGAACACCAGCCCAGAGTGGAAGGGCTGGAAAGAGTAGAGAAAGTGCTGTTGCGGAGCCAAGGAGCTCACTAAGATCGGTACTGACGATGGCTATCTCGGAGAGGGCATAAAGTGGATACAGGGCTCCCCATCGCCAAAGTTTCGTATGGCGTGGTCGGTTGTGCAAAAGAACGCGACAGTGGGATGCAAGATCTGCAGAAATAATGAGTGAACAAACATGTATAGGGGGGGATTAATACCAAGACCGGTGACCACACCGAGCCGACATGCAAGAACCTGTAGAAATTCGGTGTAAGTCACTCGGGTAACCACAACCTCATAGACATGCTTACTTGAAGAAAAGCAGCGAACAAGCCTGCCAAAAGAACAACAAAGAGAAGTTTATACCCATATTGAGATCCCGCCTGAAGATCGACGCCCCAACTCCCTCTTTGATGCAGCTTCGGATTTAGAACGTGATTGCCATCAGTCGGGCGTTGACACTTACGGGTCAAAGTATGCAACGGAGCACACGATGCCGACACCTGTATAGTTCTGTGCATGATGACATATTGTCAATCCTACATGATACAGACGTCCTGTCCAGTGATTTTCGGGCGACTTGGTTTCGCTCTGTACTTCAGGATCCTGTTCCGCATGCTTCAGAGAAGTGGCCATAGCTACGAAGCCCTTTGGGGCAAGATGATCGAGTCTGGGGCGCCATGGAAAACAGATGAGAATATATAGGAAGGTTCAAGTTGGACAGAAGTATATGTCATGACCATAAACGCGGCGATAGCAAGTACTCTCATGCTATCTCCTGCTCAGAGTGTTATTCATAGTCTCCAATAGTCAGGCCTTAATGGAAGGAAGCTTAAGAGACAGTAGTGGCGTTAACAGGTGGTTGGGGTTATCACATGACCTAGCATGTAACTTTGCTGCACTATTTTAGGGATGAGTAGTCCTTGCAGGCTTGCAGTGATTGCGAAACTCGACAATGTCCAAAGGGGTTACGCGTAGATCATAGTTGTAAATTTTCCAGTCTAGATTTTGAGTTAGTAGACTGGTTTGATACCGTAGTACATGCTCTGTGATAGACAACTTTAAATTGACGCGAGCCAAACGCATTTTCACCTCCTCAAGTCATGTGATCTTGAAGAGACTGCCAAGCGGGATGCTATCTGGGTTGTATCTGGGTCTCCCACAAATACTCTACCAATGTCCGGACCATAGATCAAGGGAACGCTCATTCGGGGGCCCTCAGGGGCCCGTCACCTGGATCAGGCTGGATGTATCCATTCCCTTGTACCACGATAGGCAGTTCCGTAATTTTTTCCCGCACATACTGATTTGAGAACAAGCGACGACAGCCGATCCGCTGATATGTTCCGAATGGGGACAACACAGCTGCCTATTTGGGTCGCTACCTTGTCCTCCTTGGGTCAGTCCAGGTATGGGGCTCCTTCTCCTTGAACATCCCTCCTTTGGTATATAATAGCTATGCGTGAGTTCTTGCTTTATCAACACGACCAGTTTGGTCCAATACCCTTAACAACCCCTGCAAGAAGACGTACTTCCGCTGTTCTAGCAACCGTTGTTTGACCATATACATCCTTGAACGAACCCATTGACGACGTCGACGGAGGCTACCATTTGTGCACTGTGACATATTCGCAGAGCAGTTCTAGCGCGCATAACCATCCGCAATCAAGCAGAACAATCATTATCACACTTGTCTTTGTGTGCTGCACATCCTATAATATCACATCATCACTCATTCACGCCTCATAATGTCTCGCTACTACACTACTCCCCCCCGATCGCCCACCTTCGGCTTCTTCCCCACTGCGCCCTCTGCCCCACACGCGTTCTCCACCATGCAGGGGAACCCGCGTGACTCCCACAACATGTACGCGGCGCTGGGCTCATCCATGGGCTTCCAATCAAGTAGCCAGCGCAGACAGAGCAACAGCGGGAGTTCAAACCCGCTCATGAAGTTCTATAGAAAGTGATCATCCTGATCGTCAATTGTATACATCACGACGGGGCCACGTGTCCCCAAACCCACTGTATCGATAGTACTGGAGCGGAGCGGTTATTTTTTGTGGCTAGGGAGATGGGAGGTGGAGCGCGCCAAAATACGTGCTGAATGAGGGGTGCAGGGCATCTGAATCTTCTTCACGACTTCGTTCGATTACACACTTACTTCTCCATCAAACCCCTGTGTCCATATCTCGTACGCATAGAACGCACATATTGTATCTCTATTGTTTCATCCTGGATGCTATACATTTCGCCCTCTCCTATCATTCAAAAATTGACACATGAAGACAATAATGCAAGCCAAATGCATGCCATGAGGAAAGGATCGAGGCTTGGTGACGCCCGGCAACTCATTCAAAAGCGGCTTTTTGAAGACCGGACCGCCGGCAAACGCCGACGCTGAGCAGATCGCTTGGCGCAACTTCACGCACTTGGATAGTCAACACTTCTAGAGACAGCGACGTCTGTCATGGCACCCTCAAGAGCACCAATATCACAAGAAAGCAATGTCAACAACGTATACGCGCTCTCCTTGCTTTCTGAGTATACTCACACTCTTGACTCCCTCCCACTCGACCTCTCTCGCAACTTTGCAGACCTCCGTGAACTCGACGCAGTTTTGTCGTCGTCTATGACATCCATCACCGCAAAAATACAATGTCTAACACAGATGATCGAAGATGGCACGATGGGAAAGCAGGAGCGTCTTTTCCTGCTCACAGATATAGCAGAGGAGGCTGCACGTTTGAAACTGGGCGGCGAAGACAAGATTCGTGTCGCATGTCAAGCCGCTGACAACCTCAAAAGCCATACATTACATATGAGGACGCTTCTCACTCTCTTGCCATCATTCGATGCGTCCGCATTGAACCGCAAGACAACTTACCCCCATGTCGCTGTTCGGTCATATATGCCGACCATCGAGAACTCGCGTCGTAGAAGAGGCAACTACGGATCAATCATGAATACGGCGAATCATGAATCCAGCCCTTCTAAACGGAAACGGGCAGTGAGGGAAGACGACTTGGATATCGGAGGCGGTAAATCGCCGCGCAAGGAGAGGAATGGGGATAGCAATATTTCGCGAGCTCGAAATGGTGCTCGTTCACGAAAGTGAGTCATTTTTAAGGGTATGTATTCATATATTGATATGCCACTTTAGACAAGAACGTGCTGTCTCTCCCACAGAATCAGTTCTCTCTGTCATCTCGCACACTGTAGCACCGGTGTCTCAAGCCTATGCAGGGAGCTCAAGAGCTGGTGGTTCATCGAGTCGCGCTATCAACCCCTCGAATAGGCGTTCCAAGCCGAATCCTAACACCTATGATGATTCGCATGTCAATGGATCTGTCAACGGCCGACGTGACATCTTCCCCGCACCACCTTCATCATCAGTCTCTCACCCCTCTTTACCTATGCCTTATGGATCGAACGGTATACATACTTATGATATTCCTGGTACTCACACACTTGCCAATGACTGGGGAGCCCCTCCTCATGGACAACTCGAAGGTCCAGGCATGCCTGTGACACGGAACACACACACCGGCCTATCGATTAGTTCTGCTACCATCCTAACCCCTAACCTGCCTCTGGTATCTCCAAGTGAAACCCATGCTGCCAATGCCGCGGGAGACACGGCCACCGAAGTTGGCGAAGGTGACGGGGAAGGTGATGATAGGACCTACTGCTTCTGTGAGGGTATAAGCTACGGGGAAATGATTGCATGTGACGACGTGAATTGCGAGAGAGAATGGGTACGTTGCGTTTCTCTTTGTCATGATACGGTGTATTCACAAAACCCGCAGTTCCATCTTGCATGCATTGGCCTCACGGTGCCTCCAGACGGAACGTGGTTCTGCGAAGCTTGCAGGCAGAAGAAGAATGCGAAACGTGGGTCGAGGGCAAATAAAAAGCGTTCGGGCGGCGGCAGCACGCGGTCGGGGGGTAAAGCTGCTAACAACGGATAACGAGTTTTTGTTTGTTCTTCTACCAGTGCACCTCTGGCTTGGTCATTTACGCTTGCTGTCTATAATTAGCTCCACCCACTAAACGCTGATGCGGCGAACCGTCTACGCCTTCCTTTCTTAGGACGCCACTTTCTGCACTAGTTGAACGAACTCACCGGGTGATTGTGAAGAAGTCGCAATCGCGATGATTAATAGGTGTATCCAGGTTATATTCCTGGACGTGGTATCTTCAATCATGCAAGAGCAACCGCAGATTGGACGCGTAGCGCCTTATTCAGCTGCTGACAGAAACAAGACAAAGGGTTTTGTAATTCCGGATCTCGCTATTACTGTTAGATAGGCAAGCACACACGTGCACCGGTGACACTTTCAGGATATAAAATGCATCAAGGGATACACCGTGATCTAAGTCTAAAGCTCATCTCAATTCTCTCCAGTCACTAATCCAAACCAACAAGGATGCCATCATACGCTATCACAGGCGCAGCCCGGGGAATTGGCGTACGTCCAGCCCAATCGGCTATCATACAAAGTTTCTGACGTCTTTGATTCTGACCAGTTCGAATACGTCAATCAACTCTCTGCTGACTCTGGCAACACCGTTTTCGCCCTTGTACGCAATAAAGCTACTGCGACCAAGCTCGAGGAGCTGGGAAGGCATAATGTTCACATCATCGAGGCCGATATCACTGATACCAAGGCTTTGAAGGTAGGTGCCTGACAGTGTCTATTTCGGTCAGGGGCTGAATGGGTGCTTTATCTAGGACGCTGCTGCAGAGGTTTCTTCGCGCACAGGAAGCTCGCTTGATTATCTGATCAACAACGCTGCCTTCGTAGAGCCAGAAAGAGATGGATTGACTCTTGATTCGTAGTAAGATTTATTGTCTTCTTTGAATTCTCGAATGGCACTGAGTCGCGACTAGTTCCTCAGCAGAGTTGCTCACCAAGGATCTCCTCGATTCGGTATGTCTCTCGAACAGTTCTTCGCATGCAAAAGTAGAGCTCACGCATCTCTGCAGTTCAATATCAATGTCATCGCTATCATCCACACAATCAACATCTTCCTCCCGCTACTTAAGAATGGGAAGGCAAAGACGGTCGTCACCCTCAGTAGCGGATTGGGAGACCTCGATATGACGATGGTCGCCGAATTCGCCAACTCTGCACCGTATTCCATCTCGAAAGCTGCTGTTAACATGGTGAATGCCAAGTATGCTACTCAATACAAGCCAGAGGGCTTCGTCTTCTTGGCACTGAGCCCAGGACTTGTAGACACTAGCACCAGGGCCCGTATGTTGTCGCGATCTTCTCTGAGTAACTCACAGCTGATAAATCCTAATCTAGCCACTGAAAAAGAACTGGAACAGTTCAAGGCGATGCTTGGAAATTTCAGAAACGTCGCCCCCGATTTCACGGGGCCAATTACGCCAGAGACCTCTGTCCGAATGCAGCTTGAGGTCATCAATCGACTCACTGTCAATGACACTGGCGCGTTCATCTCACATAAAGGAAACAAGGAGTGGTTGTAGGTTTCATTGAAACACTCATGTTCCAGCTTTATACTATAAACAAGTTACTTAATGTCTTGCAACTATAATCACTCGCCTTCCGTCATGTTAGCAGAGAAACGTCAGCATTAACAGCATGCACAGTGTCAAGAGATACAATAATGAGAGCGTATACATATGCGCGCATCTCAGCGCCTTTTAGATCCCCGAGTGTCATCCAAACTTGGTGAAATGCGCCGCTTCCTATAGGAGGTGTGAGCGTCGAGGTCATGGATGAATGCAAATCCACTCACCGGCCGAGGCGATCTTCGGGCTCCCCTGACGGCGTCCTTCCTGCAACGTCTTTTATCGTGCCTCCATAGTCGAGACCTTCAACTGCAGGCGCATTGTTATCTCTGTCTTTGTACCTGTTCTGGTTTCGTGGGCCAGTCGGCACGCCGGGCGGCAATGGTGAAGCTGGGCGGACAGGTCCTACTGGAGCTGAAATGATGGTTAATACACCGCGAACAACCGTATCAGACAATCCCACCTCCGCCATATCCTCCTCTTCCCCGTCCAACGAAGCCGCCTCTTCCGCGCAGGCCTTGAGCCATTGCACGACCTCTGAATTGTGCTGGTGGTGCCCCACGACCCATGTGCGTAGGCGCTGTGGGAGCTGGCGTAGGCACTGGTGTCTGCACGGGGACCGGCACCGGAGTCGCACTGCCCTCCATGCTGGGATACATAGGCTGCCCCATCGGCCCTTGCTCCTGCTTAGAAAAACAAACACATTCATGCGATGTTCATATCATTTGCTGTACGTATCTAGAGTAAGAAGGGTTAACCCATACCTGCATACCAAAGTCGCCGCCCATGCCCATCATCCCCGGCCCGAAGCCGTCCTGCATGCCCATCTGCACACCCTGCTCCGGCGTGCCGTTCTGCCCTACCGGACCCTGGCCGGGGACGGGGCCATCTTGCATCAACGGACCCCCCGGCTGCATCTGCATGCCCATATCGCCATTCATACCCATGCCCATCGGTCCCATGTTCATTGGTCCCATACCGGGCATTTCCATCATAGGATTCATCCCGACATTGGGTCCCATCATGCCCTGGCTGGCAGTGTTCATCATGGCGTTGGCGCCCGTCACGACCATCGTACGGAGTTCCGGAGGCAAGGCTATTAGCTGGTCTTCTGGCATAGCCGCGAAATTCTAAGGGGAACGTGAGGACTACAGATCAAATAATTCACGATATAACGTACAAGTACATTGGTCTTGAGGACATTTGCAAGTTCGCCCAAGTCGCGTCTTCTGTAGCAGTATGCTTCCCAAGAGATTTCATCAAATCCGTAGTTGAACCAGTCGCTGATATCAGACCCGGGAAGTCGCCACGGCTTTTCTGCCATTGCGCCGATGTCAACTTCAAGTATCGAATGGCCATCAAGAATGCCAGGTATATCCAGATTTATAGAAGGATGTGAAGGTGGTGCAATGACGGGAGGGAGAGTTATTGGATCCAGACCTTCATGAAACACCGGCTGTTCTGGTGCAGCAGAGACCGATTCTCGGGGCACGGAGGGCGTTTGGGGTGTGCCTCCTGAATGAGGAAGAGGTGCTTTTGAAGGCGGTACATTCCTGTCACGAGGTGTATACTCCGTGGTCAACTGCGAGTGTGTGGGAGGAGCTTTGGGAGGTGTCAATTCTCCTGCGAGAGGAAACAATTGGAATAAACGAACGTCTGTTCGGAGTGGACTGCGGACCGCCTGTAGAGCGGTTTAAAGCAGGAGGTCGAGGAGGAACATTTGGCCTGAAACAAGTTGAGGGTGAAGCGACCAATCCAACATAGAGCTCACCGGTTGTCTATAGACCGCGAAGGCTGGTCCATAATGATCTCAATGTCCTGAAAGGCTGTTAATTGCTAGAGCCCTGCAGGTTCATGCTTCACTTACATCTTCGTCGCTCGACTCTTCCTCCCCAACAGCATTATCCTCCCCAGTTTCGGACTCGTCAGCACCCAGACCAAAGGGCGGTTCTTCGTCTTCTTCTTCAGCCTTGGCTTCAAGGTCCTTGACAACGCCGTTTGAAACTGCCTTCACAACTTCGAACGATATTCTGCAACAAGGAATTCAACAACGACAAGTTTCACGCACTTTTGACGACTTACGCTTGCACCACTGATCGCACATCAGACGACGAATGATAAGTTCATGTTGCATGATATTAGGCAAACGAAATACAGCAAGTAGAGACTCTGGGAAGAGTCTCAAACGTATTTGAGCTGTTCTCACCAGAATTTGTTGCCAAATCTGCCTTTGGTGCATCTGCTTGGAAGCTGGGCTCGCCATACAGAAATGCATCGTCGTCGTCCCTATCGAGGTGCATGTTAATTATTTTCTTGCAGCCTCATGGGATGAACTAACATTGCAACGATTTTTGCAACCTTTCACAGGTCCAGTCCGCCCAAAAGTTAACCACCTCGAAGTCAAGAGAACACCAATTGAATGCGGTGACGTTGTGACAAGTCGTGACTGATGGCCACGTGACTACTGTAACAAGCGCTACAAATTATTCTGGTCTGCTCAAGACGTTAGCCATGATCTGTGTGAAGCCTGTTATTGCTTCATCAATACCGCGAACAGCTCGAGGATATGTCGTGTCCGTGAAGCCTCCTCGCGTCTACGAGGGCAAACCGACACCCCGCCGCTACGGTGTGGAGAAAACATTCTTATACAACCAATACACCCGCATGCTTGAAGCCAGCGATAATTCCCCCATAATATTCCTCCAACACACAAACTTCGCGGCTCAGCGGTTTCAGAAGCTGAGGCGGGATATTGCAGATGCAAACGCCAAATTTTCAGTCTCGCTATCCTCTCCGACACCTACCTCAGTCGAACTCGGTGCCCCAACGCTAGCCGTGATGCGGACTTCGCTTTTTGGCGTTGCATTACGAGATTTTGCGCCTTTAGACGCGGAAAAGTCATCTCAAATTGCAGAATTGGTCAAAGGCGGTCTTGCTATCTTAACACTTCCATCATTCAACCCTCCCCAACTTGATGCCATCCTCCGTGCTCTTGATCGCTCAGTCCCTCCCAAGAAACCAGGGGTAGAGCAGCCAAAACCGATAAAGCCTCAAGATGATCCGAGTTTTATCCCTGGAAGAAAGACGCAGAGGGTGAAACCCATATTGACCCCAGAACTGGTCGTAATGGGTGCTCTCATTGAGAGGCGGGTGTTTGGAATGGAGGATGTACGGGACGTATCGAAACTACCAACCTTGGACACTCTGCGGGCGCAAATCGTTGGGTTGCTGAGCTCACCAGCTGTACAGTTGGCTGCAATCCTCAGCGAGGCAAGTGGAGGGAAGTTGGCGAGGACACTGGAGGGGTTGAAGAAGGGTTTGGAAGAAAGCCAGGGTGCAGAAGCTTCATCATAGCATCTACTCCACCATTGCACCTTCGTTTGTCGACTGACTTCACATAGTTCACGCACCACGCACTTTCATAGAAGAATGGTTAATATCAGTCTTTGAGGCAAAATTCCCATGTCCGATCCTCCCCTCCTTCACCTGTTGTACCTCGACCATGAGCTCTCTCGCCCTTTGTCATGCGGTGTTCATATCCCTTCCATGTATTCCTGTGAAATACAAACGACCGCAGAAGCTTATAGTTTGGGTTCGGTAGAGTCCCTAATGATGTAGGTTTTGGAGGTGTCTTTGCCAGTCTTGGCACGTCCCTAGGTGTGCATAAGCAGCAGCCAATTAATTATATGAAAGGTGCGCTTGCCAGTTGGTGTATGGCGGAACGTTGCGCAGGGTGATGAGCACTGTTCCCCTTGCGCCCTGCGTTGCAGAAGGCGACGAGGCATCCATATAGTCATCTGCCGCATCGTCGTTCACGTCGTCGTCGTCGTCGTCGTCTGCAGGCCTGTTTCGTTTTCGTGGCAGGTTAGGCGTTGGAATGGAGCCTTCTGCAAGGCAGCCAACAACAGAACGAAGAAACCCCAGGATAAGCATCTGATTAGATAGTATATTTCTGTCTTGGTCTGTTATACCCTTTCCTACACAATGTCTCCTCAACCTTTCAGATATGACTTGAATCGCAATCAACATACCTGCATGAGGAAAGTTGAAAACGACGCGATTAAACCGCTTCCCTTTCAAAGCATGGATTTTCTCGAGTCTAGTTCCATCTACGCCAAAAAAAACCTCCACGCCGCGCTCCCGGAGAACATCCACTTTACTTCTCGCATCTGGGTATTTATCATAGCATTCCTCCTCGGAATCATAAGAAGTAGCTGTGATGTTCGATGGCGGGAGATGTTCCAGCGAAGAAGGAGGATCGATAACGAGCGCATGTGCAAACGAGAAATTACCCTCGCCGATCAAGAGTATTTTATCGGTAGGCGTGAACGGGATAGTGGGTCGGAGAGCTGGAGCTTTCCCCTTGCCTTTATGCTTCGTCTTGAGTTCTGCAGCTTCAGCAGCATGTGCGGCCTTTTCTTTGTTCTTGAGCCGAGTCTGCTGCGATTGCAGCGTCACTTTCAGGGATGTTTTCTTCTTGTGTCCCATGATATCTAGTGAAGGTAGAGACTGATTCTTGTCGCTGTCATTTTAAATGTAATGCACATACTTTGAATCAACTTTGTGGAATGTCGTCGCCCCAACAAGGTTCCTCCCTAACGGTTGTTTGGATCCCAAGCTTTTGCCAAACAACCACTCCCCTTTTGGGACCAGCTGACACGTACTGAAGTTATTAATTGGTTCTTGTCAACGTCACGCATACAACTGTTCATACTTATTCTCCTCTACGAGCATCACACCACTCTTTCGTCTTTGTTTACACTTGAACCAATGGTACTTGTGTTTAAAATACGATGCTTGTATTGATCCTGACGACATACGCTCATCTAGCCCACCGAGTTTGACCTACGAAGGAAGAATGCTCAATTCGCCAATGCAGTCCGGTCGGGCAAGAAAGCAGTGAAGCCTTCACGCCAGGATAAGATGGCAAAAAGAAGTCCTCTCAGCCTCTGGGCTCTGGGCGTCGTCCTGTTTGTTGTTATAGGTGGCGGTGAGTACAACTTGTCCAATCAAGCTCTGACGGAGAATCTGATAATGCTGCAGTGTTATTCGAGCTCGCCAGATTGGTATTCCTGTAACGCGGAAACTCTCAGATGAGGGAAATATATACACACTACCCCATGTTATCCGCAGCTAGGATTTCAAAAGGCATACGTTACAAATATTGTATTCATCATCATCAGCTTTCGGATTCCAGCACCATTCGTCTCCATCTACACCGAATACTCAACTATCCTCTGCTTCCACATCCACACCAGAATTACTAACGCTTGCACTGATACTCATACTTTGGCTGCGCGCGCTATTGGCGCCACTAGCTGCTACAGCCTTAGAGGGGCCAGCTTCAGGAGTGACTTCGACGCCCTCCATAGCGTCGCCTTCGAGTTCCTTCTCATCGATTTTCACTTCGTCGCCGGCCCAGATACGCATAGTGGGTTGCCATACCATCACCACGTTATCTTCGGAAGTGGTAGATGCAGTCCAGTTCTCGGATTCTCCTGGTGCCCAGCAGAAATCTGTGGGCCGTGCGGTGTGGCCTGGGACCGAGTATCAACAATATGAGTAGGGATTCGTTAAGTGTGACACACCTCCATGAATGAACATAAGCTCCGGAGGGCCATCTTCCTGGTCATCTGGTGACTGCTCCACGCCAATCAGGGAAAGATCCCAGATATTGATTCTTCGATCTCCTGAAGCAGATGCAAAGACTGTAGGGGAGTGGGGAGACCATGCGAGATGGAGCACTTCGTCCGTGTGTGACTCAAAAGTGTGCAACTTTTTAGTAGGCGATCTGATATCGTGCAGCGCAACAGTCTAGATAACGCCGCAAGTAAACTCTACACAGATGAATCATTGGGGTGTATACGTACCTTGTCTGCACTGCCGGTGATGATGAGATGTTCATTTGCTGGGCTGAACGCGCATGATAAAATTTCCCTGTCATGTGCTTGGATTTTCGTTGAAGCTTCGGTTGGAGCTCGGGTGTCCCAGCTGAGGAAGCAATGAGACTGGTTGGATAAAAATGAACCAGAATCACTCACATCAAAAGCATCTTATCATCTCCAACGCTAGCTAATACGTTTTCTTTGGTCGCATGCCAATCTACATCCTTTTCAACAAACTGGTCAGTAGCTTGTTGACAAACGTGAAGGATGGCACGAACCCCGACAACAGAGTTGTGCCCCTTGAAAATAGTTGTCGGCTCGATGGTGCCATTGCCCTTGGTGTACGAGTTAATATCCCTGAAGAACATCAGCAAAAACTCTACGCTCAAATATATTCCTCTCACCAGTGGCACACCGTCATATCTTCCGAAGCACCAAGGATATGTCCGCCCTTCACCGGGTTCCAGGATAAGCCAAATCTGCTTGCAATAAGCCCTGAATCCATCCTAGTCAATCAAACCACCCACCCTTCCTTCGTTTGCCCAACTAATCTGATATCAGGTTTACACACCCCGCCTCTCGGAGGTTCAGACGAATGCTTCGTTCGATCAAAGATGAGCACCTGGCCCGAGATGGCCTTCGTCGCAAGTAAATCCGGGTTTTGAGGCATATACCGCGCGCGGTTGACCTCGCCATCGTGGTTGAATTTCTGGATGATTTGGATGCGGGGTTGGGGAGGGATGGTGTGTCCTCCGAGTTCGCCGCGCTGCTCATCGTAGTTGTCACGGTCGAGTTTTTCGTCGCGTTTGGGTATTTGGACGGTTGCGATTTGGAGGTAGTCTTGTGCTTGGCCGGAGGTATGGGTTCCGAGGAGGAGGCGGTGGGTTGTGTAGGGCTTGTTGGCCGGTCTTTTTTGCTAGATTAGATGGAGATTGGGATATGGGGATATGGAACTCTTACGTGTCTTTGTCGGGGAACCATTGACACGTTAGACTTGGCCAATCGAGTGCGTGCGTGATGACTAGGTCATATAGATACGGTGCATTCTTTTTCCTGTAGAGGTTCAGCGATTTGGAAAGCTTTTCACTAAGGAAGAGTAGGATTATCTACCATGTTTTGTACTCCTGGAAAATGACCGTCCTGCTAAATTGGAGAAGGAATTGAGGAGGCAGATTGTTAACTGACCTCATTTATCAACTTGTTCTCCTCCTCAGCAGCGAGATCATCTTCCATATCCTCATCTTGTACGGTGGGCTTCATCTCAGATAATAGGTCGTATAGAACAGATGAGCAATGAGGTGTATAGCAGGTCTGCGTCAATCGAGAACGCGATGGAAACAAAGAGGAAGATAACAAGGCGCGTCGCGTCCGCGCCTACGGATTGTGTATCCCAAACAATCACACATTTTAAGCGCTATCCGGCGCTACGTATACGCATACCATGCAGTCATTCAAATTCATTGATATAAAGCCTCAGATAAAACGCGTTTCAGGAACAAACTGGGGCAGCTCGGATGATATTGCTCATATGCTTAAGTTACCTCTGCACCAAAAGTGAGATTGCAGACGGCAGTGGCGATCTATAATCTATAGTTGACAGTCGAAAGCAGAACTAAAGGCCACACTATAGATCTTTCTCCCATTTGGCAACGAGCTTCTCCAGGTCGAACCGTGGGTCTTCTGGGTTTGTGATGACTATGGCGTAAAGTTAGTACATACATAGGAAACGCGCATGAGGAAGAATGGGAGTGTGAAAAAGCGGAACGCATCCCATGAGCGCCAGAACAAAAGCAAAATTTGATTTAAGGAAGATCACGGGTGAAGACTCACCACCGTCCGAACCCTTTGCACTCTCCTGCTTGTGTTTCCATGCATCCTTTGCCTGTGCTATCAACTGAGTACGTTGATGTATTGCGTGGTGTTCCTTGTCTTGGTCATGGGCTTTTTGGAGTGACCGACGGTGGTAGATGCCGTAGAAAACACCTGAAAGGAGAGCGGTATAGCGAGCAACCTAGTTCATGGCAGCATGCATGCAGCTTGAGTTTAATAGACTGTGAATACGAAGAACGGCGCACGTTAAGTGTGGAGGACATGATTCGACCTTTTTTGACCTTCAATAAGAAAGTAATTTATTAAAGAAAGGCTGGGTGCACTTTAGAGAACAAACCAAGTAGACTGAAAGCTCAGAAGACTTACCTGGAGTTATGCTTATAGAAAAGCTGCTTTGCGAGTTTACAAAGTAGCGGAGCAAGTCGGCGTTTGCCGCTGACGTAATCCATTGCATTGGTGAGACGCTGTTCCCGTCGGTGCACTACAGTCACATCGATATCCCGAACTTATGATGCACGTCGCACTCTTGCAAGGCAGTTGTTTTTGCCAGGCCGTTTCATATACCGTCTCTGCTCGTCCAGTTTTGAGCGCGTATTGTCATTGTACGAGCTGCCAGAGATTGACTTGTGAGGTGGGACCACGTCGGTTTGGAGGAAGAGTAATAATCCTCGAATCACAGCGTGTCCATTCGTTCATACTATACATTTCGACGCTGCTGCATTTACATGGACCCATCAAGAACCCCACGAGTCTCAATTAGATTCCTACGACAATTTCCTCAAGCCATACAAGCGACGGTACAGGTGCAAATCCTGCGGTGTTGGGGTTGCGTCCGTCAACTCCCAGACCAGCCGCGTTAGTATATGGGGTGCAACTTTGAATAGGAATGAGGAGGGGAAGATAGTCGGCTGGGACATTGCCAAGCCGACTGCTCACCAGTTCTATGGAACACGGATGCTGGATGTTAATGATGATTTGAGTAAATGGGAAGGATATGAATTGAAATCAGAAAAACTGGATTAGATACCAATGTTAATGACGAGCTCGTTATTCGAAATGACACGGAGCAAGGCGCCGTCCCGAATAACTCAGGCTGAGCAACTGACCAATATGCACTGCTTGACCTTTCTCTCCTACCATCATCAGTTACCCACCGCGCCAACGCTTGCGACAAACAGCGCAACATTTAGCAAGCTTTTCGGGGATAAAACATGGACGAGGATGTGGACATGGATGCTCCTCAGATTTCAACACTCAGGGAAGAGACCACTCCTCCGCCCTCTCGTTCCAAATTCCGAGTAAAGTTGCTGGTAACCGAGAAGAAGGGCAAGGGAAAATCGTCTTCACCTAGTGTTACCGCTACCAACAAAAAGGCCGTTCCATTGCCACCCCCGCCTCTACCACCTCCGCCTGCCCCGACAACACGGGCACACAGCGATGATGACGTTGAAGAGGAGGACGAGGAGGACCAACTCATTGATGACGAAGACGAAATACAACAGTCCGCTTCTGCCCCTGCCGTTAGTGCGTCAACCAGTGGTACCAAGCGGAAGGCACCAGCGAGGAAGCCAAGGCCACGAAAGAGTGAAAAGCAGGACAAGGATCTCGACAAAAAGCCAATTGGTCAGTCCCATCTTCCTACTCTACCGAATGCTATGAAACAGTATGAACAGAAACAGGCGAGCAAGCCGATGCCCACGATGTCAGTACACCAGCAGTTCCCGATAAACCGCCTCCGAAGAAAAGAGCGGCACCCCGCAGGCCCGCTGCTGCTCAGCGGTCCAGAGCCAAGGCTCCCCCCAAGTACGTGTACCAGAGTTAAGAATATTTCAACGAATCAATATGTTTCAGGGTGGTAAAGAGCTTAGCAGTGCCTTCGTTGGATGAAGGAGCACTCAGTGAATGTAAGTACTAAATAATGCTTCCCATAGATTCGAAATAACCCGCTCTGCATTAGCCTACGCTGGCACTGCACCATCATCACCACTTCCCCTCACTAGCACTCGTGAGGGGGGCTCGGAGCATGAGGAAGTCGAAATTGCTCCTCCAGCTGAGGGTATAACAGAAATTGCACCCCTCCCTGTCTACCCTTTACCATCCAAGCCATTCCCTGTGCAACCACCCCCCAAAATTGGAGCAGGCTTCGCACCCATGTTGCCCCTTGACCGAAGCGGAAACAAAATACGTCGTTGGAGAACTGCAAACCGTGAAATACGTGGCATCGCAGGCGGGCGATGGTTCGCGAGATCATGGGTTGGCGACAAAGAGTCTGAATTTGCCAACGCAACAGCTGCAGCTGCAGCTTCGCATAAAAACGGTGACGCAGACAAGATTGTGACACCAAAAGGCGGTGGTTCAATATCTGCGCCGCTGCTCGGAAAAGCATCCAGCAAATCTAAGGCGGCCCGTGCCATGTCGGGCATATCGGCTGCGCCTTCACGAGCAGGATCTATTAATGCTGATCATCACCCTGTGAAAGCGCCTTCGAAGATGCGTAATATTGTTGCTGGGCCGGCGTCTGAAGAGGGTAATGATGCTCTCGTACAGAACGCGCCGGAGCAGGTGGAGCCATAGGAGGTTTTATTCGTGTAATTATGTTTCGATTATGTTTCTTACTTTTTGCATTAATGTTATACCATACCATACCCCTTGTCCATGCCTTTCCTTTTGTTAATATGATTCGTTCTGCGCAATCTGCATATGTTGTGTGACGGGCTACCTTCATGTGACAAAGCTGTGACCATGACTTAATTTGGTACCACTGCTAATACGTAGCTTGTAACGTTCATACCGTACCTCGCTGAGCGCGCTGTCTACTTGAGTTCGCAGCCTGTGGTGCTTCGCAGGAGGCCATTTCTAGGGTCAGGACATACAACGATATACCAGCCGCGTCGCAACCGATCATGTCCAGCAAAAGCCCTGCTGTCGCGCAGACTAGCACTGGTGGAACCCCAGGCACGAATGCGGCTGCGGTACTAGACCACTCGAAATCGAGTATCAGAGAGAAATGTACGCATTAATGCAGGTTCCAATGGTCTTCCTTCGAACGACTGACTTGGGTCATTACAGTGCATCAAACATACGCTTCTGATCCAAAATACAAGAAGTACACACAACAAGTGGAGAAATGTCTCAACGCATTCGATAATGTACACGAGTGGGCGGACTGCATCGCGTTTCTGAAGCAGTTGTTGAAGGTACTTTCTTCCACCTGAGTTGGGAGCATTAATTCAGCGCGGTTGCGCATTCACAGACGTTTCAATCCTACATGCAATTCAAGGAGATCCCGTACAAGCTTATTGTTGCCAAACGGTTAGCTCAGTGCTTGAATCCTGCTCTACCGACTGGCGTGCATCAACGTGCTCTTGATGTTTATACGCACATACTTTCTGTGCTTGGAGTGAGTGTGATCTGGTCGCTATGTAGTAACCTCTAACGTGGGTGATGCCAGACCGAGGGTCTAAAACGGGACCTGCCATTATGGTCGTCCGGCCTATTCCCGTTCTTCGAGTATGCTGCTACATCAGTCAAGGTATGACTTAATCCGTGTTTAGCTTCATCTAGTACTGATCGAGACAGCCGATACTACTGGCCATATATGACACACATTACTTGCCTTTACAAGCTGATCTGCGCCCTGTGATGAAGTCATTCATCCTTGCGCTACTTCCGGGTCTTGAAGAGGAGACTGGCGAGTTCTTCGAAAAGGTGTGTTGCTTTCACATGTCGCTGATTGGTGCGGTTGATGCAACTGGTATAGGTGCTAAGCCTACTCGATCGGCTGTCCGGGACTGTCTCTCCCGTATTCTTCATCCAGAACATATGGCTCATCATGATAACAATGTCCTCTGCACGTGGAACCGCTCTGAACTTCCTCTCTCGCCGACTACCGCGATTGCACGCGGACGAAGGTAAGGTTTATTTTAAGTAGAATCTTCCACTGCTTAGTATTCTTTAGATATCACTCAGATAGTAGGTAGAGATATAGGGCTTATGATCCGTGCATTCGCAGCTGCGCTCGAGGACGACAATTTGTTAGTTCGAAGAGGCGCTCTTGATATTCTGTTGCAGTCGGTGCGGATCGATAGTGCCGCTATCAAACGAGCACATTCAGAAGACACTGTCATTCTTATGAGAGCTGCGACTGGTGTAGTCCTCCGTCGGGATCTATCGCTCAATCGCCGGCTTTATACCTGGCTGCTGGGACCGGACGAGAAGAGCGAGAACCAAACCGTGTTTCTGCGACAGCATGCTCTACAGCTATTGAATACCACGCTCAAGGTAGGTTGTAATTCAGAATGTCTCGAGACTTTAACAATTGTCATTAGGATGAAATGTTTGCGCCTTCAGGGGAGTACTCCGAATCAAGACCGTTCAAGATTTTTATCTCGCTGTTGGACAAGTGGGAGATAGGATCAGCCTTGACTGATGTTCTTGTACTGGACGCTCTTAAAGCAATCCGATTTTTGATGCAGCGGGATGCGGAGGAACGGAATGAGGATGTACGTTCTATTTCTTGCTTGGAAAGGTCTAACACCTTATGTATCTTTTTCCAGATTTCTATGACTGCCAGTACGCTGTACGAGGCTGTCGAGCCCAGTATTCTTTGGAAACAGCTATTGGCAGCGATGATGAAAGATTTGACCGAAGACAATAAAACTGGGGTGGGCTTCGCTGCAACTTGGGTATCGGGTAGCTGAAGCTCACACAATCTCTAGGCAATTGACTTGACCTTATTCCTACTCCGCTCACTCCCTATGCAAGATGACGAAGTTCGCAGCATTCACCTACCAGTCATTTTTGCCGCCATAACGGACAAGCTACAGGTGCAATCGCTATGTCTAGGACATGATGCAGAACTGACCCACGATACAGCGTGAAATCAACAACGACCCGTCCAAGGCTTCCCCTTCTATTCGAGAATGTTTAGCTCTTCAAGAGGAAATCTTCCAACATATACCTCTGGAATCTCTCAGTCAGCGGCCTGGGCTAAATGCGGCACTTCAGACATCAGCCTCGTCTCTTAGTTCACTCGCATTCGCCCATGCATTTTACGGACTCGAATTCACCGAATCGAGACCGAGCAGTGTGCTTAATCCTTTAGCGGCTGTTTTAGAGCACATGTTCTGCATAAGTCAAGCGTTGGCACGATTGCTCTCGACTCAGCAAGGGGGTTCAATAGAACTTCGAGCAGCATTCTCACAGGTGTTGCGAGTCTTGTCGAGTGTTGTGCGTGCGGCGGAGAGAAGTTGTGATACGACTCTCAGTTTGTCATGGAAACCTTCTGAGTGGCTATACTCTATGCTCGATTGTCTTGACCTGGAGGTGTGTCATTAATACGTTCTGGCTGTGATCGAGAACTTATCTATCTACTTCAGGCCGTCAGTTTCACCCTGGTAGACCAGGTAGTGTCTTTGATATTATCTTTGGATGGTGCGCAGAAGCTCAGCCCAAAGCTGTCGATGGATAAAAGACCAGTCGTTAGTCGCATGGTCAAGAAGGTTCGTACGTTTAACTACATTTGGAGCCAATCCAATAAAGACTGGTTTCGCAGCTTTTCAGATACCTCCACGCAGACCTGGCTACTTGTCATGTGCGAGCTGTCAACCTCATATGGTCCATAGAATCAGTGTCGCGGCCCCATGAAGTTGAATCGATAATAGCGCAGAGCATGTGTTCTCCCGAGTCGAGAAACGTTTTCGAGGCGCACGAGGCTTTTGGAGTACTTTGGCGACTGTCAGGTGGGTGGACATGAGTTATGTCATTATTATGCTGACTGAATTTCGATAGAGGACGACTCACTTCCGGGAGTGCGCCTGAAGGTGCCGTTGATGATAGTCTTGGAGACCTTGAAACATGATGATCCAAGCCTGCGACGCGTAGGAGAAACGTGGATGCGATGCAATTTGAGGTCGTATATCAGGTAACACTACTTTTTGAACACTTGGCTGAGTGAAAGGCTTACACTGGTCACAAAGGGTCTTGGAACCTGTCCTCCGCGACCTTTTGGACCCTTCTATCCGTCGAATACCCAGAGCTAGCAGAGTGAGCGGCAAAGAAATCAGGGGCTATGTTTACGAGAGGCCGTTTGACCAGCGCTATGTCGCTCACCTTCTCGATATTTTACTCTCGATCGTCCAATTCGGTGGTCAAGGATTTTCCAAGTCTGCCCGCGGTACTTTCATTAGGCGTTCACAAGACCATGTGCTGCTCCAGAGGCTTAGCTTAGGTAAAGGTTTTGATGCAATTTTGCGTTGTAGTTTTTAACAATCTACCACCAGCCGGGATAGACGCCGAGACAAGCTACCTCGATGCGCTCATCGAGGTATTGTCAAGGTGAGTTACACCCCCTAACCTTTCATCGCGCTTCATTCTCGTACAGGTTCCTCCAGTCCGAACCCAAAGATCAAGATGCTCTAGTTATGCAGCCACTGAACACAGCCATACAATCTTCCGCCATCGACCTTCTCCAAACTATTGTCGCTCGTGGAGAAATTGAGATGCTCGCCGTTGAAATTCTCGAACCAGCTGTCATTGGCAAACTTTTCCTCTGCGTCCATTTACATCGGTTGGACTTGCAAAATAAGTTGCTGCGGTTCCTCCACTCCATCATATCTGCCTCGACGTCTCACGCCTACAACGGAAACCCGCCTTCTGAGGATCGAAGTGCAGAAGGCTCGCAGGACGGGAAAAGGGGCTACACTGTCAACTCCCTACTAACACAAACTATCATAGATGGTATTGCGATCCCGCAAAATCGTCCTGTGATGCAACACTGGTTAGATTTTGTGCTCATGGCAGTTCCCCAGTTCCAACCTGCCCTCCAGAGCGTTATTTCCCCTATTGCTGATTGTCTTTGCCGACAACTACGCTTGCAACTCTCCGATGTACTAAAGGCGAACCAGCCAATGGCCAACGAGAAATATCCTCGGGTTGCGACTGACGCTGAATTTATCATGCTTCTCAATGCACTTGAGCGGTTGCTTGTCCTTGGATTGACTCACAAGTCAGACGCCAATTCACAAGAGGACGATACTCCAGTTCAGGAAAAACCTGGGCCTGAATCGGGAGGTATCCTAGGATATGTCTCAAATGTGTTCACTACGGACAACGCATCTCTTACTGTCGAAGATCAGCTGACGGCGAGTAATTTGATCATGTCCGATGTCTAATCTACCATGGCTGACAGCCATACAGTCACTCTCACCTGGGTATAAATCCCTACATGATGGTATCCGTGTGTTGCTTGCAATATGGGTCAACATGGTGTGGCATGACACCACCGGCCTGCGGCCAGAAGCGGATTCGCTTTCTATGATTTATAATCGGACGCATGCTCGTTGTCGAAGAGTCCTGGAACACCTGTTCCGCGCTCACCCAACGGAAGTCTTGGAGTCTGTCATTGAATGCTGGGATCATGATGCATTGCTACGCTCCAAGGGCTCTGATCAGCCTGCGACAGGTGTCTTCGGCCTGGTCGATGTCTTGATCGCTAACGCGCAAAGTGCGGTGCATATGATCTGCGACAGTATATCAGTACGTATCTCCAACACCTCGGAGCGTAGTAGGAGACCCGCAAATGCGAATCTGTGAGCTATGAACCCTGCTGACGAGTGACTTACCAAACGTATCACTTGACAGATCGGATGTCGTCCTATTCAATTTCTTGGAGCAATATTTCCAACGGCTTGAAGGGCCCCTTGCACTTCAAGTATGGGGTCGATTTATGCAGCTCGCGAAGGACCTGGCGTCAAGTCGAGATTTCAAGGTCCAAGTTTTCTTAGCATTGAAGTATGTATTTCTCGAAATTATACTTCGTTGCTCACAGTTTATCAGGTGCTTATGCGTGTTAGGAGACAAAGTTACTCAGACCACCGCCATGGACGACAAGCGCATCAAGAAAGATCTCCAGGTCTGGTACTTTAAAATCTTATCATACGAGTCAATGGCTGATCGCTTCTGTTCGTAGGAGACATTTGGAAAACTCCTTGAAGCATGCGTTTCTTTTGTGGGTAGATCGACGGATTCACCAAATTGGATCAGACGTACCACAAAGGAGTCGATGGTCACGAACGGCCGATCCTCCCCTGCTCTTCGTGGTGGTGGTTAGTCATTCACACTTGTTCCTGCTTTCTCTAGTATCTGATAAGTCTTCAGTCTCAGATTTGAAGCTAGATGAGAAACCCGATTCCAGTACTGTAACGCTTTCAGACAATGTCAAACCGACTTGGGGAGCAGAGTTGCCCACCCAGGTAAGTTGCCTGTTGACTTCGGGTGATTTTGTCAGTTGAAATCATCTTGTCAGATCACTACTTTCATAGCATCGACAGCTGTTCCGGACTTGCGCAGGTTTTTGATGGATAACGACAAGGTAGCGAATGCTTGCAGTAACATTGTGTATTACATTGTGAGCCCAAACATCAAGATAAAGGCCAGGTGAGTTTTGTCCTTGACGATGAATGTCAAACACTCTCAACTCAATGACAGGCCTCTTGATGCTGATGTGGTTGTGGTCGACATCTTTCGGGAGATGATTAAAATCCCCCCTGCGATAAAGGTTTGGCGAAGCGCAGTGATCGATGTCCTATACGATAATCGCATCTTCAACTCGAACTCCAGCGTTGCTACCAAGTGGAAACCCGTCATCAAGGCAGTATTTGATGCCGATAAAACTTCCTTCCCCGACCTTCTTAGTAAATGCGCATCATACGATCCATCTGGCGCTACTGACCATTTGGTTTAGGTCGCGTCGCCACCTCACCCTCGGCCAATATTTTCACGAACAGAGAGCACGAGATGCTTCTGCGGTCGCTTAACTTGCGACGACTTGCATTAGTCCTCTTCACAGGGGAGAAAAATCACTTCTTAACCCAGCTTCCAGCTATACAGGAGAAATTGGTGGATATCCTGCGCAACGTTCCATCTCCGATTGTTCAGTGTGAAGTCTACCTTTGCATACGAGTGTTGTTGTGCCGCCTAGCTGCGCATAGCATGACGAGCTTTTGGCCCGTGATCCTCACTGAACTAGTAAGATTAACATGCTATATATACTATTCAAAACTTGACATGATTTCTAGTACCGAATATTTGAGCAAATAATTGATTCGATACCTTCAGATGGCTCAGAAGATCTACAACTCATCCTTTCAGCCAGCAAATGCCTTGATTTATTGCTTACCCTTCAGACAGAAGAGTTCCAGATGTACTTTCTCCCTCCTCTCCGTGTAAGTATGGCTATTGACAAATCACTTAGACATCAGTGGATATTCATTACCGATACTGTGGATGCCGTGTTTCGATCTGATGATTGGTCCCCAGAAGCAATGTTTGACCAGCTCGCCGAAGTAGTTGGCAGTTTGCCTATTCCCGAGCCTCGAGTATGCTATCTTCTCCTGATCATCTGAACGTTGCTCATTTAAATCTCGCTAGGATCCCAGCATAGGGCTACCACTGCCAACATCAACCTCCCTTACTTTCCCTGCCCATTCTAATCGTGCTCTACGGAAGCCCATGCTAAAGTCCATCCGTCAGATTGACTCGATTAGGGACCTTTTCCCATTCTTCTCTCATGTGAGTATCTCGTCGTACGAGAGTGTGTATGCAAGTAGTGGGAACATCGACTGGGAGGCGGTTGAGCAGGGAGTTTTAGACGATATGTTTGATAGCCGGTGAGAGGATGAACCGTTTTTGGTTGTCTCTAGGATGTACATGGATTCTGTTCGCTGTTCTATACGCAAAACACATAGGTATATATAGATGCGAATGATTCCTAATGAAAGCAGTGAACAAAAATCAGCAAATGTCTCGTCAGAAATCTCCCCAATTCCGTCGGAATTTATACTGGACACGTTCCTATGAGTTAGCAGCTGTACGTGTAGCTTCTGAGGAGATTCAGAGCGTACCTTGTATGGGAGGTTCTTCCTGTAATGCCGAAACTGGTCAGAACGTACGAATCGACGTTAAGCGTGAAACTAACCTCGTTTTCTCTACCGGTGTGTTAGGTTGCTTGTAGCCTTGTTCTCCGGTCCCCCATTCTGACTGACTGTCGCTCTCCTTGCCAATATCTTTGTACTTGACTACCGGATCTTGTTTCTCTGGTGGGACACCGCGGGTAATTTTGGGCTTCGGCGCGCTCTCAGCAGGGGGTGCGGGGTGCTCGTCATGTGCCGCAATAGCTTCCTCAACTGTGATCCCTTGGAATTTTGCCTCTCGCTCTACTTCTTCGCGTTCAATGGCTTCATGCTGTGCAAAGTGTTCGTGGTCTTCGGGGTGAACATATGATGCGTCGGTTTGTGTCTCAGGCGTCGAGTGATATTGTTCTGGAGCATTCTTTGAGCTACAAATCACGACAGCATGCACTGTGCGTCAAACAAACCTTCGTGATGTAAGAAAAACTCTTGTTGCGAGCTCAGCAATCATTATGACGTGGGAGGTTAGTTGATGCTCACCGCTTTCAACGTCGTAATGGTGTCCCTCTGCGCCTATATCGTCAAAACTGGGAAGGCCAGTTGTCCCAACAGCGGCAAACTCCTCCGGCGTGACCTTGCCGTCCTCGTCTTTGTCTAAGAGTTTGAGTACAGTGTCCGCGACGTGGTCGGCCTTCTTCTGATGCTCAATGTCGTCCTATGATGACGTTAACACGCAACAAGTGAAGGAGGTTCAGCTACCAGACCTTCGACTTTTTCTGTGAGTACACATGATGGACACCGTATATAGCTTCAATTTCTTCCCGGTCCCATACACCATCTCTAAAGCAAAAAATACGCGTTAATAATCTTCCGCCTGGGCTGTGTTTCATTACCTGTTCAGATCATGAAGCTGGAAGAAACTCTCCAGGTCGAAGGAATCACTGTATCAGCATATCAGAACAGAACATTGTGATATCTTTCGGTTGCGCACATATGGTGTTCTGTAGCCATCTATTAACAACGGAGAATTAGCACCGGTCAGAATCAATGTGCGGGCCTCCCATACGTGTCGAATGGCGTAACCTGCATCAGCAAGTTTTGCGCTCTCTTCTGAGTCTTCATGGCCACCGTGTGCTGAGACGAGCAACACGAAGAGAATATGAACGGAGAGTGCGGTCAAGACCTTCATGGTAGGGCGGAACTTGTGTCACAGGTGACACAACTTGAAGTTCTCCAACTTGTTGTAGGAGACAAGGACCCCGCAGCCACCTCATATATGTAAGACCCCATAAACTCTGTTACAAAAACAACAAATGTGCAGTAGTTACAAATGAAAAAGCCTCTATATACAAATTGCCCTCTTCCATGGGTAGGTCATCCCGTCTTCGTCTTCAGATCCCTCCACAAAGTGGTAAACAAAACAGCTCCAATACCGACCATAGCAATCTCCAATCCCACAAAGTTCAACATCCCAACTGAAACACCCGAACCACCCCAGATTGCGCCCGTAACACGACCAGTGTAATTACTGTATTGAATTGCCATCGAAGTGCGCCCGTTCCACTCGGGTGGGAGCTGCTTGCTGAGTAGACTAAGGGTCACAGTGGTCGCAAGGTTAAAACCGAGCGCCACGGTCCACCAACATGCAAATAGCGAGCCGTAATTGACTGTGCCGGTGCGAAGGATGGAGACAAATATGAGAAGGCCTGCAAGGCCGAGAATCGTACCGACAGCGAGGAGCTTGCGATCTTGTATACGACGCGCAGCTAAGAGGTTGGCGAGAAGGAAGGGGAAACATGTTATTCCGCCGAGAGCGATGAAATTTCCTGCGGCGAATGGAGACCAGTGAAGGTTTCCAGCGGCAGCACCAAATACAGGCAAGTTGGCTTCCCAAGAACCTAGGATGAAAAAACAGAGCATCGCGAACCAGCACATGGTTGCAATGACACCCCACTGAGACCGCGTTATCAGCGAGAGCTGTGCTCTGAACGATTCGTCGACGGGTGAGGGAGGGCGGGTGGTAGGCGCTGATGAATAATTGGGAGAAGCCTCGGCGTCTCGACCTTTCGCTTCTACGACCACCATCGGGATATCATTTGAATCGCTCGCTGACTGCAATTCCATCATGGTTGGTGGTTGAGGGATGTCCTCAAAGTATTTCGTCACCAAAACCCAGAAGACGACGTAAATACCAGCCATGATCCATCCCGGGCTTGTATAACCGTTGAAAACTGAGTTTGAGAACCCGATGTTGTACAACACCCCACCAAGGAATGGACCAAGGCTCATGCCCATCCCTTGACAAATGACTAACCAGCTGGCAAGTGTCGTCCTTCGTCTGATGCCAACAATTCGAGGGTCTGTGCAGTACCGTTTGCAGTACATGAACATGGAGAATGCAACACCATTGAGGCAACGGCCGATCAGAATCAAATACAAGAAGTTGGCCCGGTAAGCAAGAGCGTAGGCGACGTGGCCTAGGATGGCGAAGAAGCAACTGACATGAAGGGGCATTTTGTACACCCCTAAGGACAAGATGAAAGAATGAATGTTAAAATGGCGTCCAACGAGAGGAAGACATGATCTAAACATACCTTTATCATACTTTGTCAATGGAATCAAAGAAAGCCCAGCAAAGGCCGTCGGTATACCGATGATAATACCAGAGAAAGTGGCATTTCCTCCCAAGTACTCCGCATATTTGTTTGACGATGAAACGACAATGAAAAATGATACCTACGAGGGTCAAAACAGACAATGTGAGTGACAGCTAGCCATCCTAGACAGCGATGTCCTACCTGAAGAAGGAGATTCATCGAGATCATGATGACGAGGGACGCCATGTTCGGAAGCTTGAATTCCTCTTCATCGTCGCTCGTCTGGCTCTCATGGCGAGACGAGAATAGGTGAATTTTGTTTAGTAGCTGTTTGAAGACTGCCATCTGCACGAACACGCCAGACGTCGAGGTCACGAACTTAATGCCGCACCTATTAAAGGCGAAAACCACACGATGGGTCCCTGCAAGATCATAGCTAATATTAATGTGATTGCGAATCAATGAGAAAGGCGTCAGTGTGGAAAACCGGAGCACCGTTGCTCGTGACACGAACCATAAAAGGTAGTCACGACCTATGAACTCCGTGCACGTCGGCTTTCCATACTGAGGGCCATGCGCGCGCAGTCTTCGCTGACCACCGTCTACCCTGGTGAGAGAGGTCAGCGACACCGACTGCCCATAGAATGAGCAATGAAGCTCCTCCTCAGAGGACGTTTGTTGCATATGTGAGATTCTCAACTGGACCCAGTTCATGAGCTGCGCATGCCGTCACCACTGACTCACCAGTGGCTTCATATATAATAAGGAAACCTTGTTCATGGTACGAAACTGCTTAGCAAGTACGCCGTAAGTATGTACATGGGGTTGCGTTCTATTCGAAGGCTCATAGAGCCCAAGTGCAAAGACAGAAAATGCACTTCCACTTGGACAGCTTATCCATTCTTCGTCTTCAGCTCCTTCCACAACGTCGTAAACATAATAGCTCCAATACCAACCATAGCAATCTCCAATCCTACGTAGTTCAGCATCCCAACTGAAACGCCCGAACCACCCCAAATTGCACCGGTCACGCGACCAGTGTAATTACTACATTGAATCATGACCGAAGTGCGCCCGTTCCACTGGGGCGGGAGCTGCTTGCTGAGGAGACTAAGGGTTATTGCAGTCGCCATGTTAAACCCGAGCGCCACCGTGAACCAACATGCGAACAATGAGCCGTAGTTGACTTTCCCGGTGCGAAGGATGGAAAGAAATGCGAGAAGGCCTGCAAGGCCGAGAGTCGTCCCGAAAGCGAGGAGTTTGCGATCTTGCATACGACGCGCAGCTAAGAGGTTGGCGAGGAGGAAGGGGAAACATGTTATTCCACCGAGAGCGATGAAATTTCCTGCATCAAACGGAGACCAGTGAAGGTGTGCAGTGGCAGCTCCAAACACAGGCAAGTTGGCTTCCCAGGAGCCTAGGATAAAAAAGCAGACCATAGAGCACCAGCACATGCATACAATGACACCCCATTGGGTCAATGTGATCAGCGAGAGCTGCGCTCTGAATGATTCGTCAATGGGCAAGGAAGGGGATGTGGCAGGCACTGATGGATAATCGGGACAAGGCTCCGCCTCGAGATCCTTCGAGATTGGTAGAGACAACTCTGTCACGGTTGGTGGTGGAGGGACGTCCTTGAAATATTTTGTCACCAAAACCCAGAAGCCAGCATAGATACCAGCCATGATCCAACCCGGACTTGTGTCACCGTTGAAAGTTGAGTTCGAGAACCCAATCTTGTATAACAATCCACCAAAGAATGGGCCAAGGCTCAGGCCCAAACATTGGCAGACGACCTGCCAAGTAGCAAGCGTCGTCCTTCGTCTGATTCCAACAATTCGAGGGTCCGTGCAGTACCGCTTGCAGTACATGAACAGAGAAAATGACACGCCGGTAAGGCACCGGCCGATCAGAATCAGGTATAAGAAGTTGGCCCGATACGCAACAGCGTAGGCGACGTGACCTAGAATGGCAAAGCAGCAACTGACATGAAGGGGCATTTTGTACATCCCTATGACGGGACGAGGTTGAATTACCGTCCAACGCGAGGAAGAGACCTGGACGCACCTTTATCGTACTGCGTCAAAGGTATCAAAGAAAGTCCAGCAATGCCAGTTGGAATGCCGATGACAATACCAGAGAAAGTGGCATTTCCTCCCAAGTAGTCTGCATACTTGTTTGCCGATGAAACGATGATGAAAAATGATATCTATAAGAGCCGGAACAGATTATGTGAGTGACCTTTGCAACGTCACATGCAACAGATGAGTCCTACTTGAAGAAGGAAATTCATCACCAACATGATGACGAGGGACGCCATGTTCGGAAGCTTGAATTCCTCTTCATCGTCGCTTGTCTGACTCTCACGACCAGACGAGAGCGGGTGGATTGTGTTTGGTAAGTCTTCGAGGTCCATTTCTTGAACACGCTAGTTGAAAGCACCAAATAAATGAGCCGAAAAAACACGAGAAACACGCCATGGGTCGCTGTATAATCACTAATATGAATATGTCGCGAGCCATGGCGACAGCATGAAGATTAGTGGGCGATACGTGGCATGTCAGGCCGCAGTAGTAAGCTTCAGGATGTCTTGGGCCCCAAGCTTGACGGCAGACCGCTCCGACCTCCAGCTGCGGTGGGAATAATAGGGAGCCCATCTCGGTATACTCCATTTCGGTCACGAAGTTGGATGTTAGACGTTGGGCTCGGGTATTGGGCATGGGCGTTGGGCATTTTAACTTTGAGCTTCCCTATAACAAGGGACGATCGACGATAGAAAACCTTGTGAGAATAAATGACATCAAGAGATGAAACTGACTTCCCCCTTCGTCTATGGTCTGGCTGGGGGAGACTAAGGCGAGAAGGAAATTGGGCTGCGAATGACGGTAGTGTTGGAACACAACTGTCGGGCGCTCAGCTACTTGCGGGACTCATATCATGTGTTATCTTGTACAGTTGAATTTGTTGATATTACAGTAGTGGGTGCTGGATAAATGTCACATTAGACCTCATTGCTTCGGGCTATGGTGGAACTAAAACGAAAATGATAAGCAAATCTTTATCTGATAACAGAGAAAACAGTGGAACATACAATATCGCGCAGTTGAGATTGTGCGTCATTAAATTGCTTTTCAAGGTATTTTGCCTGACGCATCACAGGGTCAACTCAATTGCCCTTGCACGACGACTGAGCACTTTACCTTCTTGTTCAAGTTATTGATGTCATCCGTCAGCTCCTTCTCCTGGGTTTTGAATTCTTGCTCCATCGTTTTCCGGGGAACCATCATAAACCTTTAGCGACGAGTTGATTAATGGTCCTGTCGTAAGACCCATCTAAACGCACATTTTGCCAACGCCCTTGTACAAGTTGACATCTCCTTCAATGCTTTGGATCTCATCAATAGTGAGCTGGAGAATCCTCCGCTCGCGATCTTTCGAGGCAGATTGCTGTCTAGATATGTTAAGAGCACGTTGCGACTGGACAGCGGTTTGTTGAATCTGGACCAAGATCTACCGAATGGCTGGTCAAGTCATCTGAGAGTACGCGAGGAACGGCGATCAAAGGCGCACCTTTCGTAGCGTGTCGTCCGGTAGGGCAGACATTTTGGCAATGACAGTACTTGCTAGCTCAGTGTTCCATGATCGTCGAGCATTTCAAGAAAGGAAGTTTAGAGCTGGACCGGAGTTCCAAATTTATTCTCACTTGAACGCGTCCGTTGAAGCGTCCAACGTCGACCCCCGTCATTGACATTAAAATTACTCCTCTACCATGGCTTCCTTCGAGGATTACGATGAATTTGGAAACTATATAGGCGCGGACTTGGGCTCAGATGAAGAGGAGGAGGAGATTCTGCAGCAGGACTTTCGTCAAGTACCCCAACAGCCTGCAACATTGGAGGGATACGATGACGAGCCTATGCCGTCTGCGGAAGGTGCACTGATGGAGATTGATGGTCTGTGATGAAGCATGTTCTCTGTATGTATCTCATGGAACTCCCAGAGCCCGTCCATAATGCTGTTGTTCTGCACGAGGACAAGCAATACTATCCATCAGCAGAGGATGTTTACGGCCCAGACGTAGAGACTCTCGTTCAGGAAGAAGATGCTCAGCCACTAACAGAACCTATCGTTGCACCTATCAAAGTGCGGAAATGGACGGTGGAGGAGAAGGACATGCCACAGACGCGCTTTGACAAGGGGTGCGCACTTCTTAAGAACTTACGCGGCTTACACTCAACAGAGATGTAGTTTTTTGCTGAATATGATGTCGTTCCCGGAAATGATTCGTAATATCGCTGTGGTGGGCCACTTACACCACGGAAAGACCGCGCTCATGGATATGCTGGTTTTCGAGACGCATAAACTCGCGTGGGATGCGGATAAACCGGTTTGTGAGTTGGCTTCTCTAGGTTGCTACTGCTTATGTTTCGTTCGCCTAGACAAGATATACGGACACCCATATTTTGTCGCGTGAGCGGGAAATCTCGATCAAGTCTTCGCCGATGTCTCTCATTTTGTCCACGACGAGCGGCAAGTCACATCTGGTGCACCTTATTGATACTCCGGGACATGTGAATTTTGTCGACGAAGTTGCTTCTGCAATTCGTCTGGTTGATGGAATACTGCTAGTTGTGGATGTTGTCGAAGGGGTCAGCAGATTTCTTGACTCTTGCTACGCGTAACTGCGAATTGATGAATCGGACCGCTGACACAGATGATGGTTAATACCGAAGCAATAATTCGGCACGCCCTGCAAGAGGGCGTCAAAATCACCCTCGTCGTGAACAAAATTGATAGGCTTATCCTCGAATTACGTATCAAGCCTGCAGACGCCTACTATAAAATCAAGCATACAATTGAAGAAATCAACACCTTCATCAGGTTTATACTCACCCTATGTTTGTTCATTCTTGTTGACTCAGAAGTCTCTTCAGTGGAATTGATCCAAGCCCGGAACTACGACTCAGTCCCGAAAATGGAAACGTCGTGTTCGCTAGCACCGACATGAGTTGGTGTTTCACTCTCCGTTCTTTCGCCCAGATGTATGCGGACACCTTTGGTTCCCTCGACGTTGCATCATTCGCCGACCGTCTTTGGGGCGACATATACTTTAACGCTGAGACTCGGAAGTTCACTAGGAAAGCTGCTGACCCCGAGCAGTCCCGTACATTCGTGCACTTCATCCTTGATCCCCTGTATAAGCTCTACAGTCACGTGCTGAGCGAGGACACGGAAGACCTGAAAAATACCCTTGCGTCGCTGAAGATCTCTCTAAAGCCAGTCATGTACAAGATGGATGTGAGGCCTCTGCTGAAGGCTATTTTGGATCAGTTCTTTGGACCTGCCACTGGACTAATTGACATGATTGCGGAGCATATCCCGTCACCTATGGAGGGAGCAGCCAGCAAGGTATGCGTCTCCCAGTGCTATTGATGGGTCGAATTGAGTCTGGTACAGGTCGAGCGGACATACACCGGCCCACAAACGTCTGAGATCGCTGTAGCAATGAAAGCTTGCGACACTGAAGCGCCCGCGATGGTCCAGATCACGAAGTTGTATCATACAACAGACGCCCAGTCATTTAGGGCCTTCGGTCGCGTCATGAGTGGTACCCTGAGGAAGGGCACACCAATCAAAGTGCTTGGTGAGGGGTATTCACCAGAAGACGAGGAAGACATGGCAAGGGCTACTGTGGAGGACATATGGATAAGCGAAGCTCGGTAAGCTCCTTACATTCGATCACTCCATTTGAGTAAGCTTGTTCCTCTTAGATACTTTATCCCAGCGGACGAGGTTCCTGCAGGCAATCTTGTTCTTATTGCAGGAGTCGACGCATCCATTTCCAAGACCGCCACTCTCGCTGACCCATCGATCGACGACGATCTCTACATTTTCCGGCCCATTAAGCACATGACAGAGTCAGTGCTTAAAATTGCCATTGAACCAATAGCGCCATCTGAGCTACCCAAGATGCTGTCTGGACTACGAAGCATCAACAAGAGCTACCCTCTCGCCGCCACGAAGGTCGAGGAAAGTGGTGAACACGTGCTCATTGGTACAGGCGAATTGTATCTGGACTGTGTCATGCATGACCTTCGGAGGCTATTTGCTGAGATCGAGATCAAGGTGTCGGATCCAGTCACCAAGTTCTGCGAAACTGTATTGGAGACGAGTGCACTGAAGTGCTATGCGGACACGCCAAATAAGAAGTAGGTATCAGCATTTGTAACTTCTTTCCCTCTCTAATGTACTACAGGAACAAACTTACCATGATCGCGGAGCCTTTGGAAAGAGGTATCGCTGAAGACATCGAACGGGGGAGGGTCACCATGCGGATGACCCCGAAGGAACGTGGTACATTCTTCCAGGACAAATACCAGTGGGATCTGTTGGCGTCAAGGTCAATATGGGCATTCGGTCCCGACGATAGCGGGCCGAACATCTTACTCGATGATACCTTGCCTTCTCAGGTAAAGTGTGCTAGCCTTGCACTGCTTCATTTTACTCATCGTCGTAATGCAGGTTGATAAAAAATTGCTTGGAACTGTGAAGGAGCATATCAAGCAAGGTTTCCAATGGGGAGCTCGCGAGGGTCCTTTGTGCGATGAACGTACGTATCGGCTGTTGCATGACTTAATCATTCTCTCACAATGCTTATTGCGATAGCTATGCGTAATGTGAAGTTCCGGATACTTGATGCAAGTCTAGCTCAAGAACCAATCTTCCGTGGTGGCGGACAGATTGTCCCCACTGCGCGCCGTGTGTGCTACTCCTCATTTTTGATGGTGAGGCTCCTATGATTTGCTCCACTGTAATTATTAATGGGATATTAGGCCACGCCACGCCTCATGGAGCCGATTTACTATGTTGAAGTGCAGGCACCAGCTGATTGTATATCAGCTGTATACACTGTTCTGGCCCGACGCCGGGGGCATGTTACGCAAGACATCCCTAAGGCCGGCTCGCCGTTATATACGGTTAAAGCCCTGATTCCTGTGATAGATGCAAACGGGTTCGAGGCCGACCTTCGAACTGCCACGCAAGGTCAGGCGTTCTGCTTGCAGGTGTTCGATCACTGGTCAATAGTTCCTGGTGAGTGTAACGGTGGATATTCCCCTATCAAAGTGGCTATATTATTTGCGTGTAGGTGATCCCACCGACACGAGCATCAAACTTCGGCCATTGGAGCCTGCATCAGGACAAGCGTTGGCTCGTGACCTCGTGTTGAAGACGCGGCGGCGCAAGGGTCTGGGTGATCAGATTGCCGTGTCCAAATACCTGGACGATGAGTTCGTGGTGAGTTCTTCCTTGTTGCAACACTGAAACCTATGTTTGCTGACGGACGAAAAATAGCTGGCGCTGTCTGCGTCTGGGCATGCTGATCTACTTGGGTAGTGTACCTGTGTGTAACGTAGCTACTATATGATCAATGCTGTTCAGTGTACATTTGAGGTGACAGAGCGCGAGTATTTGGAAGGTCAAGGAATGTCGTTGGCCGTGGGAGAGCATACGTGGCAGGAGTTAGCCGGGAAGGATAAGAGCACGCGGGTCGTTTGTACTTCGACACAACCTCATATCGTCCTCGCTCGTTTCTATCAACTGTCTTTGGTCCTTCGTATTCTTAAAATGCGAAGCGTAGCGCTTTCCGTTATCCTCGTCGCAGTTGCTGCTAGCGCATCAGCGTCAGAGGATTCAAAACCTGTATTCAAGGTTCGTTCACGTTTCTTGCATACGTGTTCATGACGCAATACATGCAACCTGAAACTCATAACTGACCCTTCGTTTGTAGGCAACAGAGATTAAAGCTCCATTCATTGAGCAATTCACTGACGACTATGTTGAACGCTGGACGCCTTCAGAGGCGACCAAGAAGACACCAGTCGGTGGCGAGATATTCTCTTACGTCGGTAAATGGGAGGTGGAGGAACCCGAGACGATCCTCATTGAGGGCGAGAAGGGTCTCGTTGCCAAGTCTAAGGCTGCTCACCACGCTATCTCTGCACCTTTCGCCGCCCCTGTCGACTTCAAGGACAAGCCCCTCGTCGTTCAGTACGAGGTGAAGTACCAGAAGGGTGGCAACTGTGGTGGTGGTTACATCAAACTTCTCGAGGATGGCTTCCAGACCAGCGGCAAGGAGTTCTCGGATAACACCCCTTGGGTTGTCATGTTCGGACCTGACAACACTTGCCCTGGCACTAAGGTGAAGCAATAACCGTTCGACTGTCATTTTTTTCTGACAAGGCTTTGTATGTTGTGTAGCTACACTTTATCTTCCGCCACCAAAACCCAATTTCTGGCGAATTCGAAGAGAAGCACCTTTCCGTCCCTCCCAAGCCCACCTTTGGCAAGGACACTAACCTTTACACCCTCATCGTCAAGTAATTTTCATTCACAATGTTTATCTGGCCAAAACTTACGCATGTATGCAGCCCTGACAACACGTATGATGTACTTTTCAACGGAGAAAGTCAGCGTTCGGGCAACCTTCTTGAGGACTTCACTCCTGCTGTCAACCCTGCGAAGGAGATCGACGACCCCGAAGACAAGAAGCCTGAAGACTGGGTTAACGAGAAGCGAATTAGTGATCCCGACGCTGTGAAGGTATGTTGCCCCGTGTATTATTGAACTAAGGCGCTCATGTTACTATATAGCCTGCGGACTGGGATGAGACTGCGCCTTACGAGATCCCTGATGAGGATGCTGTGAAGCCTGAGGGCTGGTTGGATGATGCACCTCCGAACATTCCTGACCCTGATGCTGAGAAGCCCGAGGAGTGGGATGACGAGGAAGATGGTGACTGGATTGCGCCCACTGTCCGCAACCCGGCTTGTGATGAGGCTCCTGGATGTGGTGAATGGAAACGCCCCAACAAGGCCAACCCCGAATACAAGGGCAAGTGGTACGCGCCTATGATTGATAACCCTGTCTACATCGGCGAGTGGGCCCCGCGCAAGATCCCCAACCCCAACTTCTTTGAGGATCTGGAGCCAGTCAAGCACCTAAACAATATTGTTAGTGTTTTTGCTTCATCCCTCCTGTATCAGCCCTCTTAACTGATGCACTCAGGGTGGTGTTGGTATCGAACTCTGGACCATGACTGAGGACATCCTATTCAGTAACATCTACGTCGGTCACTCCGTCGATGACGCCAAGGCTTTGGCTGCCGAGACCTACGACGTCAAGAAGACCCTCGAGGCGGCTCTCTCTGCTCAGAAGGATGTCGATGATGAAAGCGACTACTACATCCCCCCCTTCTTGGAGGATCCTATCTCCCATATCCGCGGTAAAATTGCTCAGTTCCTTGACGCTGCTCGGGAGGACCCCTTATCAGCAATCCAAACCCACCCAGAGACCGGTCTTGGTCTCGCTGGTGTCGTCGCCACTCTTTTCGGTATGCTTGCTGTTCTATTTGGCCTCGTTGGCTCGCAGCAGAAGAAGCCTATCGCCAAGGTTTGCACAACATCTTCCCTGGCTTCCCTTGCTGAATTAAATTATCACCAGGCAAAGAAGACAGACACATCTACCCCCGATGACAAACAAAAGGCTGACAGCACACCCGTTGCACCTGCAGGAGGCGAGAAGAAGAACGAAAGCACTACCAAGAAACGCAAGTAGTTGTGTTGTGATTGTTCTTGCGCGTGAGCGAAGCTTTTCTGATACGAAGGGGTTGCGAGGATATGCATGGGCAGCGCTACACTACCTACCAGTATCGATCTTGTTCCTGCTCGGGCTCGGGGAAGTAAAATGTATGGACTGCCATATTATTGTAAGCTCGTTGTTTTTAATTCCAGCATTGATCAAGAGCAGTGTTAGAGTGTACGTGGTGTTTGATTTACGAAACGATAAGGTACATTTTGGAGTTGCAAGGTTTAGTAGATCATGATGAAATCTGTTGGCTGCCATTGACCACAATCAGAGGGTGCCGACTGCCTCGGATAATTTGTAACTGCCCAAGTTTGTTGTTCAGTTTACCTTGTGCCCAAAACAAAGCACCGGTTCAGACACAAATGGCTTGTGAGGCACATAGCGGAACGTGCGCGTGAGCTTTGAATATTTGAAGGTCGGACCACCCTCGGTGAGCGCATATTTGTGTACGTTTATTTACCAAAAGGTTTGGATCCTAACAGTTGCAAGCAACCGTTACATAATTTTAACTTTAAACTTGGACGTCGACAGAACCCAACCAAAAAATACTTGACTGGGTGCAATTGCCAACTATCGTGCTCGGGGTGGGTTGATTCCATCACGCTATCAATTAGCATTAGCAACTCACTCAAGGTATGTCTACACAAGGGATCTAAATCAGCTACGTGTCTCTGCGTTGTTCAAGCTCACAGATCTGAGATGCAGTGTTCATTCTTATTGACGTAACCACTCAAGAAATCTTGATCCACTCTGGCCATTCCTCATCACAATTTCAAAAAGAGTCGACCAATCTCTCCGTGTCAGCCCAGAGAACGTATAGACCTTGATTGTTTCGGCTTTCAGTGTTCTAGTGCCTCATGTATGCTCCTCAATACAAATACACAGCGTCTAATCAGCAGATGCTATCGGCCTCATCGAATGCTCGGATGTATCTGTCCTCCGCTCGTACTATTCGGAAGATGATTCATGGAACGAAGATTTGATGTGACCACCACGGGTCCAATTTCTATCTTCGACAACAACTCCGAAGCTCGGAAGCGGATCATGAATCATCCGTTCGACTTGATTGTGTTCTTCTTGGGGCACACACAGACTTGTCATCGCCTATCACCTGTTACTCAGCATCTCCTAACTTGTGCCTATCAACATGCAAATTGTCCATCCGTTTCTTCAGGCGGTCGGGTCATGCACTTGCTTGTTCACAAGTCGAACCTCCATCTACTAAAAATACAACTTGAACGCGTCTTTAATAATGAAGTCTTCGCGCCGCGTACCATACGTGAGGTTTATTAGATTTATGTCTTATGCCATTTTTATACGGCATCTTGCATCTATCTCCTTGCATCTATCTCACTTCTCGCGAAGCCAGAGGACGAAAACTGGAAACGAGGTAGCACTTAGACGCGCGCTTACCACCGATCTTCGCAATTGACATCTTTTCCGTATCTGTCGTCATACCCCACATGCACCTGTCGGCCCCGCGATCAAGTTGACAAAATGTCTACAACACCACTTTATTCTTACCATCTGCCAGACACTCGCGTCGGAGGTCAATAACGGAACGTTTGCACAGCAGCCACACTTGTTTTGTTTTCTGCTCCACCAGCGATGATATGTCATCATGGACTCACAGCCTGCTTTGACCTTGTTCCTGGACCTCGAAACTTCTCATGCAAGCCTATCTGATCCATATTGTCCGTTCTACCATCATGATCATCTGCATTCAATCGGAGGGTGGACGCAGTGTCAAGGCCGGAGCTGACGATGTCATGTTTCCAAGTATCCCGGCCGGTCATCTAGTGCAACACCTTTGGCTCCCGAGGGTCAGATCGAGCAAGCTCGATCATCAAATTCCGTTCCAACACCCATGGCGTATCGAATCTGCAAAGCCCGCTAGTAAAGGCCGGTAAGTTATCGATATGCCAAAGCTGTTGTGTACATTTTTGTTCGTCGTGTGTCCCGGTGTCTGATGACCTATACTCCTTTGAACGGTGACTCTTGTTCGTGCAGGCACTGCTAACTGATGCCTGCAAGCTCATGGGGGGGATTTATACGAGCATGAATCTGGTGTTTTTGACCAGCAGACAGACAGTTCCACCTGAACAACAGACACTCCACTGTATTACTTTCAAGTTCAAATCTCAGGCCATTCATAATGAATCGTGCGTTACTCTTTTATCCGAGGCAGCCATGCCACTACCTATATTTTGTTGACCGTCCGCAATGAACAGACTTCGCCTTACGTCTCAACAACTTCCTCCAGGGTCGGTACGGCTCGTCCGCCGCCACTCGCGTCAAGTACGAGGAAACAAGCAGCGGCCCACAGAACAATACTATGTGGACGGGCACTTATTTGAGTGCGTGGTGTGGTCTTGATAAATGTTCAGTCGTATTTTTTTGCTTACCACATACTTCTAGTCGACGATATGAAATACGGCGAAGGGTCGGCGACGAGCAAGAAAGTTGCGAAGGAGGCAGCCGCTCAGAAAACCATTGAATTATTAGAGGCCGAGGGGCATACCGTTCCTATCGCTGCTTGAGCCCTAACTGCCCGCAACTCGTTTTTTAATACTCGACGTTGTGGATGTATGGGAATGTATCGCTACTGGGCTCGGATGATTTTGTATGATTAGAGTCGTCGAAATTAACTTTCGATGATTATTGTAGCAGTACATACTTCTTGATGTTTCCATATTTTGTACGCCCGCCGCCCTTGTATTACTTACTCTTATGTATTCATATTTTGTGTGTCCATTGCCAAGTGAGTGGAAGGTATAAATTAATTGAATATGCCGCAGTGGTATAATCAAAGCTCGCAAAATCGTAAATTGAAACCTCGGGAAAACGCCATAAAGAAAATACCGTAGCTACTACGCCGTGAGGTACAAAATGCCTTTGAACTGAACTGCCTAGTCGCTGAAAATCGCGACCGGTCGATCGATCGACTAACCCGCGTGCAACGAGTCCGTGGCACAATGTCGTCTTTCATTAATATTGTAGCAGGTCACGCGCATAGCCTCTTTGTTCACTGTGACGAGATACGCCCAACTCGGACCCGGACAACTTATTTGGAGTATGTTCACTCATCGTCGGTGATGATCATGATGCTAAGGTACCATTTGTGCATTACATCGACGTAATGCGCCTAGTCGAGTGGGGCGAACTATAAAGTCGTCGTGTGACGACCCATCCTCTTTACGGCATCGTCACAACGCGGAGCATGGACAGTACCATCGATCATATCGCCCAGGCGGTATTGCTTGCATATAGCACACCATAGAATCCGTGTCGATGCATTTTGCCGAAAAAAATGCACAAGGTGAATGCTGCGTGCGTTAATTCCTTTGTTTATTTGAACCGTAACAATGTAGGTGATCTGACAAGAGAAGGATGTGTGATTCCCCCCTAGTCAGATCATCAAACAAGTGAGGAGATAGCGTGATAAACATGTCACACAAGGACCAGATTTTCACTAGGAGTCAATATATGCCGTTCACTCACCCGACGGTAAATATCCACCGAGCTAACGAACGCTGCCTCAAGAGGACCAGTGTCGGCATCGAGAAACACCACATATCCGAGTATCGGCGGGTCGCACCCATCGTACCCAGCCATGCGCATCTCGAGGCTTGATCACTTCTTCTACCCCTTGCGTGGGGCACCCTGTTACATCTAAACTATCGTGCCAGCGAATGTCTGGATTACAAAATGTGGGCTGACCAGGGGTTGAACGTTGAACTGGGTGGTATGACACCGGGGTCCGACGCTCATAGTACGCAAGGATAGAGGTAAACCTGGAAGCAGAAGAAGCCTCCCGACTCGGAGGTGGCACCTTTCGACATGCCAGCCTGAGTCCGTGGAGATACATATTGCTTGCACTGATACTGCGGAAGACTCTATCGTGGAGAAGGAACGACTGCCCTAAGTCATTCAACTAAGGACTGCCTAGGGGAGACTATTGAGGGAGAAACGAGCTGTTGAGAGTCGGAAGAATCCGATCGCGATAGCTTCCGAGACGTCTGGTTCATCATCATGCACGTCGACCACCACCACTGTAAGTCAAGTAATAGTAAATGGGCAGTTACATCTTCACCAAAACATACCTATCCAGCCCAAGATAGTCTGAATTCCAAACTGCCTCGTTCCAGGACCACAACAGAATCCCTGTGCTTCCAACAACCTCATCCGTACCTAGGCTGCCCACTGTGACACGTTTCCGCCGTTTGATCAAGACACAATAAGAAGCAAAAAGAATGGTACGGATAGCGGCTACTTATTCTCTTCGCTCAGGCTGTGGAATGAATAGATATTTGGGCGCACTAGTGTCGTCTGAGATCTGAAACTGCTATGAAACGGATTCTCGCTGGGTGTACGTAATTATTCGGACGCCTTTCCCGTCGAGCTGCTCCGAGTTGGTCACTGTTTACTAAATATTTTCACTTCCATTCCCTTCTAATTGTAAGTGGCGCTAGCCTTACAAGAAGCCGGTCATGCAGACGTACAGGAGCATGCATCAAAACAGCGCGGGCGCCGGGTATCATCCCTGTAATGCTCGTTCCGAACATAAAACGCTGGATGTTGATATCATATCCCGCACGAACACCGTCGCTATACGTCCCCAAGTTCGCCTCTCATTATGACCCTGGTCTCGAATGATCCTAGATGGTGGCCATTGATTTATTCGCATCGTATTTCTAGCTATGTTACAGGTTCGTGGAGAGCTAGTCGGATGACGGCCGCGATGATTCGATCTAACCTTGCCTGTGGTATCGCAGTTGCTGCTTCTGCTGGGATGATGTACGATTGGGGTGAGTAAAAATAGTGTTCAAAAACTATTGATGTCTTGATGGTTTTTCCAGCACTGACTTTGGGACAAGAGGTAGGTCTGTGCCATTACCAGAGTAGCTATTTCACTCAAAATAGTTTCAATAGATTGAACTAGTCTGGGTGAGCAAAGTCTCACTTCATAAGAGCAACTTGTCAATACAATTAATTCGCGGCAGAGGCAACGCTGGTCCCTCATGACTGTTCTGTATCTGATTGTGCGTAGTTTGTGTTTCAATTATGATCGGCAAGTTGTACTGACTCTAAAATATCCTAGATGCGCTATTTTGGAATGTTATATGTTATGTATGTCAAGGCTATGTTGCCAGTGTTGTTCTAATCAACCATCTCTCACATTCAGCATCAACATTCTGGGTATGTTCCTGACATGCGCTGTGTTTGTTTCTTCTGACCAGCAGCATACAGTCAGTGTTCCGACAATCTCTGGGACAGATGTAGTGAGTACTCTGCACCAATGCCTGTTGTTCCCGTCTAATTAACTGCACTCCCATATAGAGGTGAGTCAGATTCTTGACCAGCTTCGTGGTTCAGCGTGATTGAGTCATGACTGTCATAGCTGTGAGTTTGTTTCAAGCATGTGATCCTCCGATATTGATCACTAATTGGATTTGTCAGGCCAGATTATGTGGTTCGCATTAGTTTGGATGAGTATCGTTGGAAGTACAGTACTAGGCGGTGAGTTATGCAGCTGTAATATTTTAGTGATGCTGAAACATCGTGCAAGTCATTGTGATTGCTCGGTTACATGCCATGTATCAGCGATCCAGAAAGGTGCTGTTACTTCTCGGTCTCGTCTTCCTGGTTGTCAACATTGCCACCGGAGTGCTCGCGGCAATATCAATGATGGATATTTCAGCAGGTGAGTTTAATCATGGATGAAAGACTCGAGGTTGACAAATACCAGAGGAGCAGATTCTCTTTGGCACCTATCGGTGCACTGTTAAGTACGAAGGAGATAGCATACTTCTGGCTTCCGTGACCTGGATACTTGGCACGGTATGGGAGGTCCTCGCAATGTTTCTCGCAGCCTGGATTGTGGTAAAACACTTCCGTGAACTGCAACGATCATCGGTAGGAGGGGTTTTCGGGAACTCTTTCACGATGTTACTGAAATCTCACGCGATTTACTTTATGAGGTGAGCTCATAATGTGAATGCAGTCCCCTTTTTGCGTTGACGTTCCGCACACATTAGTTTTATTGTTGTTTCTGGCTTCAGGCTCGGTTATCTGTCTCCAACGATATCAGCGGTATGTTGATCTGTCGCTGACCTCGGTACGCGAGCACGTTTAATCATTCTATAGGACCTATATTCCCTGGAATCTCTAGTTTTTTTTGGATTGCTCGACATTTTCCAGTTTGTGCAGATATTTGTGCTGGGGCCACGCCTAATCCTTAGTGTTCGAGAATATTACGCAAAGCTCGTGGCCGAGTCCAACCCCGATGCAGCAACTGGCATGAATTCAATTGTTTTCGGGGAGCGCGTGCACGTGGTGACTAGCGACAGTGTGTGACACGAGAGACGCTTGGGAGCCAAAGTTTAAGAAGAGTATCCATGTAGTACTAGAGAAGCAAAGGGAACGTGCTTTAGATTTGGGCTGGGGGAAAACATAAAAATTTAACAACAGCTGGTCTGTTATTTATAACTTTTGGATATGAATACAGTACATCAGTACAGATTACTCAAAATGAAAAGTGTCTTTGTCTGACTTCCGAGGTATGTCTCGGGCCAGTACTAGTGCTAGCGCTGAGCGCCGATGGATAATCAGATTGCCAGCATGTGGTCTGTTGGCAAGGTTCGAGAAGTGTCCTCCGAACAGGTGAACAACCATCAACGACGCGGTCAAGCAGCACAATCAATCCTCGACTACACCAGATATCTAAACCCGATCGGGTCCCGAAGCTCCTTTATATCCTTCGCATCTCGCTCGTTCCTCTCAATCTGCTCATTCAAATGCTTCAAATACAGATGCATCCCACCGAACATAGCTGTCGAAACCCCAATTGCTGCGATGGAGATGGCATAGGAATAACGATATGTCGGGCCCTAGTTGGACGGCCATATGTACCTATCAAAAAATGCAGTCGTAGATCATTAGCAAGAGCGAAAGATCGATGATAATGTCACTTACGATCCAACAACATTGCCTATCTGCCCCACTGCGTTAATCAAAGCAATAACAACGGCTCGCTTCGCAGGTTCTCTGGCGAAAGTATTGTTGATCCACCCCCAGAGCACCAGATATCCACTGAGGATCGGAGTCATCAGGAACCTGTGCGTCTCTGAGTACGGGAATGGCGCTTTATGAGAGGTGACACCACTTACAACGAAATGTAGCGCACAGCCTTGTTCATCGTAAACATTGACATAATGAATGCAAGGGCACTGAGTGCATTGGAGGCAGCTAAGTATTTGAAACGCCTTTGCTTCTTGTCAGAGTACCTGATCTCCGTGAGATGCGAGTTTTCGATAGAATGGTCCACTGACCATGTAAGAGCACATGCGACTATACCCGCGAACACCCAAGGAGGAGCGCAGAGCAGCAACGTTTCAGTTGTGTTATATCCCAATGTCGCGCACAGCGTCGGGAAGTAAGCGGTGAAAGACTGCGCTAACAACTGGAACATGAGCGCAACTGAAAACCACCATACCTTCCAGTCAGATACAGCATCCCGCAGTCCTTGGATGGTGCTGTGTTTCCCAAGCTCATCAGCCATACCTGAGCCATCTTCTGCAAGGCGGGAAATAGCAAGTGCTCTTTCTTCAGGGGTGAGCCACCTGGTGTTGTGTGGGAAATCTGGGAGTATGAATATCGCGCAAATTGCGACTAAGATGGTGATGCCGCCTTCAATGAAAAACAACCATCTATAGATCATTCAGCTCGAGGGAGTGGCAGAGACGATCGTTGCTTGCCTCCATGCAGCTTGACCAAGTTTGCCCTGCATTTCGCGAAGTATACCAGATGCAAACAAGGATCCGAATGCAGAGCTAAGGGGAATTCCATAAGAAACGAGAGCTAGTCTAGAGGCGAGCTCGTTCCGCTTGTACCATCTAGATACAAGAAAAATAACACCAGGGTAGAAGGGCGCTTCGGCAAAGCCAAGAAATAAGCGGGCAAAAAGAACCCCAGTATAACTTGGACCGAACCATCAGACTAGAATGATGCAAAACAAGAATATGTACTTTGTTGTGATCCCTGGGTATGATTAGCAGCCATCTTCATGAACGACCTGTGTCGACAAACCTGTTAATACTGATATTGTACCCCATACTATCATACAAGATGGAATAAAGACAGCAGGTCTCTGCAGCCAGTGCAGGAACATGTTTCTAAAGAAAAGTCACGTCCAGCTGTCTCTCGATGAGGGATGAAACTCACCCTGGGACTTCCATGATAATGAATCCAACAAATAGGACAGACAAGATCGTGGCGAATTGTTGCCCCTGCAGGTGCAGGTCTTTCTCAAAACCTTGTAACCGAACATTGCTGTGGACGTTACGAGATTAATTCGAGTACAACGATGTGTAACACACCTATAATTCGATCTGTCGATCTAAGGTGCGCAGTGAGTACCAGAATAGAGTTCAAAAAAATCTAGACACACTAGGTTCAGGGTATACAAAACCGGTATCATGCACATGTGCAAATCAAGCTTCCTCAGTAATCTTCTCTCAAGCTCATCGCGGGTATGACAGGGTACACCAGTGGGCAAGTCGTTGATCTCGTCGATGATGTCAACCGTTTTTGTATCGTCGAGAGAAGGCATCGCCAGGGGGAGGGATGGACGCAACAGGGAGGCTTATATATCTTGGCGACATGCGGGGGATAAGAATGATACCGTCAATTGACCATAACAGTCATACTAGCGATGCCCTGGATCGGTGGCTCTGGTAACCGGTTTGGCTAAATGGTTGCGCTGGAGGATGGAAGATGATGCCAGAACTTTGCAGCGAGATGGTAGGCATTATCCGGCAGAAATCCAGGGCCAGCGGATATACAGTCCAGAAGATGCAACCTATAAAAATATCAATATAAACACAACTTGAAATTACACTGGCCGCCGCGATCTGCAACCTTTCAATTAGTACGGACCTGCAAGCTGCTGTAAATTCTTTAGTTGAGACTCATCTGAATCGCTGATACATGAAGGTTCTGAAAATCCATCGCTACACCCCCCTTCTCCATATATTGAGAATAAATTTAGGAGATGCCTCACCTCGAATATATCCCAAAAAGCCAAGAAGGGGTGGAAACCCGTGAACTCCAAGTTGCCATTGATGAAGTTGACATCGTATGTGTATTGACTCTTCAGAAGGAGAGGTGCAATCCCACCCCACGCTGATACTTCTGCCTACAACATTCAGCCTCACTCACACACGAAGCTGGAGCTCATCATTTCCGTGAATTTGAGAATCCCTGACACTTTGGTACACTGATACGGAGTTAACCATACCGTCATACACCAGACTCGGAGAAGGAAGACAGTCACGCATGTTGCCAGAAAAAGAATTGCGGGGTTTTGCGTGGAGCCAAAGGAAGCCAGCGGCCACTCAGCGGCTTCAAGCTTTCAACCTGAGATAAGACGGTAAGTCACAAGTCAATTAAAACAACCTTCTGAAGCGCGACTGCCGGGCATGACAAATACCTGAAATTATGGCTTCAGAGACTCGTTAGGGCGGCAGTACTTCGGGTGACCGTGTCCTGCCAACTTATACACAGCAACGCTCAATTCAAAAAGAAAGAAAAACAAATGTCCGCCACCGCGATCGGGACGAAGCGCCCATGTTCGTGTTAGGGACAGCTAAACCAGCCAGAGCTGCATAGTCTGCATGCACATTCCAAAATAAGTCATCAGGCTCAACAACAAAAACGCGTAAACAAGCATCAACAACGCGGTCGAACAGCGCCCAATCGAATGTCAGAAGCGTCGAGCTCTCGTCTCCTATATCGTGGCTCGCTCTCTCTGCCAGACTCTTACATCCTCCTAGATGGACTCACATTCTCAGCAAACCTTCTCACCAACAAAGACCTCCTCCATAATCCACTAGCACTGGCACTCGAAAGCATGCGTGGTCGGCCTTCCCTCAGACTTAAAGGCACGGAATCGCTCAAGAATCTATGCATAGACCCTTCAGATGACGTCTGTATGTATGTGGATCCATTAAATCTCATCACACCCTATTTACACCCAACAGGGACATTCATCCATCCGCCACCCTCTCTCGCGTCTACTTTGAAAACATACTCTGCCTATCGCGTCTCTCCCCTGATGGACGGACGGAAATAGGTGTGCGTGTCGCCTTGGGAGATACTGGTACATTCACTTCTTCATTCTTCCGTTTGATCCGGACCACGATTGTCATTTGTAGATGGTCCCGCAACGACCGAAATACTAATATTCGGAAAGACCCATTCTTCGCTTACCACTCCATCCCTAACAATACATGTGGCACGCATCACTCCCGCTGCTCGTGCCCCCCGTCCAGACGACCCTACACCCCGAAAACCGCCTCAGCATCTTCTTACGCGCACACAATCTATCGGAGAACTCGCTGCCAACACGAGGATCAAAGTCAAAGGAGATGATTCAGAGGTGGTGAGACGCGCAAGAGAGGTGATGCTGCATTTACCGAATTCGAAACCGCGAGGGCGAGGAAAGGACAAGGAAAGAGGCGGCGCTGTGTTCAAAGTACCTGCGCTCCCAGCAAAGAAAATCAATCACGCCACAGACGCAGACGTTTTCGGACCTGTAAGCAATTCTAAAGGCAAAACACGCGCGGCAGACGAAGGAATTGGCGATACAGAGCAGGAGAATAAATCTGTCTGTCCAACCCTCTTCCTTCGTGTCCCTGCGTTGCGCTCAAACGTGATATTGTACAGATCATCAAGAAATTCGCTGTGAGACACCTTGATGGAGTCGGTGTGTCCAAGACGCATGTAGAGTTTAAAGAACTCTTTGGGTTCGTGTATCGTGGTACTGCGTTCGCTCTTGTGCGTGAATATATTCATCTTCGCGGATGTGTGATTTATACTTATATTTGCACTTTCAGAGAGCCACGATAAAGAAATCTCCTGTTAGTGCGCGAGCTCTAGATACGCTTGTGGAAGCACATATTAAACTTTATGTTACATCACCCACTTGAGAGGATGGGCTCTTTTCCAGCTGGAGATCGTTCGCATATAGAACGTCTACTGAATAACAAAAGAAGTCATAGATATGTAATGATACTCAGCTGGAAACCAACAATGCAAGCCTCTGGGCCTCCAACCATACCGCTTACGCCCCTAGAAGACTCTGAGTATTGCTCGAGCTTCGGATCTGAGCAAAGGCAGGACCGGAACGGTTTGGGTGTGTACGCTCACGTGTTGTTATCCCCTGTGGCGTCAGCCGCTACCAAGGTGTGCGGATACACAATCGACTGTTAACGGTTATCTGCGTTTACATTGGACATCGCGGCTGGAGACACACTCACATTCTGTCTCCGCCTGCACGGGAAACGCTTTCCAGTTGTCGTCGCTGTCCACTCAATTTCTGAACCGCATATCTCCTTCAAGTTGACCCTCGTCATTTATTCTGTCGAAAGTTGCAAGTCAACAAGGTTCGTTTGATATCTTCTACAAGTCTTGCAAATGAATATCATCTTCGAGTCATTTAAAGTGCCAAATCATCAACAATGAGCCAAGTTCACCACGCCACCCTAAGACTATTAGACTGGAGTCCCTGTCGAACTTTTGTTAGACATACTCGGCCGTCCAGTAAGGACAAAATCGCATGTGTACAAATTATTAACTCGGTCTCTCCAGATATGCAACGGTGTTCGATAAGTTATCGACTCTTCCTTGGAGCTGTTGTATTCGATGAACCTCAAATACTTCAATGCGATCTCGGTCCCTTTTCCTAGTTCAGTCCGTACTGACGTCCGAAAACTTCGCCAGTCGCTTCAACAAAGCGAATCTGCATGGCAGAAAGCACGATATTCAATAATTGCCATCCCGGACCCCATTCCGAACCCTCCGAATATGTACCGATGGTCTCGCGGCGTTATGGTTCCCAGTGGAGCGTCTACAACAAATATTGTTTTTCCAGCCCCAACTAGCAGATAGCTCCAATACCCCGATCTTGCCAGTCAGTGGGGCTGTAAAATCAACAGGGTAGTGTCACATTACAAATTTCCGCCCCCGCAGGATCTCGTGATTGTCCTTGCCAGAGCATTGATTCTTTCAAGTTGTATTCTAGACAGGTTACGATGTCCGAGTCATTTTCAGATCACTCTCAGAGGATGAAGTCCATCCTGAAGCTGCATCTGCTGTCGCGAGGGCAATCGACGTGGAGCCCTTCAGCCCTTACGCTCCGAAATCCTCGATTTTCGGGTATTATTGTGTCATTTTGTTCAAAAACGTCAACAAAGCACATGGTGGAGCAGCTGACTTTTTGCAAATTTGGGACTGGTAAGTCAAAGGACGCTTTTCAGGTCAGTGAATCTGCTAGACTTCATTTTATGACTTGTAAATTATCTGGACTTTGCGGTGCCCCAAAGTCAAGACCGCTGTCTTATCATGTCCTGACTTTGCCTGGCAGAGGAAGTCTATTCCTAGAACATCCTGAAGTATGCGCTCGTGTTGGACTGTTGAAAAGAGTTTGGTGAGTCCAGGATACCATTTTGAACGTAACTAAAGCAAACCAAATTTTGAGGGGTGCTCAAAACCCAAGTGACTAATGGAGCTCAGAATTTCAGGTCTCAACACGAAATCCCTGTGAAAAGGGGTAGACCATTTTCAAGATGAGCATGGTTTGTGACAACACGTAGAATAAACGAACCTGAAGCCTGCTACATGTATTCCGGTAAAGTTTTTCTTGTCTTTATCAACCTCGCCGTCCACTGCTGACGCTGCTGCTCCGTTGGTAGAAGTCGCTGGAGCTGCGCTATTAGGGATAACGTCATGCTCGTCCTCGTAATTGAGGAGTTCCTCATTATCGTGGGAGCTCATTGTTGTGTGTAGGTTGCCAGAGAGGGGTTCGTTGACAGAATTCAAGAGGACGGACGGCATTCGGCGAACGCCGAACCGGCCGCTCCCAGGCTAGCCAACAGTCCTCGGCAGTCTTTTTCAATAGATCTCTAGTGTAAGGTTCATAACGAGGCATGCGCGCGTCGCGCGAGAGCCCTTAGAACTCGAGACTTTAATTCAGGAGGACCTATAGAATCACAATTGTCACTTCGCGTTTTCAAGATGTAGGCTCGGTATGTGGGTCCGTGACTGTTATATAATATCCCCTGATTGAATCTGATAATCGGCAGTGATCAGCACCGTCGACTCTGATGAAGTTGAAGTTGAATGTGCCCATTGTCTACTTTTCACGCTTCATAGTTCTACTCGGTGCTATAATTCCTCTTGGTTGTACAGAAGGAAGAAGGAAGAAATATTCCTGACGTACTGTGCACATTTGCGTACTTGCGAAACAATGAATTAACTCAGTTTCCTGACGAACGAATTTTTTTTGTTGTCAACGCGGTATTGTTGCATTCCCTCGTTCATCCCGTCGATGCCCTCCAGCTCGCCGCTAAATTATCGCTCCCTGCCTTTTGCAGAGTCCCTTTGAATACAAATGCATCGGCTAGTAGCTAATATTTCCTCTAGCATTTCAATCCATATTGCATTGACACGCTTGCTGGAAGTACGTAGATCACTGAGTCTCGTACCTCTTATGAATCTTTTATTTTTCTACTAATAAACAGACACAAAGTCTTTGGTTATTTTTGTTACCCTAGACAAGCCACACAGCTTGCAAAGAACCTGATAATTAATAGGCGAGACACCGCCGTCTAAGTTCTGTCATGGGCAAATCATGGGACCACCGGAGGAATCCGAGAAGCGCTCGCGCACAAGTTTTCTCCGATTCCTTAAACAAAGATCTAGTTGGAGAGCGACTAGCTGAATAAGTGCAGTGGGCGCGACTACTGATCAGCGTTGCCGAGTCCTAAAGCATTTTAGTGGTATTATTCATTCATATGACATGCAGCGTCAATCCTGGCCGATTACTTAATGACGCACCGGTTTTGAAGATCTATGGGCTGAAGGCCCGAAATCACCGTCTCTGTCAAATCGAAGGAAGTTGCGCGCGCCAATGCGTGTTTAGTGTTGCTTGAGCCCACGGAGAAAAAACAGTAGATCAGGGCTACGGGGTCACTGAACCGGACGGCCAGGGTGTGTTTTCAAAAAATCGAGTATCGACACCGCTAGGTCAAACACTAATTCTCCTCGGTATATGTCAGCTACCCTGACCGGGGCATTGGCTTTCGGCGTCATTAAAGCACAGCCAGGAATCACCCTGAAGAGCAATTCAGTTGAGCCCATGCTCAGCGTGAAGAATAGGTTGCGAAAGACAGCGGGAAAAATTAGCTGTTCGAGTAGTAGTGGTCACCGTAGTTGCGGCGATTCGCGAGCTAACTGCGATCAGGTTAGAAACAATATGTGATAGCCCAGCTCGTCACCTATTCTTGTAACACCCCCAACATCCTCGGCGACATAGCATGAGCTCGACCGAGGACCATCCGATTCCGGTATAGGGATAATCAATGATCCAATTAACAGAATGTGGCATTTCGAATTCCGTGGAGTATATGGAGCTGCAGCCTTCGAATTCGAATTGGACAGATCTCTGCTCAAATAGAGCGACATAGCTATTGCTAAGGGGCTGAGATACAGTGCTTATTTAGAGGTAGCTTTCCGCCAGTCATATATGGCCGCCTTCCACGACGTCAATGGTGGCCTGGGTAATCAGGCGGATGGCTAATCCGAAGGCGCTTAGTCTCCGCTAGGTAGACCAATAGAAGGAAGTAAGACGGTCGTTCTTTCCATAGAGCCGCCGGACAGTTTTACTATATTCTCTCGTGTGAGCTCATAACGGACCGTGACAAACTTGCAACTAACCAGAACTTTCCGGCGCCGACTATTTTCGATCGTTTCTGTTTTTGCTTCTGATCGTCGAACACAAATACAGGTTGCCAGTGCAGGTTATATCAGAGAGGTGGTCTATGGACTGAGTCCATCGCCACATATAGAACGACCATTTTGCGTGTTGATAGCGACTGGCGCGAAGCATTTGCGATAACTTCTTTGACAGCGTGGAGCGTGTGCAGTTTCAGTGACGATAAAATCATCGGAAGAAGATCGTACTTCATAAGAAGACCGATCGTACTGAAATCCGGGAGATGTACAACTTTATTCCATGGAGTACATGGAGAGCCTGAAAAATTCGAATTGGGCAGTCTGGACTGCTTTCGAACCGAGCGATTGTTGCTCTAGGGAACCGAGATGTGGGATGCGCTTCTGTCCAACGTCTTTTCTTCCCAACAGTAAGTTACCATCCAGAGCGTCGTGTCCGCTTTGCCCTGTAATACCGCCTTCCATGCCGTCTTATGACGGTCTCGGTAATTGCGGGGTTCGGGCTGCATATATGGGACTGTGATTCCGCCCGTGCTTTTGGGAAAAATGTAGACTGCCAGCATGGATTATATCAGAATATGGCCGTTAATTGCCACTGGGGTGGAGTCTGGACGGTCGTTGGACTGATCTCATTGCCACGTATAAATCAGCCGTTTTGCGCGTCGGCAGCGGCTGGTGCGAAGTAGTTACTTCGGGAGCAGAGGAACGTGTGCAGTTTCAGTGATGATATCGGACGAAGCTTCGTATGCGAATGATTGATTGAGTCCCCGCATGAACCAAGCGCTCGAGGATAAGTTATCGGTGGGAAGCTCTGTCCATTGGAGACCACCTGAATGGCTGTTAGATGCCATTGCCCACGAAAATTAGTACTCTGAGATTATCTCACTCTGTGAATGCAAGTCTGGAGAGTGGTATGATGGGTATGCCGGTGATCAAATCATAGAACCGGGTTTCGTCCATGCCCGGAATGGCGGTGTTGAGATCTTGTGCTAACGTTGAAGCTTTGAAGGTAGTATCTGTTACAGAACTTGATTGCTATGTGCAATTAATGGATAAGTGGAGTAACGTTACTGAAATTGCCATGCCAGCTGGCAGCCAGCGTGTGGCTGTTGTGGACTAAGACTGACTTCGCCTGAAGCGGCGTTCATTGAAATCTCTCATCCAAAGTCCTCAAAGGGCCAATCCACTTTTCCCAAGCTTCTTCCTCCGACGCTCCTTCAATTCGATTCCCTTTTTTTCTCCAAGCTTTTCTGGCCTGATTTCTCTATTTTATGGAGACTCCGTCGTCGTCCACCACCCTCGCGCTGCCGAAACAATCACCAAGTCGCCATCCGAGGTCATCGCCATCGTCGACAGCATCATCCGTTCCAGAGTTTTATTCATCATCGTCGACAGACAGAGAACGCAGTTCAACTGAATCTGCCATATTTACAATCTACTCCATGTACGGCGACGACGAAGAACAAGCCAGCTGGACTGCTTCTTCAACCTTCGAGGATCCTTCCAAAGAACTCGACTTGTCCCTGGGGAACAGCTTCGCTTACAGTAACTTTTTTAATCAAAGAACTTCATATGTTTCCAATACCGACACTACATATATCGACCTATCCTCAGACATGAAGCCTTTTGGCAAATTGTCAAACCCTCATGATCGGACACGGCTATCGGCAACCTCGAATGGTTCTGCCAACTCGTCCTATCCACTCCCACTTTCTGATCGTACCAGTTCGTCTTCTCATGGAAGAGACACTTTGGAACTTCCTACACGTTCCAAGCGCGTTCCTCCCATCCCAACTCGCCCCAAAAGTGCTCTCACTTCATATAGTTCTTCGACTGACCTAGACGCCGTTTCACCTCCTGTATCACATCTTACGCCTCCCCACAGTCGTTCACCATCCCTGCTGAGAAGCAGAGAATTCCCTGTCCCTGAACCTACTTTGGTTCTCACCCCCCCACAGCCGACGTCTTCTTTAATCCCACCACCCTCTCAAACCCCATCTTCTTCTCCCACAACTAAACAGCAGTCGAAATTGAGTTCTCCGTCTAGCAAAGTCTCCCTGGTGCCCTCAGAAGGTGAAGATCTGGACGCGTTCCACGTGCGGAGTACGTATGCACACCTTGACGCGATTGGTGTCAAGGGCGACGGCTACGAGGAGGGCGTCGAACGCACGCGTGCACGAATACGTGCCAGTAGAGGAAGTGAGTTACGCGCAGAGGCTGCTCTGGCTGGTCCCTCGGAGAAATCCCGAGAACTTGAACCTGAAGAGCTCAAAGTGCTATCAAGCTTAGATCGGTAAGCTTCGATCGGGGGAGCACGTCCTCTGAAATCTTATTTTTGCAACTAGCTATGGATTCTTCATCGTACCATCTCACGACCGACTGGTTCTACTCCCATCTGGTCCTCTGCTTAAACGATTAGCGTCAGTCAGGGCTGGCTCGAAAAAATCATCCCCGAGCCATGCTGTGTCTGTCAGCTCACTTCCCGCAGCTTCATCTCCGCTCAAGGAACAGATGCGGGTTGCCAAGTGGGACAGGATGCTGGAAGTCCGTAGTCGCGACAGTGGCGGAAATGTAGAATCGTGGGGTATCAAGGCATCGAAAACGCACAAGCTTCGCCAGAGGGTATACAAGGGGATCCCTGACAGGTGGAGAAGGGCAGCTTGGGAGGTGCTCATGAATCGGTTTTCGAAATCCGGATGCGAGGCAGTTGAGCAGCTCGAAGAGTGCTATCGGCAAGACTTGGAGAGGCCCTCAAGCTACGACATTCAGGTCGACTTGGATGTGCCAAGAACGATCAGTGGTCACGTCCTGTTTCGCACGCGGTACGGACTAGGGTACGTTTCGGTTCCCCCTTTGATCCTGCCAAGGTTGATCCCCTTACTTCAGGCAACGTTCCCTGTTTCACGTCCTGCACTCCTTCTCGTTACGATGCCATCAATGTGGCTACGTGCAGGGCATGGGTCCTATTGCTGCGACTCTCCTATGCTACTTCGAGCCTGAAAAAGTTTATGCCGCCCTTTCCCGCTTACATGATACCTACAATATGCATACCATCTTTTCCCCCGGTTTTCCAGGACTACTGCAGGCCATTTACGTCCAGGAACGAATCATGGAATCGAAGATGCCAGACGTGTACGCCGCTTTCAAGCAACATATGATTTCTACGACTTCATACGCGACAAAATGGTACATCACGCTATTTGCCAATTCCGTCCCTTTTCAGACGCAGCTCCGGTTATGGGACGCGTATCTCTTAGAGGGGGAAGACCTTTTCATTGCGGTGGCAATTTCCATCGTATGGGTCTATCGAGGCATGTCGCTCTTCATTTATGCAATGATCTTCAATCTGACGTCAATCAATAGATCACATTACATCCGATTCTGCCAATTTCGAAACCATACTCTCCCTCCTCTCCTCTTTTTTCGTACCCGAAGACGATGACTCACTTCTATCCTGGATAGAACGCATGCTCGGCGACAAAAAGCTGCGAATACAGATGGCGCAGTGGCGTCAGGACTGGACCAAGCTTGTCGCGTCAGGTAGGGATGGTGATGCGCTTCTATAGCATCGCCCCCTGTCTCTCGGGTTTATATTCCCATCCCCTTCCTTGCTACTGCTTCCGCCATTAATCCTCTACGTCTTGATATCAGACTTGCATTGTTATTGGAACGCTTGGTATATATTGCGACCGCATCACTGTCGTTGTACTCACTCTCACTGCCATTGTTCGCATCATTAATGGAATCAGTTAAATTCAATCTTTATGAATGCTAATGCAGCTTGATTTGGTATCGCAAGTATCATTGATGCATGTGCCATATGAACGTTCCTTCTAGAGTTACCCGTTAACCAAACTCACCCACTGACTGGCATAGCTCATGGCCATTTGGCGCCAAAGGTAACGAGATACTGCGCGGAGCTATCACCATGCTTACAATCTCTGCAGATCATTTGATGTGTTCAACGCACTAGTGTATTCTCAGTCATCTAGTGCCCGAACGAAGCCCGAATGACCATCATAATTTCCTATCACCCTTCAGCGCCTTCTGGCCATAGCCGCATTACTCAACATGTGTAGGAACGAATCATTGCTGAAAACGGAACATCCCCGAAGGACCGTCTAGTTACACAAGACACATTGATTGTTCGTGGAGTTGACCGTAGTCCACTGGATTTAAAATTATTATCCCCATTAACCGGGAGCGGCCACAATGCAAACGCAGTACTCACAGCCAGCTCCTTGATGAATGTTGAGAGTGATGCTATCGTTGCCAAACATTGTAATTTGGCGTAACTTGTTGTCATGCGTTCTGTTCTTGAACTTCATGCTGATATGGTGCTCACCTTGTGGATCTTTGGAGAGCTCGAAAGCGACGATAGATCTATGGCCGGCTAGCGGAACTACGAATCAGCCTAGGGGTATAAATATTGCACGGATGTACTGATACTAGTAATGTCATGATTATTATTCGTCGTGATCGTATCGTCAAGGTGCAAGGGCTTATAACCAACTAGATGGACGTTGATGATACGGTATGATACTAAGCTGATGCAAACAGAGCATAAACAACGCGGTCTACCGAACTGGTCACGAGACCAAAATAAGTCAGTGAGTTATTATGTAATTTATACTTCTGTGGTTCTGGGCAGCACCGCGAATAAGGGTCCTGCCAGTGGGTGCGGTATACATACGACGTGAGTAACGAAAGAAAGATCGCGACCGAACCAGGCGAACCCTTCTGTGAGTTCTTCGTATCTGCTGCTACTCGTGGTGGACGCGCTGACTGTTATCATGTGACTATATATTAGTGCTGCAGTTGACCCACCTTCAAGCTACTCAAGCTAGTCTCGTCCACGTACCTTTCAACGTCATTCAATACATCTGCCAAACATCTGCTACTCGTAATTTCCAGGGCTGATAACCGTCGATTCTTGCCATGTGGGAGCGCACGCTCCAGGATCTCATTCGTGGCCTGCGGGCTAACAAGAATGACGAAAGCAAATTCATTGGACAGGCCATGGACGAGATCAGGCGTGAAATCAAGAGCAAGGACATGGCGCTTAAGGCTGGTGCTGTCATGAAACTTACATATGTGCGCTGCTCTTACTCTCTCGACCAGCTCCGAGCATGACATCCTTTTGTAGCTGGACATGCTAGGATATGACATGAGCTGGGCTTCCTTTCATATCGTAGAGGTCATGTCGTCCCCCAAGATTCATATCAAGAGTGTAGGATATCTTGGTGCCGTCCAGTCGTTCAACGAGGACACGGACGTATTGATGTTGACTACCAATTTGCTCAAGAAGGTAAGAGGCAATGGCTCCAGCTCTTTACTGTGAAACAACCCGTTGAATCACATCTAGGATCTAAGTTCAACGCCTGCAGACGCCGCGGTCACGCTAAACGGCGTTTCTTCTATTATGACCGCAGACCTTGCACGCGACCTCAGTCCTGATTTGGTCGGTATGCTCAACCACTCCCGACCCCACATACGCAAGAGAGCAGTTGCTGCTATGTATAGGGTTTTTGAGAAGTACCCTGAGGCTCTCCATCATGGTATTGGTCGATTGCAGGAAAAGCTAGAAGATTCTGATCCAGGTCAGCCCAAGCTAGACGAGATCAAGCTGCCTGTTTAACCAAGGCACACACCCAGGTGTGGTCTGTGCGACTGTAAATGTCTTGTGTGAACTCGCCCGGCGAAACCCCCAAGACTACCTTCCGCTTGCCCCGCAGCTCTTCCATCTCCTAACCACGTCATCTAACAACTGGATGCTCATTAAGATTGTCAAGTTGGTATGGACATCCCTTGCTTTTATTACGAGCCCTGCTTACTCTTATTAGTTTGGTTGTCTCTCTCCTCATGAACCGCGGCTAGTAAAGAAACTGCAACCACCGATCACTGACCTCATATCTACGACTTCCGCGATATCCCTTTTATACGAGTGTGTACACACATGTATCATCGGTAATATGCTACAGGGCATCACTGGCGACTCGCTTGCGCGGACATGTGTGTCCAAACTCGCAGCCTTCATTGAGGATCCGGATCAGAATCGTTTGTGATTTACGTTGTCCTTGAGATCGGTGTGACTAACTGAGCTACAGTGAAGTACATTGCCTTGCTTGCCATGGTGAAGATTGTACCTACGCACCCCCACTTGGTCGCAGAGCACCAAGATACAATCCTTTCAAGTGTCGATGATGAAGATATTAGCATCCGGATGCGTGCGCTAGATCTACTTTCAGCACTCGTAAGTTATCGCAAGGCTTCTTATTCCCGTCGATCACAATTTCTGCAGGTCAATCGGGACAATCTACAATCAATTGTGCAGCAGGTGCTGTCGCATCTTGTCAAGCCCGAATCCTCCGTCATTCCGTCTGCAGTGCAATCTCTATCTCAACACATCATTCCGTCTACTCCTGCAAAGTCCCTGAGTGCACCATCTCAGTCCACCGCCTACCGCCTTGTCCTCTCACAACGGATCATGACAATGTGTTCTCAGAACACGTATGACAACGTCACTGATTTCGAATGGTACCTCTCAGTCCTCGTTGATCTCGCATACGTATCGAACGTGGACATTGGCACCCAAATTCGTGACCAGCTAGTAGACGTTGTCGGACGCGTAAGAGCAGCTAGGAGCTACGCTGTTAAGTTGATGGTGAAAGTATTGTCTGATGATACATTTATGCTACATGCTGGTGAGCAAGGTAGCTGTTCCGAGGTGCTGTGGGCGGCGGCTTGGATATGTGGAGAGTACTGCAGGTGCGTTTCACGAATTCACTCCCTTCCGATATGCTGAACGATTTTGCAATAGTGAGCTTTCTGCGCCGGACGAACTTATTCCCTACTTGCTCCAGCCAGAGATTGCGTCTCTGAGGTCTGACATAACTGCCGTATGCATACAATCAGCCACGAAACTCTTCGGATACTGGGCTTCTGAAGCGGCAAAGCAATGGACGGAGAGCTTCATCGAAGACCTCAAGAGAGCCGTCGATATTATGATTGAACAGATGGAACAATTTGCATCGAGCACCCAGATCGAGGTCCAAGAACGTGTGAGTGACGATGATCACAGCGATCAAGGATCCGCAAAATAATCAATTTATTTTTATAGGCCGCGAACGTTCTTCAGCTGCTTATTTTCATCAAGCGCGACGTAGCGATATACAAGCCAAAGCAGGAAAATGACTTCTCAGACTCGAGTGTAGCCGCCTTCGACCCCGTATCAGAACCGAGTTTTCCAAAGAGTCTTTACCTCATCCAACCACTCTTCACATCGTACGAGCTCAATCCTGTCGCATCCATTGCGCAAGCTAGTGTGCCCGTTCCTGACGGGCTTGACCTGGACGCGTGGATTGTGCCATCAATGCAAGAACGCGTCGCGGAAGAGGGTGACGACGGCGATGTGACTGAGCGGAAGATCAAGAGGGGCAAGAAAGGGAAAGAGAGGGAATCTGCAAGCAGGACGAAGGTCAAGGGCGGGAAGAAGAAGCAGAAGGAGGGGGGCTACAAGGAGGAACTTACACCGCAAGAAGAGGAGACAGCAGAAGAAAAGGCTGAGCGAGAGAGGGTAAGCATTTACCATAATCTCCACATACGTCGACTCAAACTAACGTTTCACAGCTTAAGGCGGAACGGCTGGAACGAATGCGGGACGACCCGTACTACATTATGGATGACCGACCTCAAAAGCCTCCTGCAGAGGATGTCGATTCAATACCCGTTGTCCGACTGGACGGTCCCTTACCACTGCCAAAAGGTACATTTCTCTACACGCATGTGAACAAGACTGATATCCCTTGCAGAAGAACCTCGTCTTCCCGGGCTGAGAAGCAGCGCGTCAATGCGATCCACTCCTCCGTCGTTTGTCGTGGAAAGAGAGGGCGAGATGCCTGCCGGCGTTGTTATCACTCCGCAATCGTCAGTTCCTGCGCCACCCTCACGGCGCCCAACTCCAAATCCGTTTGACATTACCGCGACACCTCCGCCTCCCCTTCCTTCTTTCCAATCATACGAAGTTCCTGACGACGAACTCCGCACGAGCACTCCAGAGCCCATCAAAGTCACACGTGCAAAGAAGAAGGGAACAAGTACAGCAAAGAAGAAACGGACAGTGAAGACAGGGGATGAAGCTACAGTAGTTGCACATTAACGTAATACATATAGCACTGGCGCTCGGCGCTCATCCCCAACTCGTTTTTTGTGTTGATACTCAGGCAAAAGCTGAAAATTGAGAGTGAGGCATCGAGATACATTCGTCGGTCATTGAATCATTTCCGTTTGAGAAAAGTACAAGACCAGAGTATTTCTGAATCATTTCTCACGGTCCTCTCTTGTAGTGCATCATGATCATTGTTCTCTTCAAAGTGCTCTCCGTCTTCTCGAGCTGGCAGTATCAGTTACTGAACCAGACAAAATCATAGTGCTCTATAGGTCAATGCATATAAAGAACAAAGCAGGGGCGTTTCCTATGCATGACAGGAAATACCATCCTAGACCCACGAAGCTATGTCACGGTGGATCAACAACGTGAGTAGGTAAAAATACACAGAATCTGAAGACTACCATGTGGTCGAGGACCGAGGTTGACGAACGTTGACGACCCGATGAACGGAGACTTGGAGCTTTCGTCAACTTATGTGTGTGATTTGGCAGAGCACATTCGAGGCTTCAGCCCATCTTACCGTTATTCCTTGTGTTGCTGACACAAATTGACATTTAGGCTATGTTGTCCACTCGAGCTTAAAGTAAAC